CTAACCCTAACCCTAACCCTAACCCTAACCCTAACCCTAACCCTAACCCTAACCCTAAGTAACCCTAAGCGTAAGTGCTCTCTTATGTATTTGAGCAGCCAATGCGAGGCTAATAGCATCCTTTGTGATCCGCCATGTCAGCCAAGATGCCCATCCTTGGCAGCGGGCAGCATGAGAGTGGAATAGCATCGTTCGGTACCCGCCCTACACAGCGGACATACGCGTTCGGAAAGCCGTTCGGAACGCCGAAAAGTCGGCACTCCGAAAATGCGGGGTCAAGCTCGCGTCGCCTCTGGAGAGCCCGGCCCACCGAGATGAAGCGGTAACAAAGACCTCCCCGACACACCACATGACTCTCAGTTGGTTCGAAGGACGGCTTAGCTCTTGACCCGGAACGAAACAAGAAAGTCACGTTTCCGTGTCCAGCCGCATCCGACATTCCCGCTTCCAAGGGGCTCATCAGCGAGCTGCATGTTCATGTTGGTGGCGGATGTTGCAACTGGGACCCTAAGTGTCTGGATCACTCGATTGCATCTATCGATGAGGTGGAATGCATCACCACGTCTTGCGACATGTGTTGAGCACTGATGCGGCCTTGCTGACCTGTCGAAGCGGGGCGCAGCTGAGGGTTTGTTTGGCTGGATCGAGGTAGCACGCGTTTCAACCCTCGAGAGTCCATCCGATCCCATTTTCCTTGACGGCGCTAATTCCGCCGTGGAAGCGGCTAGGACGGATCCTTCACATGCTGCGGCGCACACAGGCATGCTCAGTCCGACACACAACGACCGCCTAATAAGACGACAACGTTCTTTGCCACGACTCTTCACGTTCACGAAGGATTGGTCAAGAGATGATATACATAGAGAAGCCACGAGACACGTGTTGCTTTGCGAGGACTGCTGATCGAAGGGTTTGATCTTGATGCTTGATGCTGCAGACAGAGACCCAAGAGCGCTGCCGGTCCTACTGTGCAACACTGATCACTACTGACAAAGCTCAGCTGCAACAGCCGCCGGCTGGCCCGGTCTTGGCAGCCGAGTTGACATTGACGTTGCCCGCTGCTGCTGCCGGTGAGGCTTGTGTGACCGCGGCGGTGTCGATGAGGCGCGTCTTGACTTCACGTGCCAGGTTGAAGAAAGCCTCTTCGACATTTGCGTTTGACTTGGCCGAGGTTTCGATGTATGGGATGCCGAGCTCCTTGGCGAGTTCTTCGCCTTGCTCGGACGTCACTGCGCGCTTCTCTTCCCAGTCCGACTTGTTGCCGATAAGAATCTTGGAGACACCTTCGCTGGCGTGCTGCTCAATGTTGGCATGCCACGTTCGTACATTCTCGAACGATTTTTGGTCGGTTACGTCAAAGACGAGCAAGATACCCATGGCTCCGCGGTAGTAGGCGGTGGTGATGGTGCGGAAACGTTCCTGACCTGCCGTGTCCCAGATCTGAAGCTTGATGCGTTTTCCGTCGAGCTCGATGGTGCGAATCTTGAAGTCGATACCAATGGTCGTGATGAAAGAGGGGGTCCAGGCATCGTCGCAGAATCGCAGCAGCAAGCACGACTTGCCGACGCCGGAATCACCGATCAGCAAAAGCTTGATGAGAAAGTCGTAGTGAGGGTTTGGCATCTTGTTGTAACCGAGTCTGGCTCGGGAAAGGAGCACAGACGAAGGAGTGCTGGTGCTTGAGGCGGTCTCGGATACGAGAGCTGCTGTAGACTCTGCTGTTGCGCTCGATTCTGTTCGAGGCTTGTCCGCAAGGGAAGGGGTTCGCTGTCGCTGATGGCTGCGCTGAGGGATCTGCGGCTTCAGGGGTTGCTGAGGCGAGCTGAACTTTTGTGTACGTTCATCGCGATCCGAAGAGACGTCAGCATCGTCGATATGGACGTCGTCATTGGAGGTATGCATTGTAGTCGACATTTCGGCCCGGGGGTGGAGAGGAACGTAACGGCGTCGATGATCGAGAAGTGTGGGCAACGACCGAGATGGATTGTAAGGTGGTATGATGGGAGTGGGAAGGAGTGTATAGGTGGTCAGCGATGTTCATCCAGCACCTGTCGTCACTGTCGCATCTCCTTGGTTGTGGCTTTGAGATGCCATCCTTTAGTTGCACCGCACGAGGCCACTGTCAATGCGAAATAGTGCTCCACAGATGAAGTGGACCCACTCCACCTTCATTGAAACGAGGATCCCATCTGGCATCCGTGGCGAAGATTGTGCCGCGTAGGCGTGAGTCGACATCAGAGGCCTTCATGTACGCTTTCAAGTGGGTTCGTTCGAGTCGGCTATCCATAGTGTACGGTAGGGACAAGGCTCGTGCGTCCGGGCCGTGTCGTATTTGCTTGCGTTGTTGATGAGAGCTGGATCGGAGACTGGTTCAGGGCTGTACTTACCAGTGAACGCGGTAGCAGAAGCACTCGTGAGCGGGTGCAAGGGCGGGCTGATTGGAGATGACGGTGGTGAGTGGGAACGAGGGTGCGATACGCTGGGTACGTGGAGCAGGTCGTCGTCGTCGTCCAACGGCTCGAAGGCAGGCTCGGCAGTTGCTGTACCATCCGTCACAGTCGCAGCAGGGTCTGTCGCTCTCACGCACCCAACACGGCTCAAATTCAAAGTGCCGTTTCTGGCAAATTGCGGAGCGTGGGCTGTAAAAGGAGCGACGGCACAAGGCGAGACGAGCTTAACAAGGCGTGTGCAATTGGCAACTCGGGCACTTGGCGAGACGCGCCTTCCTTCGGTCCGTCGGTGCCACATCGGTGTGCTGCCCGACACTCGGGAATTACAGAAGGCAGAAAAAAGCATCTCTTGCGTCTCGACAATATTACAGTTGCAGAGCGCAGTGCGGTTGAGACGCTGGACATGAGGCACAGCAAATGGCATCTCGTGCGGAAAGCGAGCCTCCACTCGCCAGCCAAAAAAGCTGCCACCGGCAAGCGTCAATTTTTCTTTTTTTTTTGGAAAAAGGCGAAGCGAATTCTCAAAGTTCTTCCTGGACCCTCGAATGGGATGTTGCTTGCTGTACCTGTGCTGCCCCTCTTGGTCCATACCTCACCGTTCTTGACAGGCAGACCATCTTTCGAACCCGACTCCATCGGAGGCTCGCTACGGTGTGAATCATCGACATGGAAAGGGTTCAGTATCAGCTGGAACGATCCGTTCCGCAGCTGCAGCTGCTCGACGAGAACGGCGTCTTCACCAAAGAGCAGCTCCGATCCATCACAACACAACGTCAGACCTTCGAGGGTCGGCTCCTCCGACGAGGTCCTGACAAGAACGACTTCCTCCGCTACGCAGATTTCGAACGCAACCTCGCCGACCTCATCAACGTCAAAGCCAACCGCATCGGTCTGCCTCGCTCCTTTCACCGCGACAATGCAGCTTCACACACGGGTCACATTGTGGCCATCTACGAGCGTCTCGTGCTCAAGTTCAAGTACGACGTTGATGCGTGGCAGCGATACATTGCCTTTGCAAAGAGCAGGAAGATGCGAGTCGTCACCGGAAGAGTCTATGCCCGTGCGCTGGCGTTGCATCCCAACAATGTCCCGCTCTGGCTAGCTGCGGCTGCACACGAATTAAACGACAACTCCTCGACGACCGCCTCCCGCTCACTTCTTCAACGAGCACTCAGGCTGAATCGTCTTCCATGGAAGCAGAGCACTGCCGGCACTTCTGCTTCTGCGGGCAACAAGCGGAGCAGTACCGGCGAAGCTTCCGACTCCAACAAGCGACCCCGTCACAGCGCGTCCGACACTGCTACCCTTGCGGGATCACCGACTCCAAGCGCACGATCTGGACCCGCGACACTCAAGCTATCGTCGCGAGAAGCGGATCAGCTCCGACTGTGGGTGGAATACATTCGCATGGAGCTTGTCTTTATCGAGCGACTGCGCCGAAGATGGCTGGTCCTCGGTCTGGAATGGGATACCGAAGACACAGACGCGGATGCTACTGGTGTCGGCTCCTCCACTGACTCGACAGAAGCTCAGCAAGCAGCTGTCGATCTCGATTCGCAAGCAAGACTCATAGTTCAAGACGCCGAGGAAGAACAGGAGGAGAAGATACTACTCAGTCAAGTTCCAGACAGAGACGATGACGTGCAACCCGAGGCCGTGGAAGCTTCGAGTGACAAACCGAACACGTTTGCACCCAGGAAGATGACGACCATCCCTCCCACACAGATCGCCATCCTGAGGGGAAACATCCCGCTTTTCCTTATCGGCAACGCTCTCGAATCGCTCGCCCCTCACCTTCATTTCGTGTTCCTCATCGCGCTCACCGAGCTGCTCCAGTCCTTCCCCTTCGCCGAACCCATCAGTATCGATGCTCCCAAGAGTGGCCAGAAGCTTCGACGTCGCCTTCTTGATGGTGTCTATGAGTACCTCTCGGATCGTCAGCGATGGGGATGGACCCATTTCGCGCCGCCAGCTCTTGCCAGCTCTCTCCGACCCTTCCGTCCAGACAGATCTCTCCACGTGGACGAAGCAGACCTCACTGCTGCGCAGGTGGCCAACACCGAGGAAATGGACTCGCATCGGCTCCTCACATCGGCCAGCCGCCTGCGTACCACTTTCTCTGACGAGACCGACGGCCTCCTTCAACTCGCATCGCAGCTTCGAGTCACGGCTACATCCGGCCTCCAAAGATCGTCTGCCTCGTCTTCACCATCTTTGGCTGTCCGGCTCGTCTTGCATCTCCTGCAGTCTCTCCTAACGGAAAGGACTGCCAAAGGATCGAGGGCGTCTCTCGCCTATCACAACCTAGCGCAGTCAGGCATGCTTCCAACCGCTGTCAACGACGCCATCAAACAAGTGCGCACACTTTGCGTGCAAGCACCTGCTGATGCTGCCAAACAGTCAGAGCGTACCGCCAAGGCCAACTTCTACACTACCGCCGCGCTGCTGATCGAAATGCTTAGCGACCGACAACGTTCCGGCATTGACGAGCCCAACTTACTGCGATACCTCGAGTCGGTGCAGACACAGCTTGTCAAGGAGGCTCAAGCCGCGGGACCCGGGATCGAGACAGCTCAGATGCGTGCTATCACACTCCGCACAAAAGTCGACGCCGCACTCGCGCTGTCGGACGCAGACAGTAGCAGCAAGAAGCTGTCCAAGCTCAAAGAGCAACTCAAGGACGCCACAAGCAGCGCTCACTTTCCCGCCAGCGACGAGCTGTGGGGCCTTCGTATCCTCGTAGCTTCCAGCATCGCTAGAATGTCAAACAAATCGGTTCAAGACAGTCGCAATGACATTGCTGCAGAATGGCGTCGAGGGCTGCAAGCCTGCTCCGACCACGTCGATGTCGAGGCTGCCAGCTTGTCGGCAGAGGCGAGCCTGTGGTCTCGATTCTTTGACTGGCTTGACAATGGCGTGCTCGGTTCCGAGGCTCAAGGTCGCAAGGAGATCAAGGCAGCTTTCCGCTACAGCTCCGAGCAGTACCGGTGGGCTATTCGCGAAACAGCCTCGTTGCTTTCGCGCAGCTACAGTGGCAAAGCTGCCGACGTTGAAGCGGTGCACCAGTACCGCCAAGAAGTGCACGATCTGTGCGTGCTGCGTTACGTGCGACTCAGCCGTGCCGTGGGCAAGCACGATGACACAATCGCTTGGCTGCTTCAGTCTTGCTTTGCCTCTCACCAAGCGTGGCTGGACGTCATTTCTGAATTGCGGAATCGCGATAGAGAGCCAGAAGCCGACTCGGAACAATCTAGGAAAGATGATCAGATCGTCGACCGGATCTTCAACAAGCTGTTGCAGATCAAGGCGATGGACGTTGAGGTGTGGATCGCCTACCTCGCCTACATGGCCGCCAGCGACATGTCAAGGGCCCTGAATGCGCTGGAGCGATGCAGAAGCACATTGGAGAAGGGCGAGTACAAGCTCGTCGAAAACGAGTGGCAGCGCATCTGCCAAGACTTACAGAGCCGAGCCGACACTGTCAGCGACGCTGATGATGATACGGATGATGATGTAGAGGCCGAAGGGGAGGAGGAAGATTGATTGAGCTCACTTCATGTACTGTGATGGCACTACAAACTCGATCGTCATCATTACGTACTTTTCTGGGAGTGTCTATGAGGATTTCAGTATGTGAATGTTCGATGGTAGGACCGAGAGTAATGTCGCAGAGCTGGCCAGCGGCGATCATCAAAGACGGAAGGCTACATTGACAAGCTCTTCGACATCAAACTCTTCTGGTCTCTTGTGGAAGTCATGCAGGAGCTTTGCGCAAGCGGACTGATCGTTTCCGGCGTCGGATGCTCCACTGGAGGAAGAGGGCAGGTAGAAGCGCTGGAGCGTGAGCGCCAGCAGCTGTGCTTGCGCCTGGTCGATGCGCCCTCCCTTGCCCGTCTTTTCGTTGAGACCGGTGACTTCTCCCCTCATGAGCACCAGACCGTTGCTCTGACAAAGATCCGTGTAGAAGGTAAGGATGAGCACCGGTTGGCTGAAATCTTGCTTGAGCTTGTACTCGGCCAGAGGCGTGAAGAGGGTGGTGGCGGATGGAGGCGCGCCGTTGACGACCGCATTCGGAATGACGGCCCACTCTAGGAACTGCATCTCGAAAGCCTCCTTGGAGGTGCCTGCTGATTCCGAGTGCTCATCGATCACTTCACGCGGAAGGGGAAGAACAAATTGGGGATACCTGCGAGCGTTGGCGAGCATCTCGAGGTACTTTTCTGTTGGGATTACTGCCGAAAGTTTGTTCTTGATGGTGTGATAACCTGCCCAGAGCTTGGTGATCGTCTCCTTGTCCTGTGTAGCGAGCTTTTCAACGTCGATAATCTTGCTGAGAGGCTTGATGGGGCCTTCTTGTGCGCCCGTGGGCGTAGAATGAATCTGACCGGACGCAAGCTTCTTGGCGGCTTCTGCGTCGGATCGCTCTTGAATCGACTGTGCTATCGCACGATCCCGTCTTTCCACCTCGGTCAGTGACTCTGCTGCCCCCTGATTTGTTCCGGCGGATGTTTTTGCCTTCATCGAAGGTGACGCAGGCTGGCTCGGCTTCGCCGCGGCGAATTCCAGGGATCGACGCTTGAACTCTTCGGTGGACAAGCCCTTTTGCATTGCCTTGACCTTGATCTTGGCCTCGTATTCCCGGAGCTTGCGCTCTCGTTTCTGCTGTACAGATGCTCGGTGATCTTGTAGGATCGACGACGTGGCAGTTGATGACAGAGAGTCGCTGCTGCCACTGCGGGCCTGATCGTCAGGTTTGAGGTGCGACCAGGAGAAGGGGAGTGGGGGAGACACCTGTGCCAGGCATGGCTGGACAGTATGGAGCGCGCGTGCGCGAGAGCCAGATGCTATGGAAGCACAAGCAGCGCGCACGGTAGCGCTGAGAGGTCTCATGTCGTCTCGATCAGCAACGTGCTTGTTTGGCTGTAACCAGAAGGTGAGAGGCAGGTCTTTGCTCGAACAGGTGAAAGCAGGACTCTCAACTTGAGCTCGGAACTCGGCCCTACGAACTGCGTCATTTTAATCTTTGGCTGTTGGCGGTAAGCAAGGAGTCGATCTGACATCTCCGGGAAATTTAGTCTGAGCGATCAAAGCCAAGCCTAAACGCCGGTGTTGCAGGACTCAACAAACGGAAACGCTTCCGCGGACGCACTCGCAACATCCTCCGAGACTGCCAAACCCCGGAAATGCAATGCGGAAGATTGTCAAAGTACGCGTGGCTTGCTTCTTGAAGCGCATATCCCCGTCACCAAGGCCATGGGAGAGCGAAAGAGGCTTAGGTCCGTGCGGACATTGGTCGTCGGACCCCGAGCTCTTTGCTGCAGCTCTGCTGTGACTCTCAGAACACGTACATGAACAGTCGTTCTTGCAGGGAATCTGTTGTTTCGACGAGCTTTGTCATCGGCGCAGAACGCATATATTCCAATACACCTGCCCATCATTCACGCTCCTGGCACAACAGCCACATACGCACACATCAAGCGCTAAGACTGCCACCGTTCTCGGCAACGCAGCAAGACCCATCCCCACCCCATCAACTCGAATCCACAATGTCGTCAGGCAAGAGGCTCCTCACCGTTTTCGGTGCTACCGGTCAACAGGGTGGCAGTCTGATCCGTACTGTCCTCAAGACTCCTGCTTTGAGCTCCAGGTATTCGCTTCGTGGCGTCACTCGCGACACTTCGAAGCCAGCTGCTCAGGACCTCGCCAAGCAAGGCGTCGATGTCGTCCGTGCCAACCTCGATGACGTCGCCTCGCTCAAGGAGGCACTCAAAGGTTCCTATGGCGTGTTCGCCGTCACCAACTTCTGGGAGTCCATGGACGGCGCCAAAGAGACGCAGCAAGGTCGCAACATTGTCGATGCGTCCATCGCGACCGGCGTCAAGCACCTTGTCATTTCCAGCCTGCACAACGTCAACAAGCTCACCAACGGCAGCCTCCATGTTCCTCACTTTGACAGCAAGGCTGCCATCGACGACTATGCCGAGTCGGTACGACAAGACAAGATCGATATCTCCTACTACCACCCAGCATTCTTCCTCCAGAACTTTGACGGCATGGCGCAAAAGGGCGAGGATGGTTCCTACAGCATCACCTTGCCCATCAACCCTTCCACCAGAGTTCCTTTCATCGATGCCGTCGCAGACACGGGCAAGTGGGTCGCCAGCATCTTCGAAGCGGGCGCGGTCGCCAATGGTCAGAAGGTGCAAGCTGTCAGCTTTTGGTCCGATATGCAATCCTTCAGCTCGGACCTCGGCAGCGCACTTGGTAAAAAGGTCACTTACAACAACGTCCCCGCCGACGTCTTCAAGAGCTTCCTGCCCGCGGCCATTGCTGACGAACTTACCGAGAACATGAAGCTCATCGATCAGTACAGCTACTACGGCAAGGACTCCGAAAAGGCGCAGCCGGAAAGCGACGCGTTGCTTCTCAAGGATCTTCCGCTTGCTAGCGTAAAGTCGTGGGTCAGCACTTCCAAGCTGCAGTAGCAGTAGCTGTCTTGTCTCAGTGTACCTTGTCCTCGCATCGTGTTAACGTACACCGCCTGATCCGTTCGTGTCTCGGAAGAGCCTCGTGTTCCTGCGCTTCCTGTCTGATGGCTTGTCTGAGAGCCCTGAAGCTTTATGCAGAGCCTCTGATCCGTACAGACGGAAATCCTGAATATGTTAGAGTGTAATTCCTCGGATTCCACGACCGGAGAGGCTCGGCATTCCGAGATGCTCAACCCCGCAAGTGGACCCTGGATGACAGATTGCTCGACGCTGTTGTGCATCGTCGTTCCGGACGTAACATGGCTCATGGCTCACGCCTGATCATGAGCACCGCTGTGTACGAGCAAAAGCGACTCGCATGCTATCCATGCCGAGACAAAAAGGTGAGTGCAGACTGCGAGTCGACGCCATTCCACAGAAGTCTCTCTGACATCTATGCTCTGCATTGCATCTTCTCAGCTCCGATGTACGACAATTCAAGGCGATGTATGCGATCGCTGCAAGCTGCGATCGCTCAGCTGTCGTAGACCGCTTACAAAACGTCGCTCCGAAGGCACTGAGCCAGTCGCTGCCGCCCGGCACAGCTCGAACGAGCCCTTCCCGAGCCGACAGTCACCTTCGAATTCGACGCGGGTTGCTGGACACAAGAGGCTTCGCTCGACCGGCAATGGGCGCTCGGCAATCGACTCGTCAAACGAAACTTCATCCACCAAAGTGTCCGAGCTAATCCCAACAGCAAGCACGTCTCGTACTGTTGATTTCAGCGGATCTTTCGACAGTCGCCCACCTTATCAAAGGTCCCACGACGTGTCGCTACCCCTCGAAAGCGCTGAGCGCCTCTTCTGGAGTATTCTGGATCGTCAGAGAATGTCCAAAGGATCCTTCCATTTTGCGAACCACCTTGACAGCAGCACCGCCCTCGATCCAATTCGGTGTCACATACTGACCACGCGCGAGGCACTTCACCTGGTCGATCGCTTCATGGCAACGTTCGGAAAGACTCTCGCCTATTTCGATCCACGCCTCTGCACCTTCGACTTCCTTCAGTCAAGATCTCAGTCTCTTTTGTCCATCATCTGTCTCACCATGGCTCGTGTAGAGCCCTGCTTTGGGCAAATCGCGTCTCGGCTGGAACAGCACGTTCACGGAACCGTCTATCCGGCTATTTTGTCCGGTGGTTTCCGCTCCGTCGAGGTCGTACAGGCGCTGCTTATGTTGGCAGCGTTCGAGCCTCCCACTGAGGACGTTCGCGAAGACAAATCCTGGTCTCTCCTCTCTCACGCTGCTCGAGTAGCCAGCGAAATCAATCTTCAAGCCTGCATGATCGAGAAAACAGACACTGATCATGCCAGTGAGGCTGATCAGCTACAGCAACGTCATGCTCAGCGGACGTGGATCAACCTTTGGCTTCACGAATTCTCCTTGGCCCAGCACACTGGACGTCAGAGTATTCTTGCCGAGCAGGATCTCTTCTCCTCTTGTCGCGACTGGCATCACCATCCTCTGGCCCACTACACTGACATCGCTCTTGTGTCCATGGTCGAGCTGCGGACGATCATCAAGAAGAATCGCAGTCTGTTCCGCCTGCTGTCGCCTGGCAACGAGATGATCTTCGCCGAGCAGTGCAAGACTCAAATCGAAGCCTGGTCGAGATCATGGTTCAATGAACGGTCCTCTATCGACTCGATCCCTCGCCTAGAGCTCTCTCAGCTCTACGTCAACCATGCTTTCGTTCAACTGCTAGGACTAGCTTTGCATCATCAGCCCCAATCCGAGTGGCCATCAAGCATTGTACTGGACCTCTATGAGGCGTGCGGTACCTACCTTGACGTGTTTCCGCAGCGCTTGCCTTCCCACAGATTGCTGTATTGCTACAATTCCATGTGGGTGGCTGCCTCTTACCAAGTGATCGTGGCGGTTAGGCTCGCCCAACTAGGTTCTAGCTTCGCCTTCATCGATGGCGACATGCTCCTGCAAAAGTGTCAGCGAGTCCACGCGTGCATCGCATCAGCCGCTAAAGTGTCAGCGCCAGGCACGGCGGCACATTGCTACGAGCGCTTTCTGGACGGTGTCTTGCGCACGTCATCTTCTGTATCGACCGGCGATGCGATGGAGCGGACTTCATCCACTGAAGCCTCATCGTCTGATTCCATCGCAGAAACGCTTGTGCAGGTCTCGCAGGGCCTACACACAATCGCCGACCCGTCGGTGCCGTCGTCCGAGCATTTGACCGAGCCGACGTTTGGATCTTTGCTAGGGTTTGATGACCTGGAGTTCTTCGCCTGGGCAGGCGCTTCGCTGGCTCAAAACGATGATTTCAATGCATAGATGGTCGTATTTTTCCAAGTTGCGCTCTGCATGGCGTTAATCCTGTGCCGAAGACGTATCTGCTAGCTTTTGTTTGCCGTGCCCAGAGGATGGTGAGGGCGAGCTTATCTTGGCTATCTCGTCCCGCCCCTACACCCGCGACGCACCTTGCTGCAGTGACGTTGTCGTTGGAGCTCCGTCAGCGTTGACGTGCCAGCCCGAATCACCCACGCGCCTCCGCGGCTGTGACCATCATCCGCCAAAAGCGATTCCATTCCGTGTCAAAGTAGCGGCGACTGCGAGGTCGTACCGGCTGCTCGTACAGTTCACGCAAGACGGTATTGGGTCGAGACTGGTGGGGCTCAGCCTCATACCTGGTCTACCAAGCAGAAAGTGCACATCGGTTGGCTTGTCAACCGGTGCCGAGCGAACCTACAGTTTCCTTGCTTGTGTGGTTGCGATTTTCATTTATTTTTTATTTAATTGTTTATTTTGGGTTTTTTGTTCCTCGAACAAACAGTCATGGTGTATCAGAAGAGAGATACAGAGTAGAGGAGTGCTTTTTCTAGCAGTCAAAGACCAACACTTCGCTAGAAGCGGCAACTTGCAACACACGCGGTCCAGTTGAACGAGTCGCGTGTGTGTCAAAAGTGTCGGAATAATCTTTCGCCTGCTCGCTAGCCGTGTCGGCCTGATCAAGGGATTTCCGCTGCATGCATGGCCAAGGTGCTGTCGGACTCTTCCGAAACGACCCACCCACGATTGATGCGCAACAGAGCGTTGTTTCTGCACACTTGCTACTTTGGCTTTCCACTCTCTCGGTCTCGGTCACGTCTTCTTCCACGCTCTTGTCGGCATTCCCGCATCACTTCAACCCCCCGACTATCGTCGCTGCGACTCTGGCGTTCTGCCCTTTGTCACCGCCATCACTTGCTTCACTCGACTTCCTCTGCTGCTATTCGCATCGTCACCATCACAACCGCTGGTCTCGGTCCCCGCTCTGTTGAATTCCTTACGATCGCATTTCCGCTCAACACAGCTCTCCCCGACAAAGAATCATCCTCATACCTTTTTCCAGCATTGCTGCCTTCTTCCTGCACTCACAGTTCATTCGGCTGCTGTATCGACAGTCCAAAGGCAATTGCCAACGACGACTTTGGCGCGTCAAAACAGGCTCGCAAGGTGTCCATAACAGTCCAAGATGCCTGCGCTGCTGCAAGACCAGATCGAACTCAAAGATGGGCTGCCAGACGGGGTCCACGTCCATGATGTCGAGGACGAACTGCCTGAAGCATACTGCGGAGGCTGTGGCCGTCTCATCGACGAGGAGAGCGTCGAGGAGGGCGTCATTCAGTTCGCCACCAAGCTCTGGCACATCGAGTGCTTTCGTTGCGCAAAGTGCAAGAACAGAGTCAGCACCGAGCGGGATGACATTTTGCTCCTCTCCGACGGCCATCCCATATGCGGCGAGTGCAATTACTCCTGCAATATCTGCAACTTGCCCATCATGGAGGAGGCTATCATGACTGGCGACGAATCGTACCACGCCTCCTGCTTCACCTGCCGTTCGTGCCATTCCAAGATCGAAGAGCTCGTCTTCGCCAAGACGAGCCAAGGCATCTATTGCATGAAGTGCCACAACGACCGTGTCGCTCGCAGTCGCAAGCATGCAGAGCAGAAGCGAGCAAAAGCACGCCGTGAAAAGCAACTTCAGGATGCGCAGGCTGCCGAATCCCACCAGCCCAGCAACACGCCCACCCCGGATCCTGCCGCCTCGGCACGGTCCCCTGCCATGGACCTACCGCCATCGCTCCCATCTAAAGAATCGCCTGCATCGCCGTCTGCTTCGATCCTCGCTTCTCCGGCGCCTTCCACCAACGGAGCAAGCCTTTCGCCCTACATCAATCAAAGCGGCTCAACCTCGGCCATTCGCCCAGGTAGTGCCGGCGGCAAGCGCCCCATGAACGCGCCACCGCCTCCCACTCGCGAAGCACGTAGTCCTGCGATGGCTGCGCAGGCCAAGCTCGAGGGTCGGAGCATCCAGACCTCCAATGCCTCTCAGACGTCGTTGTCATCCGTCATGGCTGACGATGGGCTGCAGCCTCATCACAAAGAGTACGAGGTCACCGCTCCCCTTTCACCCCGCAAGAAGACCTTTGGTTCCGGCGTCAGCTCTCCAATCGGCTCGCCAGCTGCCACGAAAATCCGCCTGGCCAACGTCGATGAGCCAGACTCTACCACCAGCCCGACAGCGTCACCGTTCAAGAGAAGCGTTCCTCTTGACGGCTCCCCGCGAGCCGATGCTGGCAGGACGCTTCGGCCCTCGACGAGTCGCGAAGGTCTCGGCGTCAACTTGCGAAGCTCGAGCATCAAATCCGGAGCAGGTCCTCGCAATCCGCTCAACGCTTCCTCGTCTTCTTCGCGTTTGTCCAAGGTGTACTCGTTCTACGATCCTGACTTCCTCAACCTTGTCGAATCATTTGGCGAGTTCGGCTCGCACGACGAGCTGCTAGGCCGAACTCCTCCAGTCCCGGCTTTGTCAGAGTCGATTCCTGCCACCTCTGTTTCGACCGACCCATCCGAATCAGAAACAGATGCCATGGTTGCATCCGAGCCACCCCTCGAACGCCGTACACCTGCGCTCCAGACGGCGACAGCAGCGCAGCCAGGCGGCGGTGATGCACAGGCCGAGCGCGACGGAAAACAATCGTCTTCTCTACGGACAGCTTCCGCTTCGAAAGCTCAAGGGACTTCCGACAGCGAGGAGGAATTGCTCCAAGACGATCGCCTACCTCTCAAAGACGATCGCAGGCACACAGCCGCTTCCACCGACTCGCTGACAGAGGTCTCGTCCAAAGTTCGTGCTTCCATGCAACAGGCTCGAGACGGACTCGTGAGTATGGATATCTCCTTTGTCGAGACGATCCTGCAGGATCTCGAGCAGACGCGACAGCGCATGGAAACTCTGCAGTTGCGATACGACCGCATCCGACGTGCGAGTCAGCAAGCAGCTCACGGTTTCACCATGGCAAAAGAGGAATTCGAGCACGAGGTCAACGCGAGGCATGAAGCAGAGCTTGAGATGGCGCGTCTCCGCAGACAGCTCGCAGAGCAAGCGCTCAAGCTAGCCGCCGTCAACAGCGAAAGGCGCCAGCACGAGCAGCTCGAACGACGCTCTCAGGACGTCAAGGCATCGCTCAAAGGCATGGAACGCGACTTGGCCAAGCTGACGGCAGAGCGCGAGCTCACCGTCGCAGAAGTTGCCGAGCTTGTGGCTCTGCAGGACGGCGCCGCTGGTTCATCGTCCTCAACCAGACCATCCGCCGATGGAGCTCGCTCTTCGACCAGTACGGTGGACGCTGCCATCACGCAAAATCTCACCTCGCGTCTCGAAGCGGTCAAGAGTCGTTATCGGAATGAGATCGACGAGCTGACGCTGGAGCGCGATTCTCTGCTCATCGAAATCGAAGAGCTCAAGCAGTCCAAGGATCTCTTTTTGGAAGAGGCCCAGGGCCTCAACGCCAAAAACGAGGAACTCAATACACTGCTAGGTCAGCTCAATCGCAAAGTCGAGCTTGCCTCTCAATCCAGAGACCAGTTGCCACCTTTGCCTAAGGACGTCTCGTCGACCTCGGCCAAGGGCTCGAGCAGTCACGGTTTCGGCTTTGGGTCGCGTCACAGGCTCGTGCAGAAGCACACGCCGCACAACGCATCCATCTCGTCGGACGCACCACCAAGCAGCGCCGGCTACGACACGGTCTCGGTCGACACAGCTGTGCAGCAGATTATCAAACCGAGTCGGTTCGAACCAGCACCGGTGGTCAAGAAGTTCAAATGGATGAAGCCAAAGACGTCCGAGACGACCAGAGCCGCGACCCAAGCGGGACAAAGTGGTGCGGTGCCCCCAGTTCCCCCCAAGAATGGAAACCTCGGGGCCAGCGGCGGTGCCGCCGTCATGACGCGTGCTACCTCGCACGACGTTGTGGTGCGCGAACACCTCTTCCAACCTTTCAATGTGCTGCGACCCACGCGCTGTTTTGCCTGTCAGAAGAACATGTGGGGACAGTCCGAGATGCGATGCGCTGTCTGCACGCAGGTGTGCCACTCGCGCTGCCTGCAGAACCTGACAGTGTCTTGTCACCAGCCGTACATGCGACCAGACGAGGGCCAAGCCGAGAACACGGGTCCGTCCATGTTTGGCCGGTCGCTAGCGGAACAGGCTGCGCACGAGGGACGCGATGTGCCTCTGGTGGTCGAGAAATGCATCCAGGCCGTCGAGGCGTTTGGTATGGACTACGAGGGCATCTACCGCAAGTCTGGCGGCACTTCGCAGCTCAAAGTCATCACACAGCTCTTCGAGCGTGGCAACGCATTCGATCTGGAGGACACGGATCGATTCAACGACGTTTCTGCCATCACCAGTGTCTTGAAGAACTACTTCCGCGAGCTTCCCACGCCTCTGCTCACGTTTGAGCTCTACGACAAGCTGATCAAGGTGGTCGAGTCCAAACAAGAGGACACGACCACAAAGCGGGATCTCATCAAGCAGATGGTGGATCGTCTGCCGCGACAGCACTATTGCACGCTTCAGCATCTCGTGCTGCACCTGCATCGCGTTCAGCAGCGGAGCGTGGACAACAGGATGAACGCGCGCAACCTGGGTGTTGTGTTCGGTCCCACGTTGATGCGATCAGCCGACCCGACGCAGGAGTTTGCGCACATGGGCGGCAAAGCTATGACCATCGAATTCTTCATCGATCACGCACCGGAGCTCTTTGCCTAGACGGTAAGGACGTTGAGAGAGGCTCTTCCATTTGTATACCATCGCACATAGCGCTCACCATTGCCGGCAATCGCATTTCTCGCCTTTGAGCATCACCTCCCCCCTTCGCAGATTGTGCCACACACACACACACACACACACACGCGCGCGCGCGCTCACTCTGCGACAAGGCACACTCGATGAAGATCAGAGATTCTCTAGAGACAGCGAGTGGTATTGTCGCATAGCTTGAACTTGGGTAGTGGAGGAATCCTTTCATGTTTTGTGTTCTGTCATATGTACCTTTTGTTTTGGGATGAGGGGGGCGGGAAGGAGAGGCGTAGACCATATCGCAACCTCTGTTCAGCAGTAGCGAGATGGCACGGCGTTGATTTTTGGTTTTATGAATGATGATGCTGCGATGGGATGATGTTGTGTAATTTGAGGGAGAGCAATGCAAATGCGCAGACACGCTGGCTCGTTCATGTGGCTGGCGAGGAAGCCGAGGGAAGATGGACGGACGCAAGAAGAGGAGAAAGCACAGCAGCTGCAACATTCAACGCTGCCACGCCGGCTTGTTCGACATGCGACTGCGACGAGGTGAGGCAGCACCGCCCGCGCCCGGCCCTCCAGGCCCCGATGCGCCGCCCATCGCTGGACTGGTAGGCGAATACTGCGGCGATGTCGGCGAATATTGAGGCGAAGCGGGCGAGTACTGTGGAGACGTCGGCGAGAAGGCTGGCGAAGCCGGAGAATACTGCGGTGAGGTGGGCGAGTAGGCGGGTGACGTCGGGCTGAAGCCCTTGACCCCACCTCGTCCAGCCATGGCAGGCGACGTGGGCGAGTATACAGGCGAGGTCGGCGTGTAGGCGGGACTGGCCGGACTGTAGTTCGGGCTGGTGGGCGAGAACTTAGGCGACGCAGGCGAGTATTGAGGGCTTGTCGCGGCACCATAGCGACCCATAGGACTCGTCGGACTCATGCGCGGGCTCGTAGGCGAATAGCCTGCTCCTGCCGGACTCGAAGGCGAGTAGTTCGGCGAGGCTGGGCTGTAGCTCGGCGATGTCGGCGAATACGACGGGCTGGTGGCGCCGCCAAAGATGCGCGGAGATGTCGGGCTGTAAGCTGGCGAGGTAGCGCCCATGCCGTTGTTGCCGGTCCAGGGACTCATGCCGCCAAGAGCACCTGCCGGCGAGGTGGCGTAGCCGGGCGAGGTGGGCACGTACCCTGGCGAGACGGGCGAGAAACCGTAGCCGGCGGGACTTTGTGCTCCCAAAGGCGTGCGCATAGGACTCGTTCCGGAAAGCAGATAGTCGTTATAGCCTCCCTCGTCGCCACCGGTCTGCGCGAGGGGACTGAACATGGCCTGCTCGTGGACGCGGAAAGCATCGTCTGACGCTGGCGAGCTCGAGTCGTAAGGCGTCATGGCTCCTGGCGTCTTGCCACCCGCGGCGTCGAGCGAACGTGACGCAAGCATCGTGTCGTAGGGCAGCGCGTGGTTGACGATCGTATCCTTCAGCATGTCGAGATCCAAGTTGAGATCAAAGGCGCCCGTGCCCATAGGTGCCATCTGGCCGAGCAGGACGTTCTGAGCGACACCCTTGCAGTCATCGACATCACCCATGGACGCTGCCTCGATCAGCAGCTCGACGGTCTCCTCGAAGGTACATCGCATGAGGGCACCCTGGTTCGTACGGTTGATGCCGTGACGTGTGATGGCCATCAACGCACCTTGACTCGTCATAATGTCGCACAGCAGCGCGAGGTGGCGGTAGTTGACATACGAACCGTCAAACTCGATGACCGCGCGGGTTTCTCTTAGCAACGAGTTACGCGCGGCCTCGATACCGAAGACGCGGAAGATTTCGACTGGGTTATTGCAGCTCGTTCGGATGGCGTCGACACCTTCGACGGCGAGCACCTCGGCAAGGTTGCTTCCGTCGGTCTCGAGCACCCATTCTGAAACGGTGCGCCAATCGCCTGTAACAGGGTCAATCCTTCGAGTCTTGTTGTCCTGCTGCACAATGTAAACCTTCTTGATGCCCTTGATTCCCTTGAGATCGATCTCGGCGAGCATCTGCGAGGCGAGGTTCTTGAGGAAGATCTCCTCTTCGCCCTGTGCCTCCTTCTCGGGGTCATTGTCGACCACACGGATACGCAAGATAAGGTTCTCGGCGTTGTCTTCCGAGTGCATCACGAAGATGTCCTGCCCGAACATGGCGCTGATCTTGGAAGCCACGTCAGCCATGGTCAAGTTCTTATCGAGCATTTGAGCACGATCGAGCTCCAATCGCAACAGCCACGGCGACTGGCGCTCCAGGCTCGCCTCGACCTCTTCGTCGGGAATGGCGAAGAAGGCCTCGACGAAGTCCTTGTCGTCTTCGATGACCGTTGCCGACGGATCGGGATCGTAATGGACTTCGACGGCCGAAGTGACCGTCTGCAGCGTCGTGTGTGCGAGCGCAGTCTGGATGACTTTAGCCGACTCCTGCGATTGGCTGTACTGTCCAGTGAGGTAGACCGTCACCGACGGCGTCTTGATGTTCTCGGCGCAGTTGATGATTTCCTTGAGACGCGGCACACCGAGCGTGACGTTCTTACTCGACACACCGGCATAATGGAAGGTGTTGAGCGTCATCTGGGTAGCCGGCTCTCCGATACTCTGCGCTGCAAGCGTGCCGCACATCTCACCCGGGTTGGCAACCGAGCGAGCAAACTGGCCCTCGATCTCGCCAAGAATCCACTCCCAAGCCTCCTTGTTGATGTGGTGCTGCTCGATGACCATCTTCGAGCAGAGATACGAGCGCAAGTGGATCTTGAAGAGTAGGGTGGCGTTCATCTGCGCCTCGCGCGAGATGGGATCGTCGCCGCGAATGACGACCAGGCGGTCCAGTACGTTGCGCAGGCCAATGATGACCTCGGCGGGAGAGAGATCGGTGGCCTTTCGCTGATCGACGTGGAAGATCTGCTGCGCGTTGAGCACCAAACGCGCCACGTTCATCGGCAGCTTCACCTGCACCTGATCCGATTGGAAGATCTCGGTGCGAAGGAGTTGGCGGTCGAACTCGAGCTGAGCAAACTCTTCGTCGAGAAGGTCTTGCAGCTCCTGCGACCAGTCGCCCAGACCAGGACGAAGCGTGCCCTTCTTGAAGCCGCCGTCGTGCAGATCCACACGGAACATGTGGCGGAAGTCGGCATCGTTGAGCTTCAAGGTCAGCAGCGTCTGCGTTTCGACCTGTGCACCGTCAATGCCATCTTCGCCGTAAGCGAACTGGATGACGTTGTTGGTCGAGTTTCGCACCGTGCCATCATAGCAGACCATGACGTCCTCGAGCGCCTTGACCAAACGACGCTGGATGTAACCTGTCTCGGCCGTCTTGACAGCGGTGTCGATGAGACCTTCTCGACCTGCCATGGCGTGGAAGAAGAACTCTTGCGCGGTGAGACCACGCAGATAGGAGTTCTCGACGAAGCCACGGCTCTCGGGCGTGAAGTCATCCTTGGTGAAGTGCGGGAGACTGCGGTGGCGGAAGCCGAACGGAATTCGCTTTCCTTCGACGGACTGTTGACCGACACAGGCCGACATCTGCGAAATGTTGATGAATGAACCTTTAGATCCGGACACCACCATCTGCTTGACGGCGTTGAAGTCGGGCAGACTGGCCTCGGCGTGATTGCCGACGTCGTCACGCGCCTGGTTGAGCACACGGTTGACGTTGGCCTCGAAGGATTCTCGCAGCGTCATACCAGCCTCGACCTTGAGCCAATCGTGCCTGGCGTACTTGATATAGTCCATGACGGCCGCCTTGGCTGCGGCAATGGTCTGGTTGATGCTGTCCGTGGTGGCTTTGTCCGCCACCGTGTCGCCGATACCGATAGAGAACCCGTTGTGTAGCAGCCAAAAGTTGACGACACGCTGAACTCCGGAAAAGAAGCGCTTGCAGACGACGGGACCCTTCTCTCGGAAGATGATATGGATGAGACCGCCGGCTGAGGCACCGACGACCTTCTTGTTGATAACGCCGTACATTATCTCGCCGTTCTCGATGTAGACACCGTCGTCCTTGAGGAAGTTGTTCTTCAAGCCCTTATCCTTATCCAAGAACACGTTGATACCCTTTGGGATGCACATCGACAGGATCTGCTTACCAGACCAGTACGGCTTCGGTTTGAGGATACAGGGCATGGGCACGACACCATCCCAGTCGGCCACCCACAGCAGTACCTGCTGCACCTGGTGGTAATCGAGCAGACAGTCTCGCAGCGAGAACTTGCGGATACCGCAAAGAGTGTCTTGCACGATGCCCATGACAGGCTTGTTGGCCTGTGGCGAAACGATCTGCCGAGGCACCCATGCAATCTGCGAGAGTTCGGCACGGGTCTCTTCGCTCTGCGGAACATGCAAGTTCATCTCGTCACCGTCGAAATCGGCGTTGTAGGGAGGCGTGACACTGAGGTTGAGTCGGAAGGTGGAGTAGTCCATCAGCTTGATGCGATGCGACATCATGGACATCTTGTGCAGAGAGGGCTGACGGTTGAAGAGAATGTAATCGCCATCCTTGAGGTGACGCTCCACGATCCATCCGGGCTGAAGCGCCATGTCGCTTCGCCTGTTGTACTTCAGGTCGATACGCTCACCCGTGTCGCGGATGACGTACTTGGCACCAGGGTAGTCGTTCGGGCCGTTGCGCACCAGCTCCGATAGCCATGCCCTGTTGTATGGAGTGACTCGCTCTGGATAGGTGAGGTTACGCGCGATCGACTTGGGCACACCAACCTCGTCGAGCTCGAGAAGCGGATCACCTGTGATGACCGTTCGCGCCGAGAAGTTGACACGCTTGCCCATCAGGTTTCCACGCAGACGGCCTTCCTTGCCCTTCAGACGCGCGCGGATCGACTTAATCGGCCTACCGCTCGACTGCATAGCTTGAGGTTGTCCTGCGATGTCGTTGTCCATGAACGTCGCGCAGTGAAATTGGAGCAGCTGCTCGAAGTCGGCCAAGATGTGCGCCGGCGTACCTTCCTGCTCCATCTTCTTGAGCGTGGCGTTGGCGCGAATGACGTCGGCGAGCTTGTAGGTCAAGTCGTCCTCTCCTCCATCTTGGACGGAGGGACGGACGGGGGGTGGTGGAACGGGCAGGACGGTCAAGACCATCCAATCGGGACGTGCGTTGTCTTCCGAGAGACCGAGAGTGGCGATGTCTTCGCTCGACATCTTTTTCAGAATGGTATGTGCCTCCGAAGCGGGCAAAGGTCGCTTCTCGGCTTGGGCAATCGCATTCTCCTCGCCGTCTTCGTCCTCACCCTTGCCCTTCTTCCACTGGGTGAAGAGCTTGAGACCCTCGCGACGGATGTTGGGTTGGATGCGACCACATCCGCCGTGACCGGGTCTGTTGTTCTCCTCGAAACCCATGTCGTCGTCCTCCTTGGGTTCGTCGGCCTCGCAAATCATCTTCTTTGAGCAGTACTCCCAAACGCGCTGGAAACGTCGCTTCCTGCTACCGCGGGTCGCTTTGACGATCTGATCGAAGATTGGGTCCGTGACGACGTCCGCTTTGAGCTTTCCGCAATGAAAACAGACGCACTCGAGGATCTTCTTGACCTTGCCGAGGTAGCCGATGTGGAAGACGGGCTTCGCGAGATCAATGTGACCAAAGTGGCCCGGACATTCCTGGTGGCCTTCACCGCAGGTCTGGCACTTGTAATTTCTGTCGAGCGTGCCGAGGCGTGGGTCGGAAAGACCGCCGATCCTGGGCTTGCCAGCCTCATCCTTAATCTCGGGGACCTCGACCTTGCACACCGAGATGGCTCTCTGTGGAACGCGACGGGCGAAGGGGCCAAAGCAAAAGGTGAGTAGACAGCAGGCAGGAGAAGAAGGGGGAGCAGGACAAATCGGAATCCGTCAGCATGGTGCACTTTTTTTAGCAGCGGCAATCTGGACGCAAACATCGTAAACACCTTCTCGCCCAACCCACGAATGCTTCGATAAAACACTAAGAAGGGAAAGGAGGTGACGGGATGGGTGCGAACGAGATACCTACAATCTCTTCTGGGCTCAAAATACCGAACTGCACCTCGCGCACAGGGCGAATGGGTGCAGTGGAATGAGCGAAAGATTGTCCTGCCTGAGCGCTCATGGTGCAGTTGAGATCGTCGTCTTCGTTTTACTCGGATGCTAGAACCGACGGACAAGCTGACGAAGATGGCACGGTGTCGAGTGGTATGAGTGGCCGATCGTTGTACAACTAGGTTGGCGATTAGCGCTTTTGATCGTGATGGCAGCAGTGATAGGCTCAAGGGGCGAAATGTGTCGAGGAACCAGGGGCGTCGCAAAGGCGAAGGTGCCAAGCCAGAGAATGATTCCGTTTAGACGAGTCCGGTGTCACGCCGCGAACGCAGACAAAGGTGGCTGTCCACGACGATGAGATGCGTGCAATTTAGATGCTGGGCATGTATGGATATGAATGACCCGGTGAGAGGTGAAGGATGCAAGGTCGAATAGCAGTCGAGGCTAGGCGCGGGTTGCGAAGAAGAGCGTCGCAAGAAGCAGATGCTCTGGCGACCGACTGCAATGGGGAGAGCTGCACACCAATTGCTGATGGCAGTCTTAAGCCGATGTTGTCGGTGCGGTAGATTGTGTCGTAAGGAGTGTAAAAGAGAGATGCTGCACTCGGCGCGGAAACGTCGAAGCTGATTGCTACTTTCGAGTTGCGGTGGTGACCAAAAAAGACGAACACGATGCTGAGAAGGATGAAGGATGAAGATGGAAGGATGCGGGATGACGGTGACGAAGGGGATGAGGTGGTGGTGGCGAGGAGAATCAGATGGCGGCGGGATGGCGAGTCCAATTGACGGACCCCGACGACGACAGCGACGGCGACGAAAGAGAAGCGCGACAGGCCAAGGCGAAGGAGCGCATCTCGAGCCTTCCAATTTCTCGTTTCTGTGTCGTCCGGATGGACAGAAGGGCAGAAGACTGGCAGCAGAGACACAGAGCGCCTCGACGGCGCGCATTTTCGATTAACTGACTAACTGACTGACTGAGCGGCATCGAGTACTGCTGCTGCTGAGCAACTGGGCGCGCGCTCTCTCTGTTTCTGCCTGCCAAATCAGCAGGATGCTGTTGACTGAGCAGCAGTAGCGCAGCAGCAGAAATCGTCCCAATTTGGGCGAAATACGTGATCGATTTCACAAAGTATGTCATGAGCAGTGTTGGCTCGCCAGGACCTAACACTACGGCTTCGCCGCTGCCGAGTCCGAGGGACGCCTGGTCGGTCGGTCGGTCAATTCTCCTCTCTGATCTGGAACTGGCTGGACTGGGCTGAGCTGCAAGCCGGCCAAGCTCTGACGCTGATGCACAGCTTCATCACCTCGACACTGACCGCAGAGGCCCACTTCAGAAACACACACGCGCCGAAGCGAGACCCTCGATACCCCAGTCCCGCTTGCATTCGCACCGACCCTTTTCCTGTCCTCTCTTGCTCTTTCTCGTCCTCCGTCATCCGACCCAATCACCCTCAGCATCCGTCACGCTCAAAAGTGCTCCGAGCTCTAGATCTGTATCGGTGTTAAGGTCCAAGGCGATTGCCACGCCACCGCGCCACACGCAGCTCGCAGATCGCCAGCGACTCTTCCCCACATCCGCTTTCCACTCGAATCTGATCGCACATCATGTCGGCACTGTGGTCCGGATGGGGCGCAGACGCCTTTACCGAGCAGGTCGAGAAGGCTACCTCGGAACTGCTGCCCGTCGGCTCAGAAGACATCGCCCTCAACCTCGAGATCTGCGACCAGGTGCGTGCAAAACAGGTCCCAGCCAAGCAGGCTATGCAGGTCCTCAAGCGCCGCGTCAGCCACAAGAACCCCAACGTCGTTCTCCTTGCTCTTGGACTCACAGATATTTGCATCAAGAATGGCGGCGACCACTTCCTCCAGGAAGTCGCATCGCGCGAGTTTATGGACAACCTCGTCTCCGTCCTTCGCAATCCATCCGGCGTCAACAACGACGTCAAGAACAAAGCCCTCGGCCTCATCCAAAACTGGTCCCAGATCGCGCAGGCAAAGCCTTCCCACATGAGCTACATCACCGACATCTACAAGCAGCTCAAGAGCGATGACAATCTCGATTTTCCTCCTCTCGATCCCAACGCCACCGCAGCAGCAGCCCTTGTCGAAACCCTCACTGCGCCAGAGTGGGTTGACGGCGAAGTATGCATGCGTTGCCGTACCGCCTTCACTACTTTCAATCGTAAGCATCACTGTCGCAACTGCGGCAACGTCTTCTGTCAGCAATGCTCCAGTCACAATATGGCACTGCCCTGGTTCGGCATCGGTCAAGACGTGCGTGTCTGCGACGGCTGCTTTGCTCGAAAGGGGCCTCCCAAGAACGCTGCCAAGCTCTCACGCTCCAAGAGTGCCAGCTCTTCCTCTCCGTCAGCCTCCAGCAAGCACGTCCCAACCGGGCGCGGTGCATCATCGTCCTCGTCGCACCAACGCTCTGCCACCGTCGGCAGCAAGTCCAAGCGCAACGCTCGCCAAAAGGAGGAGGACGACATTGCACTCGCCATCAAGCTCTCACTCGAGGCATCGGGTCAAGGTGCAGCTCAAGCTTCGCGTCCCGACACTTTCGCCACCCCTAGTCAACCCTCTGCTGCATCCTCTACCGCGCAGAAAGCTCCCAACGGCCGTGTGCTTGAAGGCACCGACGCCGACGATGACCCCGATCTGGCTGCTGCTATCGCTGCCAGCCTGCGCGACTGGGCACCTCCGCAGCCAAGTGCTCCCCTCGGTCTCAACGACACCGCGGGTGTTGTACCGACTTCCGCAACTTATGCCAACGAATCCGCAAGCTCGAATCTGCCCTTGCCGCCCTCGCTCGACTTGGCACCACAAGATGTCGACAACATTCTCACCTTTTCCCAGACCGTCCGAGCGCAGCAGGCGCACAATCAGCGCAGCGGCATGGTAGGTGCGCTTCTACCACCATCGGTACAAACAGCGTATGAGAGAGCATCCTCGTCAAGGCCACGCATGGCTCGCAACCTCGAAGAAGGCCATCGTCGTCACAATGTGCTGGTTTCGATGCACGATAAGCTCACCGAGGCGGTGCGTCTCTACGACCATTTGCTCGATGCTCAGATGACACGTCCTGCCCAGAGCTACGTTCCGAATGGCTATGCACAGGCCGACTATCGCACCTCTGCACACCAGGGCTACGGATATGGATACGAACAGTCTACACCATCACATGAATCCGCATACGCAGCCCAGCATACCGCATCTTCCTCCCTTTACCCACAAGCACCGCAGATCCACGCCGATCCACGGGCAGATCCCCAAGGTACGCCTGCCCAGTGGCATCCGCAGCAGCACCAGCAGCTGCAGTATCAACAGCAAACTTATCGACAAGACCCACAGCAATACGCGACTCAACCTTCTCAGCCGCCATTCGCGCCACACCAAACCCACCAGCAGCAGCACCTACAGCAGCATCCAGATCAGCAATACCACCACTTCACGGCACCACAGTCAGCTAACAGCTACTCGAACGGCGTCTACTCCGATCCGAACCAAGCGCTGTCGCCAGCGCCTGCAGCAGCTTCGGCGCAGTACGCACCTTATGACTACTCGAGCGCACCGATTGGCGGCGCTTCTGATCCACAGGCAAATGGCGCTGCATGGACGGTCGGAGTTGGCTATGCTGAAGTCAACGGAGCGCCGAGCATGCCATCTGCAGGACCGCCAGGAGCGCTCGGTTCAGGCCCTCTCTCGGTGCGGACAGAGGGCATCATGAGTGGTGCACCATCCAATGTCTCGGCGGTGGCGCCCCCCGAAGCGTCCGAGGCGATAGATGATAGTCAAGGTGACGAATCGCGCTCGTCTCGTTTGTCAGCAGACGCGTCGCTTTCGAGCCGCAACGGATGGACCAAGGTGCCCATCCAAGCAGTCGGGGCGCTTGCGCAGCAACCGAGCCCAACCTCGCATGTTGAGCCCGCCTTGCAGCATCAACAGCCGCAGCCGCAGCAATACCAGCAGCATCCTCCGCAGCAGCAGCGACAACAGCAAGCGCCTGTCAAGGCTGATACGAGCTGTCTGCCTCTGTTCCCGGTAGCGCCTCATCCGGACAATGGATTTGGAGCAGATAGGAACGGGGCGGAGGCTGAAGCGACGTCGCCCTATGCGAACGCGCCCTCGTCGGCGGGTATGTGGCAGAGCTCGGCTGGCAAGAGTCCGGCGGGGGCTAACGCGGCGGCTACGGAATCGCCGTTGATCGAATTCTGAAGGTCTTTCGGGCCAATCTAGCTAAGTTGATGTTTTTGGAATGCAGCCGTTTTGTCTGTTCTGACGTGCTTGTGGCTTGGATCGTCTGATCCGTGCGTGTTCGAGGGACAGTGTTCGGAAGTGATCCGATTCGTGGGAGCGCATGAACGTTCAACAAGACAAAACGAACTCTCACGCAGGCAGACGAGCACACTTCCAAAGACGATGCATGCAACGAGATATGAAGATTATGGTGTACGTGAGACACTCGCTAGTACTACAAGGGAAAGGGGGGAATATGAACCGTTGAAGGGCAAGACAGGGGAGACACAGGAGAAGGCCAGCCATTTTTGAAGAGGAACGAGATGAGGGATGCGCGAGGAGAAGTAGAACGAACGATGCGTGATGAACGCGGATAGGACTCGAAAGGCCAAAAGAAAGATGATGCTAGTCTATGAGAAGCAAGGCGCGCAGGTGTTGTCTACCGGGCGCGAGCTGGTCGCTTACCAGCCGCGATCAGCGAGACGACCGCCCTTGATGTCCTTGGTGATGTTGAGACCAACCATGGCCTCACCGAGATTCTCCGAGACGGCGGCGAGCTTGGCGGGATCGTTGTAGTGGGTGACAGCCTCGACGATGGCGCGTGCACGCTGGGCGGGGTTGTTGCCCTTGAAGATACCCGAACCGACGAATACACCGTCGCTGCCGAGCTGCATCATGAGCGCAGCGTCGGCGGGGGTAGCGATACCACCGGCGGCAAAGTTGACGACGGGAAGACGCTTCAAACGAGCGGTCTCCTTGAGAAGGTGGAAGGGAGCCTGGATGTCCTTGGCGTACGCGTAGAGCTCCTCGTCGCTCATGGACGAGACGCGCTTGATCTCGCCCTGGATGGTGCGCTGGTGACGGACAGCCTCTACAACATTTCCGGTACCGGCCTCACCCTTTGTTCGGATCATGGCGGCACCCTCCGAGATACGTCGGAGCGCTTCGCCGAGGTTCTTGGCACCGCAGACGAAGGGAACCTTGAAGTTGTGCTTGTTGATGTGGTGCTGGTCGTCGGCAGGGGTGAGCACCTCGGACTCGTCAATGTAGTCGACGCCGATAGCCTGGAGGATCTGGGCCTCGACGATGTGGCCGATTCGTACCTTGGCCATGCAAGGGACGGTGGTGGTCTCCTGGATCTCCTTGATCATGGCAGGGTCCGACATGCGGGCGACGCCACCCTCGACACGGATGTCAGCGGGAATCTTCTCGAGCGCCATGACGGCACAGGCACCGGCGTCCTCGGCGATGCGTGCCTGCTCAGCGTTGACGACGTCCATGATGACACCGCCCTTGAGCATCTGAGCGAGACCGGACTTGACACCGAAAGTGCCAAGGTTGGCATCGCTCTTGGGGGCAGAGCTGTTGGTGCGGGCGGGGGCAGCAGCGGCGCCGTTGCCGTTAGTGGCGGGCAGAATGGTTGGGTTTTCGGCGGACATTATCGAATGATGCGGTATGCGTGGAGAGAAGAGGGAAGAGGGGCAGGATGTGCGAAGTTGATAAGTGATGTAGGTCGGACGGTGGGGAGGGATCTCGTCAGGTTGACTCGACGAGAAGAAAGCGAGCGAGTCGAGGGCGACAGGCTGAGCTTAACTTATTACGCTTTTTTTCTAAAGGTTAGCCGACGCTGGGCTGGGCGGACTCGAGTTGCGCCACCCTAGCGCTTTGGGCTCTCATGGCTGATGACAACTCGGCTGCCCTTGGCAAGGAACAAAAATGCAAGAAAACGAGATTTGGAAAGAAAGGGTCGGGAACCTAATCTTCCAGCTTGGCTCGAGCGGTTTCATGTAAGCCGAATGAAAAGTGCAGTTGACCCCGCTCTGGTTGCTCCCTGCAGGATTGGACGGGAGACTTGCTGCCGGGGTAGAGGCCGCAACGTGCTGAGAGCAGACGAAAAGCGTGGCCGGCTACTGCACTCGAGTAAGTGCGGCCAATCACGTTTGGTGAAGCCTCCGCGAGACAATCAATTCAATTGCCGCGAGAGAAGAACATAAAAAGTCTGAAGTGCCGAACTTCTCGCCTTCGGAGCGGCTTAGTCGGCGACCCGCCAGAGCCGCAAGCCCAGAGTCTCTTAATGCAGAGCCAAGAGAAATCTCGCTGTTACCTGCGTCGAAGGCTTTTTCTTTTTCCTTTTCAGTTCTTCGCATGAACAGAAGCGACAGGAAGCGAGCCAAGTAAAGCTCCTTCCCCAACGCAACCAAGGGACTCGGTGGTGTTCCATTCAACGATACACTCACCTGCTCCATAAGAGGTCAGCCATCACTTTGCCGTATGAGACCGAGGGCAGATACAGACTGGGCACATTGAAAGTGAGGCTGATCAGTGGGGGACGCAGTCGAGCGCAGCACTGCATGCATGCTTTGTCAATCGCGAGAAGCGGCCGCTGAAAGTGACTGAGCTACGGTCGGAGCACCCGCTCTGACTCGAATGACATGAAATATTCCTTGGTCAGAAGGTGTGACTACTGCAGCTGAGTGACAACTCGACGGGGTCTTGCCGAAGAGGCTCCGCTCCCGGGTACGGCGATACGCTGCAGTTCTTTCGGCTGCAGGTCCGTTCCGAGCATAAGATTCGACGTCGTTGCATTGACGGCACGGACGCTCCGCTTGCTGTGCGTCCCGGATAGGTACTTCGTAGATTCCAGATTCCAATTTAGCGATCAGGCCTTATTTGTCAGCATGACAGATTGCAATATCACGTGGGTCCGCATCCCGGGCCTGGCCGGTGACAGCATCCCTGGCAAAATGTCGCGCGAGAAAAGTCACGTCAATCCAAAATCTCGACATTTGTCAGAAATCAGCGGAAAAGTCGAGTGTGCTGATCACCAAGCCTGTCCAATCCGCGCCGTCTCAATTGGCGTTAGTTAGACGCTCTGCCTGGCTACGGTTGGTAATTCGCATTTTGGAATTTCTTCCACTCTGGACCGCGCGATTGAGGCGAGGCAGCTTGGTCGAATTGGTCGCTCGCTATCCCGAAGCTCGAGGCTGGATGAGCTTGGGCGAGCTGGAGTTTGATCGTCACCAACACCGTCCCTGCCGACCTCCTTTGTTTTCTTCCACCTCCTCTTCACATACCATCGGGACCGTCAACCAACCTCTTCTCCTCATCATGGCCGCTCCCGTTGCTCGCGGCGCCTTCCGCAAGGCCGTCAACCTTCCGTACGTACTCTCAGTTCTCGCATCGCATCGCATCCCCAGCCACATTGTGCCATCTTCTCGCTCTCGGATCTGCTGCCTCTTCAACACCGACTATGGAAGCTCTCGGCACGCTAAGGGGCATGACAACAACCGACCCTTTGATGCGACATTGCAAGTCGCACACGCAGATTGCAGATGGCCATGATTAGACCAGCGACAGACGGTTCAACACGGATACGCCGAATTGCTTGCGATCCTCAACACTCTTTGCCCCTTCTTTGATCGCATCCAGGTAATGATCTTGCAGACGCTGACCCGAATCTTCTCATTCCTACCTTGCCTTGCACATTCTTTCACCCTTCATCCACGCCGTTTCCGCCCTTGCAACCCCCGCCGCAATACACACCGAATCACTGTCGTCATCTCTACCAATCATTCTCCGCATTACCACTTGGCTCATCTGCATCGACATTTGCTACTCTTCACATCGCTGGATCATCATACGACTCCCTTCACTTGTGCGTATACGCTCCATGGCCACCTGTAGTCCCACTGCGGCCACTGCCTACAACGGCACCCCGGTTGCCGCCGGCATCAACTTTGCCGTCCGTGCTCCCGCCGACCCCCACGCTCACGGCCATGGCCCTTCCCTCCGATCTGATCCTAACCAGGTTCCTAAATGGTCTACCCAACTTCGCAACTCCAACGGTGTCCTCAGCGCACGAACTGGCGTCAATGGTGAGTGTCACGATATGTCCTGAGATGCAGCATCCCACGTCGTCCAAGCCATGGCCACAGAAGGCTCGAAAAGCTCGATGCACCTCTTTGCGAACCGTCTCGATTTACCTTCTGTAGCGGTCCTGCTAGACGTGCTTTGCCTAGCACAGACGTTCAGGTGGAAAGCAACTTCTGCCGCAGATCTTCGATTGGCCGACACGGGATGTTTGCATTTCAAAAGCTATGACCGACCACCATCAACATGGCTGACATCCCTATTCTTTGACTTTTATCTCCAACAGCCCTCCCCACCATTGGCCAGCCCCGTTACATGTCGTCCTCGTCGCGAAGCCTCCAGGCTACTCAGCCTGACCAGGTCCCCGACTTCTCCGGTTACCGCACCAAGAGCACCGACAGCAACAAGGCTTTCTCCTACTTCATGGTCGGCTCAATGGGTTTGATCGCCGCTTCGGGTGCCAAGGCTACCGTGTCAGACTTCCTTGCCTCGATGGGTGCTTCGTCAGATGTGCTTGCGCTCGCCAAGGTCGAGGTGGACATGAACTCGATCCCCGAAGGCAAGAATGCCATCATCAAGTGGCGTGGTAAGCCCGTCTTCGTCCGTCACCGCACCAAGGACGAGATCGACGAGGCCAACGCCGTCGACATCTCCAAGCTTCGTGACCCACAGAAGGACTCGGACCGTGCCAAGCGACCAGAGTGGCTCGTCATGCTTGGTGTCTGCACCCACCTGGGTTGTGTACCCATCGGTGAGGCCGGTGACTACGGTGGATGGTACTGCCCTTGCCACGGTTCGCACTACGACATCTCCGGCCGTGCCCGCAAGGGTCCCGCCCCGCTCAACCTCGAGGTGCCCGAGTACGACTTCAACGATGGCGAGAACAAGCTCATCATTGGTTAGATTTCCTTTCTTGTCTGCACTTTGTCTTCTCGGTAAAATTCAACCTATCGATCAGGAGCGATCTTGTGTTTAGCCCGTGAAGACGCCGGCTTTTCGAAACTGGCTCTCTCGATCCTGTTTGTTAGCATCGTCGTTATCGAGTGTCGACAGCTTTCTCGTGTGCGGCTATCGCACATGACGTCTCATCCAGTCATCGGCACGCAGAACGTTCGTGTCTGCCATCTGAGGATGCTGCTCGACTAGCTTGGTATTCAATCCGACACTTCGAGTCCGAGAGACGCGTGAGAGGTGTGCCGTAAAATTCGGAACTGCTTTGCTGCCTCATAAATTTCACGGGTGAGCTCACAGACCAACACTTGCACAACCGTCACGCACGCGCTCTGGTTTTTGGTGTTGGTCACCTCGAACTCCCGGATTGCCCTTTGATCATTCACCACCTCCTCAAGCATTTACTCAAGCACGCTCCGGAGCACATCGACTGCGATCGAGCAACGCTATCTCTTCACAGCTCGCCCGCTCGTCGTTCGGCAGCGTCGGCATGCACCATCACGTCTGCGCTCCGCTTCCAAGCTTAGCTGGCCACCGCGAGGTCTGAGCGTTACAGTCGCTGCAGGCCGCAGCCAGCCCAATGGCGGCTCCCAGGACGCCCGCAGCGGCGCCGCAACCCCTTCATCTGCATTCTCGTGTCAGAGTTTCCAACCTCGGCCATGGAGAAGTGCTCTTCGTCGGTCAGACCTCCTTTGCACCCGGTGTCTGGGTTGGTATCGAGCTCGATGAGCAGAATGGCAAGAACAACGGCTCCGTCCAAGGCAAACGCTACTTTGAATGCGAAGATGGCTATGGTGTATTCGTCCGCTCCAGTCAAGTACACGTTCTGTCGCCAGAGGAGGAGATGCACAGCATAGACGACGACCCCGCTCCTCAACCACCAACACCTGCCGCAAGAGCAACACGTCCCGCCAACACAGCCACGCCTTCTGCTGCTACAGCTGCTCGTCTGAGTCCGCGCAAGAGCGTCGCGCCTACACCAGCTCGAACGCCAGCCGCCAGAACCAGTCTTGCACCCACCGCCCCGCCTTCCGCCGCAAGGCGAACCAGCACTACAAGCGTCGGCAGCAGCGTATCGTCAGCGTCAGCGTCACGCCCACCGACCTCAGCCAGTATTACATCACGCACGTCATCACCCATCAAGCCGCCGTCCGGCGTACGCTCCCCTGTCAAAGCGCAGGCTCCTGTTCGCGTCTCTGCGGCCTCTAGCGGGACCCGGTCAGCAGCTTCGAGTTCACTCTCAACCAGAACCGGCCCGCCGAGCACGCCTGTCGCAGCGGCACGTACGCTGCGCACCGCTCCTACAAGCGCCAGAACGCCAGCAACTATCGCCGGCGTCACACGAACAGCGCCAAGAGCCGCTCCCGCACTATCAGCATCGGCCAAGCCGCAGACGCCGTCAGCTGCCAGAGCAGGTCTTCGCCCGGTTCCCGCCAGTCGGCCTTCCATGGTTTCCGGCGCTTCCCGTACAGCTACGTCGAGCCCCAGCGTAGCATCGACGTCTCGCCTCGGTGCAGCACGTGCAGCCGCAGCATCTGCTCCCATCTCTCGAGCTGGCAGCTCGCAAGGCCCGTCACGTCTCGGTCCGAGAAGCTCCGCAGGCAGCGCCGTCAGCTCGGGTCGCACAAGCGCGTCCCAGCGTCTGCAAGACCCTGACGACGATGATGCAGACTATCTGCTCCAAGGTGAAGAGGCCAGTCAAGACGATCTCCCCACGTTTTCGGATGCAGGCGATGTCGAAGACGATGCAGACCAGACCATCGATGCCGAAGCCGGCGCAGACTCCACGTTGCGCTCTACCAAGTTGCTCAACAAATCGACACGCGACTTCATGAATCTCGTCGAGCCATCATCTTCGACCGCAGCGCTGCGGTCTTCTGCAGAATTCGGCGCCCTTCAAAAGGAAGCTGAGGAGCTGCGGGCCAAACTGCGCGTCATCGAGAAGAAGCGCGACGATGACCGCTCCCGTATAGCCGAGCTCGAACAGCTCAAAGAAAGTGCCGAGCTCTCAATCTCTGCAGCGCCCAAGCTCACCGCCAAAGTGCAAGAGTTGCAGGCCGAGCTCAAAGATCTCAAGAAGCTCGAAAAGGATTGGGCCATCGAAAAGGACGACTTTGAGCGCCAGCTATCAGGAGTCAATGATGAGCTCGAGTCGTTGACTCTGGACCGCGAGATGGCCGAGGAAAAGGCCGAGACGGCTCTTCTCGAGGCGCAGGAGCATCTCATGTCGCTCGAAGCTGCCAACGCCAAGATTCGAGCCTTGGAGAAGGACATGAATCCGCACCTCTTGCGTCGGAGCGCTGCCGCGGGAGAAGGAGCTGGCGACGACGACGCAGACGAGGGCGCAGCGCATTCTGCTGCTTCAGATCTGTTGCAGCGCGAAAACGATCAGCTGCGTCGAGTCCTTCGTGATCTGCGCGACCGCTCCAACGAGACCGAAGGAGAGCATCGCCGCAAGATCGTCGAGCTCGAACGGGAAAACACCGAGCTGATCGAGCTCAACGCCACCAACGACTCGCTTCTGCCGGAATTGGAAAATGCAGAGTCTATGATCGAAGACCTCAAGCTGCAGCTCGACGACGCTCTCGGTGCCCAAGATTTGGTCGAGCAGCTCACCGAGCGCAATCTGCAACTTAGCGACCTCGTCAAGAAGCTTCGCGACGAGATCGAGGAGCACGAAACCATTGCAGAGATCAACAATGAGCTCGAGGAGCAACACACCATCAACGAAAAAGAACTCCGCGATGAGATCGATATGTCCGAGTCACGCATTCGTGACCTGCTTGCGCGCAACGAAGCGCTCGAGAATACTGCGGTCGATTACCAGAACACCTTTGGTCAGTTCCGCGACCTCGTGTCGAACCTCCAGAGCGAGCTGGAAGCTGCCAAAGCAGAGCAAGCCGAGTATGGCAGCGGTGCCGGTGCCGGTCGCAAAGACTTGGCGGACCAGGCGATGCTCAATCTCAACCTCAAGCTCCAGTCAAGTGCGCTCAAGAGTCAGGCAAAGACTGTCGATCTCGAGCTTGGACGACTGCAGGCGGCGCAAGCCACTTCGCATCTCGAGATGGTCCGATCGTACCTGCCCGGCGCCTACTTCGAAGCAGACGCCGACGCTGTCAACTGCCTGCTCTTTTTCCGTCGTATGGCTGCCAAATCGGATCTGATCAAGACCATCGTCGAGACCAATCACGATATTCAGGAGAGCCTTTCGGGTATTGTTCCGGAGGCCATGGTCGGCGTGTGCCAGATGCGACACTCGATTGCGCATTTCACTGCGCTTTCTCGCCAGATTGCTGCAGTGCTGCGTCTAGCACCTACCGAGGTCTTCCTTCGAGGTGGACGCATGTACCGAGAGAACATGGCCATCGAACGCAAGGTGGATGCCTTTATCGCAGCACTACGACGTGAGGAACTCAAGGAGCAGGAATGCGGTCTCGAATTTGGCAGGTTCGTCAAACAGTTTGAAGACTTTTCCATGGCTTTGGGAGGAGAGGAGAATGACAGCGACCTGTCTGCCAAAGAAGTCGGGTCTGCCAACTTGATCGATCACGACCTCGACACGCTCATCGCGGCACTCGGATACGCCAAACAGCAGCTCGCGCAGCTCTATGCCGACGACGATGTCGAATGGGACATGGGAGGTAAGAACATCGAGGATGATGTGTTTGACCCGATGCAGGAGCTCATCAATCGCATCCGCAACACCAAGGTGCTGACGCGCAAGGTGCTGCGCAGGCTCCTGAGCCTAGCCGAAAACGACGAGGCGGTGCGGATGGAGGCGATCATGGCCCTCCCGCCGCTGGGCCGGGCCACATCACAGCTGGTGACGTTCGCCACGCAGCTTTCAAGGTCGATCTCCGCATACGTCGCCGAGGTGCGATCGTCCAAGGCAGCATTCGAGATTTCCAAGGTGGTCGAGATGGTGGCAGAGGCGACCGAAGAAGGGCTCGGCAAGCCGGATGTCAGCTTGTGGTCCGGCCCGCTGTCGTCGACTTCTCACCTATCGAACACCGTGCAGACGGTCCTCACGGCTATCGTCGAGCAGGACAACGTCATTCGCATCGACGGTCCTGGGCCTTGGCTTGCGCGTGCGGTCGACATCAAGACGCAAGCGGCGCAGAACCCGGAACTCGACCGCCAGGTGACCAAGCTGAGCGAAGACGCGCGCGACCTGCTGCGGCAGGTCAAGGCAAGGGACCAAGCGCTGCAGGAGGGCTCGATCAAGATCGAACGACTGCAGAAGCAGCTCGAGAAGTCCAAAGCGCAGGTGGACGAGCACAGCGATGTGCGTTCGACGCTCGCAGAGACGCAGCGTCAGGCGAAGGCGTACCAGGACGCCAACGATGCGCTGCAGAGCGAGATCGAGGTGCTGCAAAAGGATCACGATCGGCTCAAGGCTCAGCTCGCTGCTGCTCCGGCGGACGCGCTCGCGGCCAATTTATCCGGGGCAACTGGCGACGGCATCGTTGCAGGCGCTGGCCGTGCGCTCCAAGACGGCGGCCTCGACGCTGGCGCAAGCTACAGCAGCCTCGAAACGTCCTACCTCGTGGACCAGCTGGAAGCCCTCAAAGGCGCGCTCAAACACCTTCGCAACGAGAACGCCACTCTCAAGGGCAGCGCCTTCTTGCATCAGATAGAAGCGTTACCCGCGCTCGTACGTCGATCCCAACTTGCTGTCGCAACCAAGAGCGGCGACGAAAGCGATACGAAGAAGCCCGGGGAGCCTGTCAAGCGTGCGCCCCGGAAAGCCGTCACGAGCGGCGGATCGGTTCGTGCAGAGGCCAAGCAGCTGTACAACACCGCGCTTACGACGTTGGCGCTGTCGAGCGTGGTTGATCTGACGCCGCTGAGCGCGAAACCGACAGCGGGAGCTGGTAGCGACAAGTCAAAGGTCGAGAGCAGAGGTGGAGCGGTACGACCCTGGTTGCCGTATCACAAGCAGCCGGAAGTCCAGTTGGAGCAGCAGACACAGACGAGGCTCAAGCTGTCGAAGCAGTTGGCGGCTCTGACGGAGCGGTTGGCGCCTGCGGTGGGGCCGCTGCCTGCTCCGAGGTTGGCGATGCGGACTGTTTCCACGTAAGAATAGAAATGGTTGCATTGCTGCCTGAAGAGAGAAGGAGCGTGAGATTGCGTGTGCTGGAAATGCGGTGAGATATGCGAGTGACTGTGGCAGAAGAGTGAAGGGGGAGAGATGTGGGATGGAGATCACGCCGAGATGGGCTCGGATGACGGTTTATCTGGCTTGGCACCGTTCGCGGCGTTGGACGACCTGCCGCGCTTCCTCCTATTCTTCGATTCTCCGTTCGCTCCGCCACCGGTAGCTTGTTCTTCGCTTTGCGCCTTGTTCTCCTCCTTCGCCGCTGGGCTCTCCTTTGTACTTTCAGAGGCTTCTACGGTGCCGCTCTTGTTTCCGTTCTGTCGTCTGCGTTTCCTCCTCGCTCCATCAGCGGTCGGAGAACCCTCGCCTTTCTCAGCGCTTGGCTTTGTCGCTTCGAACCTAGCTCGTGCAGCCGCTCGCTGTTTCTGCTTTTTGAGCTCTTGTTCTCGTTTCAGCTTGTCCTCCATGCTGAGCTTGGGGTTCTTGGACTTTCGGACCGACAGCGGGTTTGGTGCTTTTCGCTTCCTCCTCCTTGAGCTACTCTCCTCCTTAGCCTCGCCCTCCGCTCCCTCAGCCTTCTCGCCGTCTTCCGCATCCTCGTCAGCACCAACGATGTCCACTTCCACCTTGGGCTGGTTCTTCAACAGCCCAGCTTCGCTAGCTGGCAGGCTCAGCTTCTCGTCCTCCCGCTCATCGATCTTGCTCTTTGTCAGCGGGCTCATTGGTTCCAGTACCATAACGGCTTGCGTAAAATGCATCATCGGCACACCCACCACTGCCAGCCTCAGATCCCTTCTGAGCTCTCCCTGTTCGCTTGCTACCATGTACCTGTGCTTGTTGTTCTCGCCAACGCATTCTTTGATGCAACGCTGTGGGTCGATGGCTTCTCGATGATTGCACATCCTACGTTCCCATTGCTTTGCCATGTCGACGGTGGATTGTGCTTCTTTGCCGAGCGCGTAGAGTGCCTGCATGCAGCACTGAGTGATGAGGGGTTTGATCTTCTTGGACTGGAGGACGTTGCCGAACTGTTGAAGCGGGTTGGAGATCTTGTAGCGAGTGAGGGCGAGCGAGAAGGTGTCGTCGATGAGGAGTTGGTAGGGCTCGCGGAAACCGAATTGGAGCGAGTATGCGTGGAGCATCTTGCGGTAAATCTTGGCTCGTCGCTGCCTCATCTTGTATGAATGATCCTCAATGTGTGAGGGATGGGGGATGGGTTGTAAGTGGGAAGCGTGGAGGTAAAGGATCAATGGTTGTGGCTGAAGCAGGGTCAGGGCAGAGGTTTGGAAGAAGAGCCGAAAAACAAGGGTCCTGGAAACTTTTTTCTTCTCGGCGGTTACAGCTGAGAATGGTGGAGGCGAAATTTTCCGGTTGAGCATTGAAATGGCGCACTTTCTCGGCCTGAATTTCCTTTCCAATTTTGCAGTCATTTGTTTCTTTCTTGATCTGGACAAGCTGGTTTCGTGTGTCTCTGCGGTGTCCAAACTTCCGCTCAGTTTACTGTAAGTGTTAGCGCCGATCTGGTCACATCCTGTATTTTAGCTTTGACTGCGTCGTCACTGTCATCAACTTCTGCATTGACCGCCCCCACCGAGCAAACAAACAATCGAGCTCAGAACGGTGGCCATAAGCCCACTTATCATCGTAAATGCAATGTCAGACGAGACTGCAGCTGCATCATAAGATCGCTCAGTGTGGGCTTGAAGAAATGGCCAGATCTCATCATGAATCCAGCTACTGTATTGAAGAGCCTTGGCAGGAGCTTTGACAAGGTCGACGGTTGGAGTCTTGGACCTGTCACCGATGTCCGCCTCGCCGTTTCGGGTGACATCCGAACAGACGAATGGATGATTCATTCAGCATCCGTGCTGAGCTTACTGCATCGCCGCGGCTACCCCGAATCGCCACTCTTGTGACAGTCTTACACAGGATTTGTGACGCTCGAAAAGGTGACAGGTTCACTCACTCAAAGTCAGTATTGCCGCGGAGAATAGAACTCTCATTCCGTATCGGGCCGTCTTGAGGGTTTACGAACGCACAGTGATGAGCTCATGGTCACACCAAGTGGAACGCGCCCACCCACGACGTGATCCCGGCTGATACTGGCTGTACAGTATCTTCGAAAATGCAACGGTATCATTGTTTGCTTGGTCCCACCTTGACATCGACAAGCCAGCGGCAGACCGTCTTGGCAGCTTCCCGAAGCTTGTCGTTCCTTTGACACCGTACTGTTGCTTTGCTTCACAAACTTGTCCCCTGCAAAAGCTCGAATCGAGCTCTCCTGATTATTCGTAGCTCCTTGTCCTTCGCACCTCAACAACTTTCGTGCTTCTCTCGGCTTCACCTTCATCATTTCAGTCTAAAAGCTCGAATGACGATACGTCGTAGGGAGCAGCTGAAGATGGTCCCGTCTTTTGTCAAAAGAGAAGGACCAGACGAGTCCGCTAGAAGGTCTCGTGTCGACGACACTGATCCCAGCATCATCTTCTCTCCCGGTTCCTCGCCCTACCAGGACCCAGCAGAATCCTTATGGACTGTCATTCACAATCCTCTGGCGCTCAACAGCTCTGCGGTCATGACCAACCGCTCTGATGCGCACCTCTCCTTCCAGTTCCCTGGCGAATCTCTTGCGCTAGGTCTCCTTTACAAAGCGAACGGCACGAGTCTCACCGTGACCATCGACAACGGCAGCTCGTTCCCCTTCCAAGTCACTACGGCTGAAGCTACTGCATCTGCTCCAAACGGTAATCTCGAAGCTCTGCAAAAGAAGATCTTTCATATAGATCACCTTGCCTGTACAAATCATACGGCAACCCTAAGCCCGTCCCCTATCCCTGGCGGCCAAGGAGCCGACCCAAACCAGACCTCTGTCTACTTCGACGGCTTCAGCTTCGCATCTGCCGACGACCTTGCAGCTTGTGCAGCTGATCGTACTCCTTCGTCTGTGCCCTCTTCGAGCACTGAGACTCCCTCTCCTACAGACACCGGCGGCCAGACGTCAACGGCATCAGCTACATCGGACGATTCCGCCATGCTGTACGCCGGTATCGGGGCTGGTGCTGCCGTCTTTGCCGTCATTCTTGCCATCCTCTTGGTGCGATGTTTTTGCGGAAGAAAACGTCGTCAAGCGTCTGCTGTTGATCCGATCGACCGAAGCTATCGACCCGCACGCAAGCAGACAAGCGACAAGACAGTCGTTTTCCCTTTGTCTGTTCCGCCAAGCCCAGCAACACCGCCGGAGCCTGTCTTCAGACCTAGAGGCATCCATGCACTGGCACAGGACGACTCGTTCACCAGTGTGCATTGTGTTGCTCGACCCAGTACTATGGAAAGTGCCTCGGCGAGTTCAGTCTTCCCACTGTTACCTGTAAGGCCGGCGGACCACCCTAGCGAGGCCGAGGCCGTATCTTTCATCACGGGAAGCGCACTGACGAGGCTTCCGCAGCATCCGATGAAAGAGACAAGGAAAGTTCGGAACAGCGGCAGGAGAATCTCTTACGGCAAGGCGAGGGACGTATTGCTTCCTTCTGTCAATTACCAATTTGACTGCACCCACCCATCGACTTTCCATGGTGAGCATGTACTCCAGTATATGCCTCATAATAGAACCGCGCCACACACTCCTCGACATTCCAACTCTGCCACGAACAAAGCGCTCTCTCCGAACAAGTCTCCACGTCGCCCGAAAACCACCTCTGCTGTTGACCGCCTGCGCACGCAAGCAACCCAGCTGGACATCCAGCGTCCGCTCTCGCCCTTCGATCGCTCCCGTCCCGCCACCAGCTCCAACACCAACCTCCATCAACACAGCTGGCGACAACCCCGCCTCGCCACCGCACCGGCTGACCCCACTCATGCCCGATTCAGACGCAACTCGGTCGACTCCGGCGATACGCACTGGTCGCGGGCTTCTGCCGACGCCGATACATCGCCAGCCAACCAGGAGAAAGACTGGTCCAAAGGCGAGATGGAGACCGTGAAAGTCGAAAAGACGACGGATAGCGAAGCAGAGATGTGGATCAGCAAGGCCCAGGCGATCGCGCAGAACAGAAAGAGGAGAAAGTCGACAGATGGCACTGGGAGCGCGCCAAAGCGTCCACCGAAGTCGCCACATCGGCCGTCGACCGGTCAGGCTGCACCTCCGCCCATGTCGTACCAGCCGTTTACGATCGGTTGACATCGACCGCAAGATTCTTTCCCACACGTGAAGGACAATCCTGTTACCGACTTTGACAGTGTTTGACGGTAACGACCTCAAAGTACTGGCCTGTAAGACGCATCGAGTGCATGACATTCATTTTCTCCCCTTCTTCACATTCTTGCCGTAAATGACATCCATTTGCCCGAACGGTAGCATTACACTAGCCCCGCTGATATGTACAGATCTATCGAGCGAAATCACCTCCAAACTCCAACGCCACGCGATCCTCCAACCTCACCTCTGCTACCGTCTTCCATCCCAGCCCGTCCCCCTCCTTGCCCCCGCCTCCCAACCAAAACTCCCCCGTCCTCCGCACCCACCCCACTGGATCCCTAACCACGCTCCCCATCGCCCCTATCAACCCGTCCCTTTCTCTTAGACGCACCTTCGCACTGCACCTGTAGCTGTGATGACAATATCCAGCTTCCCACCCACCTTTCCTCGGACCTGGAATTTGGGTCGCGAAACTTCTCTCTTCGCCCTCGACCTCTATTGTTGCCCACCTGGTGGCTGTCCACAGATCCAGCTTGAAGGTCTTTTCTTGGAAGTTGCGGTACATCCTCAGACCCGGTCCGTACGTCACTTTTCCGCCGGAAGAAGAGATCGACATCTTCGGAGCGATCGCTGTTGGAGGAGCGAAATCCCACTCGTAATGCTTCCCATCGACTTTCACCCTGATCCCGACCAGAAACGCCGTAAGACCTAGAATCGATCCCCCCGCCAGGGACAACCTACAGCTCGCACCCTCCCTCGTCCGAGAGTGTGGAAGCGAAGGGTCCGGAAGAGGTGATGCAGCATGAATCCACATCCAACCATCCGGAAATGCCTGACCCCAATTCTTCTCGACGTGCAACAGTGCTCTGCCTGCAGCAACGGCGTTTTCCAACTCCAAATCGTCGTTGGTGGTGGATGTGAGGTGTTCGAGCGAGAACATGCATGGTGCGGATGAGGAGTGGACGTACCAGTGGAGCGGGAGGAGCGGGCCGAGGTGTTGGATGAGTCCTTCCGGTCCTCGTGATCCCATTGGGAGGGAAGAGGAGGATTGCCAGGGTGAGAATTTGGTGCTTCTCAACCGAACGCGTGTGCTGACTTGTTTGCTGCTCTGGCAACGATCCGGATTGCAAAGTGTCAAGTCGACGGCGAGATTGCCGTCCACGGATACTTCGAAGAAGCCTGAAGAATTGTCTTGCAGAGCGTCAGAGAGATCGATTCGGAAGGGTTGTGGTGAAAAGGGCGAAGCTCTGGGACCGACTTTGAGCTGCCAGGACGGAATGTATTTGATGACCTCGAAGCTTTGTAGGTCCTTCTTTACCGAAGCATTCGCTGGTAGCCTCTCTGCATTACCATTAATCACCTTGGCGGCAGACGCGTTGTGCAGCGCATCGTACAGCGCCTCTTCTTCGCCGTGAACGATCCACCTCAGGTAGATGCATATTCTCTGATCAATCGGTGCTGATTGCAATTCGCAGACTACGAGGATCATATCTCCTGGAGAGGATGTCGGAAGCGATGTTCTTGGATCCCAAGCGTTGTTGACGGTGTGATCCGACGGTGCGGGTCGTGGAAGAAGCGATTCTGGAGAGGCAAAGACCGGGTCGATGTCTGTGAGCATGGTCTTGGGCGAAATTTGTTCGTATGAAGGGGTGAAGCGGATCGGAGCCGCAATGCGAGAAGCTCTGCGTGATGCAGGTGTGGGAGATTCCGGCACATCGGCGGACGAGGATGAAGATGAGGAGGACGTGCTCGACGACCGTGGTTTACGTCGTCCAATTCGTTGTGGAGAGCTCGAGGATGGTTCGCCGTTGCGAGATTTCGACGCCAGACGTGGTATACGAGACGGCGAAGCTTTTGCACGACCTTGAGCTACGTTCTTTGTCCTACTCGACGAAAGGTTAGGCCTGTGTGAAGTGGATTGAGATCGACCCGAATGCGACTCGAGGCGGACGAAGAAGCCTTCGAACTCGGAACCTACTCGGTGGGTCGGTGGGAATGGATCTTGCGCCAGCGGCAAGACCTTCGAAAGCAGAGAGCCGAGCATCGTGAACGGATCTACTTTCGCCAAGGTCATATGGAACGTATGGTGAGGTTGGTGAGGATGCATGCGAAGCGGATGGTTCAGACCTCGCAAAGTGCGGAGAGGGCCTAGTCGGAAGACGGGAATGTGGAGGAAGTGCGGGGAGGGAAAAACATAACATTTTGGAAACGGACCGCAAAATTGACCGAATCAATCAAGAAATCGGCGAATTTGGCTTATTTAGAAGAAAGTGAAGCAACGCTGCACGAACGGCACTTGGTTGTCCCACCCTGATAATCACACCCTCCTCATTCAACGCACAAGCCATTGCATTGCATTGCACTGACACACTCGCAGTGCTCGTATTTCACGCTTCGATCCCGCCGTCACCTTCTCGTTCAGCCGCTACTCGTTCGTCTCTCACTCCCTCGACATATATACCCCCGACCGACGACCGCAGCAATGGCAGGCCAGTACGCGGCCAACGATATGTCTGATGCTGCGCTCGGCAAGTCCGGTCTTTCGATTCAAAATGGTCGATTTGTCGATTCCTTCGGTCGCACTGTCAATCTGCATGGCGTCAACGTTGCTGGATCCTGCAAACTACCAGCAACACCGAATGGGCTGTCACATCTGTACGAAGGCTTCTACGAATCGCACCGAGTAGTCTCGTTTGTCGGGCGTCCGTTCCCGCTCTCAGAGGCACCGCTGCATTTCGCACGTCTTCGCGCGTGGGGCCTGCCGCTCATCCGTCTCTTGGTGACATGGGAATCGCTCTCGCACAAGGGTCCGGGCATAGACGATGTGGACACGGAGTACATAGACTATCTGGAGAAGCTGTTCGAGCTGATGGCAGAGTACGGACTAAAGTGCTTTGTGTGCGCTCATCAGGACGTATGGTCGCGCTTCAGCGGTGGTTCGGGCGCACCAGGATGGACGTTCGAGGCTGCAGGAATGGATATGCATGCATTTACCTCGACAGGTGCTGCGTACATTCACTGTGTAGACGAAAAGCAGAAGCGCGAAGATGCACAAGGGTCGAGCAACGGCAAGGGCAAGGGCAAAAAGGAAGCAAGCGGGGCGTTCCTATGGCCGTCAGGCTATCAGAAGCTGGCTGCGAGTACGATGGCGACGCTTTTCTGGGCAGGAGATGCTCTTGCTCCCAAACTCACCGTCCAAAACGGTGGCAAGCAAGTCGGGATACAGACCTTCTTGCAGGAATCTTACATCGAAGCATTCGGTCTGCTGGCGGACCGGCTAGCTCCCATGGAAGCATTTCTTGGTTTCGAGCCCATGAACGAACCGCATCGAGGCCTCGTCAATCTGCACGATTTCCATTCGTACAACTACAGCACCGACCTTCACATTGGTCATTTCCCATCGCTCATCCAGGCGCTCGCGCTGGGCAGCGGATACAAGCAGCAAGTCAAGTTCTACGTCAAGTCGTGGCCCGTTCCCACGCGAGTATCGCACATGGCGACAATCGATCCAAAAGGCAAGTCCTGCTGGCTTCCTGCTTCGGGCTCATCTGACGCAGAGTCAAGCACACCTGTGGGGCTAGGGATGTGTATCTGGCGAGCTCATGGAGTATGGGAATGGGACGAGTCCAAGCAGTTGCCCGTGGTCCTTCAATACGACTACTTCGAGAAGGATCATCGACAAGGTCGCGAAGGTCAAAGGATCGAATGGTACCGGGACTGCTTTGCACCCTTCCTCGCTCGCTTCACCGAGCGCATCAATAGCAAACGTTCCGCAGCGCTGACATTCGTCGAGCCGATTCCTAACGAGTTCATCCCACCGTGGATTCCAGCTCGAGAGATCGAAGACCCCACCGTCGCTGCACAATACAAGGAAGCAGCGTACAGTCAGAAGTATGCCGTCCGGACGCTCATCGACACACCTCGACCCGGTGGAGAGGCGCGGTTCGTCTACGCTCCCCACTTTTACGACCTCAACGTGCTGTTCGGTAAAGTTCACAGCTGGATGAGCGTCAATGTTCAAGCTCTGAGTCGAGGCGGGTTCCCCCTCACATCTTTGTACTTTGGTCCGCGCGGACTCAAGAAAAATTACCTTGCCCAGCTTCAGACCATCAAAGACCTTGCGTACGCCTCTCTCGGAACGGTGCCGATGGTCATCGGTGAAGTAGGTCTGCCATTCGATCTCAATCATAAACATGCGTACAGGACGGGAGACTACACGAAGCAGCACGAGTTGATGGACGCGCTCATCAGCGCCATGGAGAAGCTCGGACTCGGATTCACTCTGTGGAACTACAACCCCGACAACCGGGTCGAGTACGGTGACGGGTGGAATTTTGAGGACTTCAGCATCACCAATGGGGATCCTTTGTCGAACACGGCCTTGAAGCCGGATTTCAGGAATGCCGGGCATGAAGAGGATGACTTGTACAAGGGAGGACGTGTGTTGGATGTCATCATCCGACCGTATGCTGTCAAAGTTGCCGGTGTGCAGGTGTACACGGAGTTCGACGTAGAGACTTTGTTCTTCGAGGTGCATTGGAAGAACTTCCCTCACAGCAGTGGAAGCGACAGATCCTTGGTGACAGAAATCTTCCTCCCCGCTTACCACTACAAGAACCAACGGTTCAGCATCACCACCACCGACGCCGAAACCACATTCAACGCCGAACTTCAGACGCTGTTCGTCAAGCACACAGATACCCGACCGGGGGTTGTACACAAGCTCAAGATCGAATTGGAGGATCCGCAGGGTCACAAGAGGTGGAGATTGCAGCAGAGGAGGAAGTTGATCAAGGCGGAAGGTGTTGTGGACAATGTTGGTAGGATGGTCCCGGATGGTGTGGTGCTGTGGTGGGACGGGCTCAGCGCGGGGCAGGTATGGAGTGTGGTGATTATAGGGTTGGTGGTGTTGGTTGGGTTGTGGATGGCTGACCACCATATGAAGAAGCTGATGACGCCAGGCGAGAGGGGCGTCGACCTCTGAAGCGAGCGGGTAGGTGCAGAATAAAACACCATTCAAAGGTGGGGGCCGTTTGCTTTGCCACGCTTCGTCTACATTGCAGTTCACAACAACATCATTCATTGCCTACGGTATCCTTTCTGTTACCAACTTAGATCCAATGCAGACCATTGTCACCAGCATAACGTCGCCTTAGGCACCTCTCTGAAAATTGTGCGAAGTTGTCCAGCAGCGCGATCCAACAATTCCCAGAAAAGACTTGGCCGCACGGTCCTCACGTTGGACCCTTGCTTCCTGCTCTCACACCTCTCAACCTTCTTCCCACACCATCATCGGCGTCTTCCTCCCCTGTGCGATCCTATCATTCGCTCGCATCGAGCAAGCACACGTGATCGCTACATTCTCAGATGGCATCGACTGTCGCACCACCCGCCGCGGTGGCATCAGGCTCATCGCGGACTCCACTCCAGACTGCACCGGCACCTGCACCAGCCTCTTCCTCCACACCTACTCAGAATGCAGGTCCGCACCTCCTCTCGCTCAAAGTGATGCGAGCATCCGCGCCATCCCTCGCCATCTCCGAAAAGCCATACTACGAACCTCCATCTGCCTCTTCGAACGATCTCCTCACCGCTATCAGCCTCGGCATCGACGACGCCGACTCGCACGGCCTTCTCTCCAACCGCCTCGCCTCCTCTTCGACGACCCCAGCAGCCCACTTTCCCATCTCCAACCTCCTCACTTTACCCAACTCCTTCGGCACCCTCTTCCTCGGTGAGACGTTCCGCACCTATCTATGCGTCCGCAATGAATCCTCCACCGCCGTTCGCGAGCCGAGCTTGCGAGTAGAGATGCAAGTAGGTGCGTCCGAAGAGGCCGGTAGATGGCATCAACTGGCACACGTCATTCTCCCAACTCCGACTAGATACTCTCCGAATCCAGAGGGAGAAGATGATCAGGGGACGCCGAGGTGGGAGCTCGACCCTGGCTCGGCGCTTGAAACCTCGCTTGGCTACGACATCAAAGACCTCGGTCCACACGTCCTCGTCTGCACAGTAGGCTACAAGTCACCGCACACACAACCGGACGGTCAAGTGACTTGGGTGGAGCGAAACTTTCGAAAGTTTTACAAGTTCTCCGTCGACAGATCGCCCATCTCTGTGCGAACCAAAGTACATCAACCGAGGTACGCCAGCTCACTGCATCATCCAGAGGGCAAGGTGAGGGACAGGGTGGAGTTGGAAGTGCAAGTTCAGAACGTCGGAGCGAGCGAGGCAGGGCTGGTGTTGAATGGGTTGACGTTGAAACCCGCACCTGGGTGGGAGTGGGAGAGCGTGGATCGACCGGAGGGGGATGAGGGGATGTGGATACAGAGCGGGTCGAACGAGATTTTGGCAGACGGTGATGTTAGGCAGTACTTGTTCAGGCTGATGCCGGAAAAGGAGGTGGTGTTGACGGAGGAGGTCTTGAAGGGCGGGATCGACTTGGGTATGAGCGCGGAAGGGCTGGTCATGCGGGGTGATCCATTGGGGCATTTGGATATCAGTTGGAGAATGGCATTGGGCGAGCCGGGGAGGTTGCAGACGAGCCAGCTTGTGAGACGCCGAGTTGTGTCACCGCCCGTCGTCGTTGATTCGGGGACAGCGTCTCAGGGAACCTTCAGCCTCAATCCGCGGCTGAAGACACGATTGACGCTGCAGCCTCGAACACTCGAGAAGCTACGAGAGGTGAAACCTGGCGATCTGATGGATCTAGATCTCGATGTGGCGGTTTGCGATGTGTCGGGACTGCTGCTCCCACCTCTCCAGAAAGGACCATCAAAGGAAGCAGTGCAAAAGACGCCAGAGCTTCAGCAACACCAGGATGATGATGACGACGATACCCCTCTTTCCGAGATCGCTTCTTCCCCTCGAACTGCCATCAAACGCAATCCCATGGACAGCACCACCTCCTCCACCGTCAACGCAAACCTACCTCCCCCATCTTCGACTGAGACTGTTGTGATCCGCCGCACGCTCCACCTTGCACTACAACACTGCTCCATCGATCCACCTCCCCCGCCGCGCACCACATCGCAACCCGACACTTCTTCTAGCTCGACCACCACTGTCGCTGCTTCCGAGCATCCCTCAACGCCGCGCAAGACACCCGTCCCTAGCCGAACGTCCACTCCGACCCAAAGCAGTAGCGGTGGAGTCTCGGCGCTGAACAAAGCTCGTCTGCAAGCCAACCTCAGCTCGTTGGTTCGCAACAGTTCGCTGTCGTCGTTGCGACCGCGTGCGTCGGTCGACGAGGAGGCAGGGGGGAACAAGAGCTCTAGCACTCCGCCTGCGCTGCCTCCGAAGAGTAGTGATATCGCGGGCGAGAACGTTGGGGTGCAGGTCTCGACAGAGAAGGATCCCGCACCGGAGCGGAAGGTCCTCCCACCACCCCATATCTCCAGTACAACCGTCGCCCGCCTCTACAGAGCGTACCTCGAGACCCACAGTCAAGCGCTCAACCGTCCACCCCCCACCACCACCGTCATCCCCGCAACCTTCCTCCCCAGTCCCACCACCACACCTCTCGGTTCAACCCTTCTCCCCCTCCCACCAGTTACGTTCGACATCAGCGTCCTCTCCTCCGGATCTACGCTTTACCGTTCCGATCAGCGAGATGGCGGGGAAACGCGTCTGCCTGTGAAACTGCGGTATGCGATTGACGAGGTGGAGTCGGACGACGGGGTGGTACGGTTCGGCGCTGTGAGGGTGGTGTTGTTGGCGTACAGCGATGTGGTGGTGGATGCGGATGGGGTGGAAGGGGAAGCGGATGGGGTGAGGGAGTGTATGACGGTGATCGAGGAAGTTCCGGTCATCGCAGAGGCGGTGATCTTGGCTCATTAGGACAATTACAGTCCACCAGTCTGATCAACACTCTGTATCGTTAGCGCATCATCGCTTGAAAAACATGTCGAAAGATCAGAACTGTATTGCTACAACTCACTTCAACTACAGCAGCTCCCTCACCGCACCCACCAACTCTGCGAACGTCATGACCCGCAACAACCCCCTCTCCCTCGCCTCCTCCTCACCAAGCTGCCTTGTCTCCACCACCTCACCACCTCCCGGTCCATGACACACAACCACCTGACTCTGCACACCTGCCCCTGTCTTTGGCAGCAGTACATCTATGAACCTGTACTTCTCTTCCACCTTCCCATCGATTGTCATCTTCATCTCTGCTTCAAAATCAAAGTGGATGCGGGAAAAGTCTAATCCCAACCCCAACCCCAAGTTTTTCGTATACGCTTCCTTGTGCGTCCAAAGCTTGAAAAGTCGCTCGAGAGCTAGCTCTTCGTTGCGTCCGGAGGATACCGGCTCAAGCACCCATCGCGTCTCGTCGGCGGTGAGAGCCATATCCATAGTCTCGACGAACGAATGCACGCTCTGCTCGTACCTCGGCAGCTGCAACGCCATAACATCTGCACCGACCCGTTTCACCTCACCACCGCCGGTGGAGGAGGGAGATATACAGAAAGCCATGACAACCCAGTCGCTGTCGTGCGAGATGTTGAAGTCAAACTGCACCGGTAGTGTTGGCGCTGTTACTGAAGGACGACCTTCGCGCGTAGCGCAAAAGCGGATGCTCTCCCAAGCGACATTGAAGCGCGTCGCTAGAAGCAACCGGGGTAGTAACCTTGCGACGAGCGAGCGCACGCGGTCTACCTGACGGTAGTACTTGAGCACCTTCTCTCGATCCGCCAAATTTGCTTGTCCAGGTAGCAAGTCGTGCACAAGTGCGCGCAGATCCGATTCCGTAAGTATGTCAGCCTGATCAGAGACATCAACGGCCCAGATCTGCAAGTCGGAACCGTCAGAGCGAGATGAAGCGGCGGCAGCGCATATGTCAGCGAGTGTTCTTTGAGAAGACCCAGCTGTGGCAGCGTCGTTACCACGGTTCTGGGAGGAGCTAGGGAAAGGGGAGGCGAACTGACCTGATGAGCTTTCGACGGCTGCGTTGACAGCGGATGCTGCAGAATCAGTACCATCGGTGGCGGTCGTAGCGACGACGGCGGTGACGGCGCTGGCTGACGTAAGTGTTGAAGATGGAGCGACGATTGCATCCTTGGCCATGATCAGGGCGTCGATGGTGTTGACGCGGCAGTCTCGAAGGAAAGTCACCAGGTCCGTTCCACCAGTTCCCTTTGCGCCTCCACCGTTGTCCTTGGAATCGGTATCGAGCATGGCACGCGCTTCCGCCTCGGCGTCAGCAAACGCTTTCGCCTTTGCAGCCAGACGTCGGTCTACGTCAGGCTCCCCTGTGAAGCCCTTGGGCAGCGGCGCGTAGGCGTCAGGAGGCGATCCGCGCGCCTGAGCCACAATGTAAAGGTAGGCAACCTTCATGTGTTCGTCTCGCAAGCCCTTGAGCTCCTGCAGCGCGGTGTCGTATGCTGCTGGAAGGCCCTCATCATGCTCCTCGAGCTTGGCCTTGAGCGCGAGACTACGGATGGGATGCGGTAGCTCCCGAAGCTCGTCTTGGTTGTCTATGTCACTGTCGGCAGTCTCAGAATGCGTGTCTCGGTCCTCTTCCTCGTCGTCGTCGGCGTCGTCGAAGGAAATGTTGCGCAGGTGCGAGAGGAAGGCTCGATGATGACCGGGCATGTAGAGCGACATTCTTTCCATGAAGGTGGCGTCTGCGCCCCTTGCGTCGCCGTTGGCGGTAGCCGCAGGTCGGTTGAGGCGCTGCTTTCTCCTGGTGTGGTCGACGTCCAGGAACACATCGATGGCATGGATCATGGAGCTCTGGCCGGCAGAAGGCCCGGAGAAGACGCGCTTGACGCCTTCTGGGTCGACACCTTCAAAGTGCCAGCCTGCTTCCTCACCTTTGTCAACTGTGTCGCTGCCGACGAACCACGGACGGATGCCCCAGTAGAAGATCTTTGGGTCGCATCCATTGCGGACATCGTGGAGTAGCCGGGTCAAGTCCTTGATGACGATAGCAAGCCTATTGAGATAGCCGGCAATTCGTCGACGTGCCACACGATCCGCGACGAAAGCCTCGTCCAAGCTGACACGCATGAGTTCGAGCGCCTCGACGCCTCTTGCTTCGATGAGAAGCGAAGTGTAGAAAAAGTGGTGCTCTGATGGTGTCGCGGTAAAAGTCTCGACGATGCGAAGATTGTCCGATTCGAGACCGCGTGAAGGGTCGACGTAGTCCCAGTTCCAAAGAACGGTGGTTGCGTAGGTGAGGACAGGAGGCAGGTCGAGCTTCTGGGAGAGCTGCACCCATGGCACTGCGATGGCAGCGGGAACGCGTCGCAAGTACTTGCCAGCGAGCTCATCTGCGAGATCCTGGTCGTCTTGCAGCTCGTCGGCTGTCCTGCGAGAGAACATGTTGAGCCAAGTGCGGGATGGAGCAAGGGCAAGTGCATCGTTGGCTTTGCGTGGCTGGCTGTGGATGTAAAAGTGGGCGAGGAAGGAGAGGACGACATGGCCTCGACGAGCATAGCGAATGTCGTTGGCAAGCTCGTCGGAAAGAGGCAGCACGGGCATCTGACGCAGCGATCTGCGCCAGCGTCGAGCAAGAAGTCGCTGATGAGGAGTGATTGTTGCGCCACCGCCGCCTTGCATGAGCGGAATCTGTTTGGCAAGGTCGAGCGCATGCTCCCAGTGGTCGGCATGCAGACCGCCAAGGCGGCGAACTGGAGACTCGGGTGGCAAGAAGCCGGAGCGAACGTCTACGTCGAAATCGGCTGCAGCCAGGGTGGAAGTGTCGGGGATGTGTTCGTCGACGGTGGAGAAGCCAGCTGGACGCGGAACTGCATCGGTGAGGCGGTCTAGCGGATGGTTGACTTGACCGAGCGAAGAGGGCAGAGCGGGAACGCCGAAGCGTACGGCGGTGGCTAGCTCTGAGAGCGCTTGCGAAGGCGATGTAGAGAGCGCAGCAGCGTCGGAGTTGTTGGTAACACTGGTGAGGCCAGCGATTGGCATAAAAGCTTCGCTGTTGGTGGAAGAGGCAGACGTGAAGGATGCGACAGATGAACGTCGTCCAGAGGCATGTTCTGATGAGCTTGGTTGACGAGCCTTGTTGGACCCTCGCTGTTGAGCCAGGAAATGGTCGGGTGGTACTTCAAAGTACTCTGCCTCGTCGTGCGTCTGGGGCCAGGCCGGGTAGAAGGTGTTTCTAGGGGAAGCGGGCAGACGGCTGGGGCCAGCAACATTGCTGGCTGCGTTGCTGGATGTGAATGTCATGGTGAGTTGAAGAGAGTGAACGGGTGCTGAAAACGGCAAGTCGCAGATGAGGTTGGTCGTTGCTAGGGTGGATTGGAAAAGATGGAGTCGACGGAGTTAAGGGCGAGTCGAGAAGGTGGGAGATGTCTTATAGTTCAAAGTATCCTAGCGAGCGGACGAATGGATCGCGGAGGGCTCTATGGAGGCAAAGATCGAGCGCAGACTGTTGCAAGGAGAGGCGAGAGCCAGACGTGAACGGACGTCGACCTCGGAGACGCGGGGGTCGAGCTAACGTTAAGAGGCCGGCAGTGAAAGAGCCGCCTGTATCGATGGCAAGCCTCGAGCGTCGGCGAGGTCGAAACGAAAGGCTGATCGAGGCTCGTGTGCAGGCAGGGATGAAGCGACCAAGCCGAGAGGGTGGATGAAGGGTGTTGTCATGGGGATAAGGGTAGATGTGTGAGGAGGACGACGGTCCGGCAAACAGCGCATTCAATCGCAAATGTCGAAAAGTGTCCGAGAACAAGCGGCAGTTGCCGAACTCGTTCTTCCACGCCACGCCAATTGTGAAATCCAAACAAAATTCATGACTCCGAGACTGCCACCGCGCCCAGCCGATCTTGTCTTTGCCATCCACTTGCCACCGATTATCAAAATAAACTTCAGCCTCCACGATCCAAAGTGACTGACTGGCGTGCGGCAATGTTGCGCTCGCTCATCGAAATCGCATCACATAACTTAACTCCATTTCGTCAGCTCCTCGGACCGGTGGTGCTTCGGAAAACACCCGAATCTCCACTTGAGATCGCGCTGCACCCACCCGATGCTTCGATGGCCGATCTCGAGTCGGCGTTGACACTGGCTCAGCGATCCATGCCTTTGCAACAGTGGGCAAGCACCTGACCACTTTGCTTATCGGTGTTCGACAGCATGTTGTGTATCGATCTGACACTCTGCTGTCTTCGAGAGTGTTTGGCAAGGATCGCGAGTGTGTCGTCGAGACCACATGTCGAAGGCCATGGTGCAAGATACCCTGTCTAGCCAGAGCTGCACGTCATGCTTGCAACACACGTCGCAACGTTGCCAGCCGCCCCTGTCTCTGCAAAACAAACGCAAGGCGTCGACGCCGCTGCTCCGAGCACATCGAAAAAATCAAATCTCACAGCTCTGTTCAGCTCCACGCCCGATTTAGGTCGTTGCATCGAAACGGCATGCACTGCTGCCGTGTGTGCGTGATTGAGATTACTTTGAATTACAGCAAAAAATAACGAGCCACACAACACAGAGACATGCAACACGCGCCGACAACTGCGGATCCCCCGAGCTGCGCCTTTGATTCGGTTGCTGCGCTGGTGGAGCATTGTGGTGGCCATCTCAAATCGCTACTCTCGACGCTCAACTACCATCGCTGTCACCTCATCATCGTCGCAATCGTCCCGATCATCGTATCTGTTTCATCGCACGCACCCGCTGCAATCCCCTTGTGCCTCTCACACGCAGACCTTCTGTACGGATCAGACCCTACGACTCTCCACTTCCATCACGATACGCAAAAATGGCCGGTCTCTCTGCCGATTACGACTACCTCTTCAAACTCTTGCTCATCGGTGACTCTGGTGTCGGAAAGTCATGTCTCCTCCTTCGATTCGCGGACGATACCTACACTGAGTCTTACATCTCTAGTAAGCGTCCATAGCTCCCCTGGTCGGCGATCAAACCACTCCACCTGCACATCCAGCGTTGCTGACTGAATACTTTGTCTTCTTCCCGCTCCCCTGCGCTACTGCTCGACTCCTCCTCCTCCTGCGTCACAGCTATTGGCGTTGACTTTAAGATTCGCACCATCGAGCTCGAAGGCAAGACCGTCAAGCTTCAAATCGTAAGTACCCCCGTCTTCTTATTATTGAAACGCAGCTCGACGAAGCTGACACTTCTTAAATGCTTCCTCTGCACACCATCAGTGGGACACTGCGGGACAAGAGCGATTCCGAACCATCACCTCTTCCTACTACCGCGGCGCACACGGTATCATCGTCGTCTACGACGTCACAGACAACGACACGTTCAGCAACGTCAAGCAGTGGCTCCAAGAGATCGACCGATACGCCTGCGAAGGCGTCAACAAGTTGCTCGTGGGTAACAAGTCAGATCTCACCAACAAAAAGGTGGTCGAGTATACGACCGCAAAGGAGTTCGCCGACCAGCTTCAGATTCCGTTCCTCGAGACTTCGGCCAAGTCGGCGACCAACGTCGAGCAGGCCTTCTTGACCATGGCGAAGCAGATCAAGGACAGAATGGGTTCCAGCACCGTCAACAACCAGGCTGGCGGTAAGAGCACACTCAAGGTCGGTCAGGGCCAGAACGTCTCGCAGCAGGCAAACGGTGGATGCTGTTGAGCTGCACCCGGCTTCACTGACTCTTGTGAATGTAGAATAGCTAGTTGGCTGGCTGGGCGATTTGGTCCGCGCTCTGGCTTTTGATCCGCACACTCTTGACAGCCTTTTCACGCTGCAATGTTACGAACCATTTGTACAGATCATTGACATCGAGTGGGTGTGTGCCAAATTGAGGCGCGTGAGTAGTGAGGAGAGACACGCGCGCTGCAAAAGGGTTCCGCCAAAATTGAGTTGGACTGCTGCGCATGCGCATGCGCCTCGTTCGCGAAGCTAATCAACACTTTTTTCGGATGTCCCGCTCTCACTTTCTCTGTTCACGTTCTTCCGCATCCTCCACCAACACCCAACACCATCGTCTCTCGCAACCAGTATCGGCGAATCCTTTATAGCCACGCTATCAGCTATGCCGACGTCGACGCAACGCACGCAGGAAGTGCGCTCCCAAGCCGGCCCCTCCTCCACCCCCTCCAATTCACGCAAGCGTCCTCCTCCACCTCCCACTGACTCTAACTTCGTCTACAACCCACGCCAAGATGACTCTTCCCGTCGAAAGGTCCGCTCCGACTACCGCGCGCTCATCGCCTCCGCTGAAGCATTCAAACGCGATTCCACGCTCAAACCTTCCGACCTGGTCGAGTTCATCGCCAAGGCCGACGAGCTCCACGAACGCGTGGTCGCGCCGAGCGAGAGTGTGCTGGATACCAAGACGTTGACGTCGATGAGCGAGATGGGTGCGCGGATGGCCAAGAAGATGAAGCTGAATGCGGATGCGTTTGACACGCACGAGTTTATGGCGAGACTGGCGAGGTACTTGGGTGGAGAAGCTGCGCCGATCCGACGCGCTGCCGTCGACGAGGATGACGATGACGACGAGGATGATGGCGTGGACATTGAAAAGTGGTCGTGGTCAAAGCTATCACGTCTATCGGCATCGCTCTCCAAACGCGCGGTTACGATCGACTTCCTCCTCGGCCCCCTTCAAGTGCTTCCAAAACAACGTCGAACCATCACCCACCGACGACACGAAGACGCACCCGCCGAACGCACCGCCCCTCGCTCCCTTCAGCAGCAAGACCTCCAAAACTCGGCCGGAAAAGAATCCACCTCCGCCATCATCCAAGTCGGCAGACTGCTGCAACAACAAGGCCCCCAGGGCGTGTGTCTGTTCAAGTTCGCCGTCGACCCGGAGAGCTTTGTCAACACGATCGAGAATTTCTTCCACGTGAGCTTTTTGATCAAGGAGAACAAGGCGAGTCTGAGGACGGACGAGCAGGGGAATGCTATCTTGACCGTGGCGACTCCGCCGAGCGACGATGATGTGGAGGAAGGTGGCGTGAGGAGTAAGCAGTTTATCATGGAGATCGATTATCCGATGTATTTGGAGTCGATACAGCTGTACGGGATTAGGGAGAGCGTGATCCCGACGAGACCGAATAGGGTGGATCCGTTGAGTGGGAGGATTGCGTTGGACAGGGCGAGGGCGGAGGGTGCGGCAAGGTGAACAGGCACGAACGGAGGAGAGGCGGCACAGACGGGGATGTTCGACGAAACGTAAGATGGCTAAAGGTGGTGAATTCAACGTCTTCTCGCTCGAGTGTCACTGTTGAACGGTTCAGATGTGATGGGTATGCAGTGTGAAGTTCTGCTGGCGATCTTCTGCTCGACACTACATCCTAGCACCGCCCGAGAGTGCGAGTCCGAGTCGACGTCAGCAACCCCCAGCTCGCAGAGCTACATCCAGTGAAACGCCAAATCCCTCAACGCGTTTCGATCCCACAACCTCGCAAACTCGCCCACAACGTTCTCCGCCCCTTCTTCTCCCACGGCATCCTCTTTCTCCGTCTTCGACTCCTTCTGTCCGACCTGCAGCTGCCGTACCAACGGCAACCCTTTCCTCCCACCTTCCCAGTTGGGCAGTTCCTCCACGTTGAATTGGGGTGTCAAACGGTGTAGAGTTGGTGCGTGGTTTTGCAGGTCCTGGTCGGAGGTGGTGTTTTGGTAGTTGGAGAGGGTGTTGCAGAGGAGCACGATCGGACTTGGTCCATTTGGCTTAGGTGTTTGGGTCGTTGTTGCGGAAGACGAGTAATTAAGAGAAAGGACTTCTTCGTACAGCCCTCTGTCGCAATGTGGCATGTATAGCAGGGTGGGTTCTGTGATCGCCGTGTAGAATGGTTCGATGGATTCCGCTCGGTTTCCCTGGTTGTGTTCCTTCTGCTCGACTTCCGTGTGCAGGCTGCTGGAGAGTGTACGGACGTCGTATCGTTTCAAGAGGGCTGTGTCCGCGGCAGAGAACACCGGATCGAAGGCGAGACATTCCATACTACCCTCTATCGTCTTGCTACCCAAAGCACTCGAGGAAGACCGGCTGGAATGGCGCAATAGCCAGGAGCGTATGACCACGAGGAGCGCAAGCTGGATCTGGGCGCTACGTGAGGTTGTCGGTGATCCTAGACCGAGGCAGACTATCTGGCGGGGAAGGGGTGGTGCAGTGGAAGCTTGCGAAGAGGACGGCGGATGTAGTGCGTCTTGCGGTTCCTCGGCGCGGGGTCGAGGTGACGAATCCTGTGATGTTTGCGCTTCTGCGTCCGCCTTGCATTGCAAAGTTGATTGTTCAACAGGCCAAACACGCTTCACCACCCTTGCCAGTTCTGAAGCAAACGTCTGCCCGCCTGCCAAATCACTTGTCGCATCCAATCCCAACTCGCTACCCAAGTACCTCACGAAAACGTCGATCGCGTGAATCGCCCTCTCCATCGCCTTTGTCTCCCTCTCCTGTTCGCCTTCCTTTTCCCTGCGCCCCTTCGCATCCCTTCTCCCCGATCTGCTACTCGACGAGGCAGAGGCGTATGCGAACCCGCTCGTGGGCCCGGTGATATTCCCATTGCTGTTGGAAACGTTCTTCCCGGTGGCACTGGGTGTGCCTCGTGGACGTCGTTTGCTTCGCACGAACTGGAAGCCGTCCGAGTCGGCCTCTAGCGTCATGCGCGAAGTTGAGGCTGCGGATGTGGTCGACATCGTTCGGCGTGAGACGCGAACTCTTCTCGAGCTGATGCCGACGATGGTTGAATCGTGGTCAATGACGAAAAGGCAAGATGATGAAAAGTAGAAGAAAGCTCTTACTTTCAAGGGTCCAGGAAAAAAGGCTCCGAAACCCGAACAATTCACCGAGCAACACCCTCCTCCTCATCAAGACCTTTGCCATTTGAACACTTTCTGATCACAGCTTCGGGACAATCTCGCTCTCTGCGCCGTGGAGACCTCATGCCAATACGGTTGTTGTGAAAAAGAAGTGTGCGATGTGGGTATATTGTGTCGCATGAAAGCCTACGCTTCACCGGTTTGAAGATTGGAAGCACGTTCTCAGAAGTACTCCAACTCGATGAACAGGAACGCCGTCTTGCGCGGATCGACCAAACTCAACCCCACCGGATGCAGTGCCTCCTCGTTGTACTTTGAGATCATCCTATCCAGCTCTTCCATCGTCTACATCATACCGCCGAAATCAACACCGAACAACATCTTGTCAGCACTGTACTCAGCCCTTACTGTTCCCCGACTTGGTGGGAGGGGACTGTCAAACTCACACGTTGGTAATGACCCTTTACGAGCAGCATTGAGATGTAAAACGTCAGGATGGCAATGGTGTTATCGATCCAAATGCGGGGAGGATTGTGTGCGGTGACGAGCAAAGAGTTGATGTCGTTGATGATCTCGCTGAAGGTCGTTGGTGAGATCTGTTACGCACACGGTCAGGATGTATCAGCGTTCTAAACTTATGGAGAGGTATGTATACTGATCGAGAGGTAGGATACTCACTCGACCTTCAAGCTCCATTGGGAAGCTGGAGTGAAACTGGGGTAGTTCTCCCGACGAATAGTCCCGTTCGATTCTGTGATGCGCAAGAGGAATGGGTATCATCGTAAGTACCAGAAACCTCTGGCACACGCAGTAGCTCAGCGCAGATCGGTGACATACCTGACGATCTCCTTCGGCAAATGTACCCCAGGTTTGCCAGTGACAGGTTCACCAAACGCTTTGGTCGAATCAGGTGGTCCAAAGTAGTAAGATGATGTGGGAGGTGGGTAGAATGCATTCGACTCATCGTCCTTCGCTTTGCTTGACGAAGAGGCCGTGGCTGGTGCTAGCGCTGTTGCTGTTGATGTCTCGGGTGTCATCGCTGTAGAGGTAGGGGCGATATTGGACTCTTCCAAGCCGGCCATCGTCGTCCCTCGGTTTCTGTGCTCCCTTTTTATGCGGTCGATGCCCGCTGACCCGAGTTCGATAAGTTCGACCTCGTCCGAAAGCACGATGTAGTATTCGCGACGAGGACTGTGCGGACGAGGTTGGTAGGTGGTGAAAGCTGACGAGGTTTGTGAAGAGACAGGAATGAGGCGTCGGGAGAACAACACTTTGGTCAATATTCTGGCACGGGCGGAGCGCACACGCATGGCAGCGCTGGCCTGTTCGAGCTCCAAATTTCGACGCGCTGAGAGCGCCCTACTCATCTCGATTTCTCTCGCTGCTGCTGCTTCCTTGTGTCACAATCACAAGCTGCCGAAACGGCAACAGTCGACTTCTCGTAGACCACTTTGAGCAGTGGGCGGCACGTGTCGGAAGAACGATCAGATAGGAACATCATAGTATTACAAGTAAGAACGGAAGTTTTGCCGGTCATCATCGACCGACCATGCACCGCCACACAAGCGACAATGAAACGCAGTCGCTCTCCCTCCACCGCAACCCCTCCCTCACATGCAGATCCTGTACGAGCAGTACCTACCACTCGTCTCACTCGGTCGGATGATCTTGACCACCTGACCTCTCTGCAATCCAAAGTACCTCGCCACCGGATCTGCCTGTTGGATTCTCGGCAGCTGCGTTTCCTTCAACCTGTACCTTTGCAGCAGATCCTTCTTCTCCTCCGGATACAGCGGTTCGTGTTTTGGCACCAGGTGGTGGTGGGTGATGTTGACTAACAGGAATGCCTCCTCGAAGTCCTCCAGGTGGAAAGTGCCACGCATGGCGTCGATGACTTTCCTCGCGGCCGAGGTCATCTTTTCGGGCCAGATGATGATCCCGCGTTGGATGTCTCGCTCCTCCATGATCGAGATGAACTGTCGCATGGTCTTCACTCCTACGCTTCGTTCCAGAGAGTAGAAGACGAAGAGTCGCTGGTTTTCGTGTTCAGAGTGCTCGGTGAAGAAGTTGAGCTTGGTTCGATCCACAGAGCCTCCGGTGGGTGCGTATTCGGCTTTGAACGTCTCGAGGTCGATCGAGATTTCGTCGTCGGCAACTTGGTAGCCTCTATCACGCACAAGCTCGTGGATGGTGCGGTTGACTCGCCAGAGTCGCACTGTTTCCCGATCGTCCTCCATGACGGTTGTGTGATAGATGTGCTGCTAAGAGGCGAAAGTATGGCGTTCTGTATGGACGATATCTGCTTCGCAGTGCGAGCCCGTGCTAGTGCAGCGTCGAAGAGAAGCTCAACAGCTGAACAGGGAGGCAGGCGCAGTGCTAGTTGTCCTTTTCAGATCCGAGTAAGTTGTGCTCCTTCCTTCGCAAACAGGTCCCACACTTGCTGGGCGCTAGATCGCTGGTCACGGATGCTTTCGCGAAGTTTCCAAGCAGACTGGAGCTGCACGCTATGGTATATGCCTGCGAACGCCAGTCGGCAGCAATCAGCAAGGCGAGGTAGAGGGTTGGTGGATGGTGGAGGTGCTCAAAGAGCAGCTATGCCAGCAGCTGCGCTCACAACGCGCTCTTGAGTCTTGGAAATTTTCCTCAAAACTTCTTCCAAGAATCCGCACCCTGCGCAAATCCTCGGAGCCGATTTGAATTTTGACACCAAACAAAACACTGCGACGTAACATTCTGAAAAGATCTGAAGAATGAACCACGTCACTCAAGCACCGTACTTACAACATTCGCAAGAGGCACACTTCCACACTGCCATCATCCCGCAAAGTCCAATCGAGAATGCCAAATTAGATTAGATCATGAAACAGCCGCTTGACTTGAGATGTCACCTAGCTGCAAAAGGTGAAAAGTGAAACAGGATGAAAAGGTGCAAGGTCCAACAAGACAGCTGTGACCGAGCGGGTAGTAATTGATTGAAATGCCGTGGTGTATATGCGCGTGTGCGAACCAGGTATGAAGGGATGCGGAGGGAATGTGTAGGGCGTTGAGGGGAATACCGAATGCTGGGATCATGTACAAGTGCTCCGAGGCGGACGAACGAAAGTGACGTAAGGGGGACCATTAAGGGGTAAGAAGATCATTCATTCAAAGAGACTGGCAACCGGCTGCCTTCAGTTCCGATCAAAAGCGAGCTGAGCAAGCACGCGGCTCACCTCGTCCATCGTGGAAGCATCCGGATTTTGACCATGGCGACCGGGTGCAAGTCGCGAGATGCTAGCCGACGACGCGTGCATGTGCTGGTGAGGCACGCCATAGCCTTGCTGCTGCTGTTGCTGTTGCTGGTATTGGTGCTGCTGCTGCGCCTGCTGGGCGTGCTGCTGCGGGGTGGGGGGCTGGTAGAGATGATGAGGCGCGCCGCCGCTGAAACTGGTCTGCGAGCTTCCCAGACCGGGGAAGCCAGGCATGCCGGGCGCGCCGGTACCGATGGGACCAAGGCCGTACGGCGTGGGTGGACCGACACTCATGCTTCCGCTGGCGTGCTGCGAAGCTTGCTGTGCTGCCATGGCTCCAATGTCGAGGCTCTGAGCTCGATGAGCGAACGACCGCGGCTTTCGGAGCGCCTTGACACGGTCTTCCATCGACATACCATCCAGTCCACGATTCATGTGCATCTCGTCCGAGAGTCGATGTGCGCTCTGCTGATGATGCAGGTTCGGCTGTGACGGGAATTGGATACCTCCAGGCTGCGGTACACCTCCGGACCCGATGGGGCCAGGTCCGGCTGGGCTTGGAAGAGCCGGTGCGCCGACGGAAGGAGGTGGCAGCCCCATCAGGCTCGGCGTAGCACTGCTAGCGGAGCTGGCGGTGAAGGCGCGTGTCGGAGCACCCCAGACGTCGCTACCAAAGCCAGGACCGTTGCTGTATGGCGATGCGTAAAGTGAGGACGTGATCATGGGCGAGTTGGCAGCTGTAGAAGCACTTCCGCCATTGCTCGACGGGAAGCCTGGACCGCCATGCAAATGTTGCGCCGGTGAGTCGAAAAGCGCTTTGATGTCCGGTGTCGAGGCGGCGACTCGCAATCGACGCTCGTTGACGCGCGCTTGTTCAGCAGCTGCGGCGGCTGCGGCTGCGGTAGCAGTGGTGGTGTGGAACGACTCGTTCGACTCGGCGGCTGCGGCGGTGGAGATCAGTTTGTTGGCAAAGTGCGGGAAAGCCGAAGCGAATGAGTCGGAGCGCGCTCGAGACGGTGCAGCGTAGATGTTGGCGTTGCGGTTGATGAGGAAATCCTCGATGGCGTCCTTTGCCGTGGGCAGGAAGTCGGTGTTGCTCCGATTGAGTTGCAGCTTGAAGACAGCCTCACCTCCGGGGCGTCGCTGCTCGATGACCGGCGACACAGCGATACTGAGATCGCGCTTCAGCTGCTCGGCGAGCGCGGTGAACTCGTCTGTCTGGATAGCGTCAGCCAGCTCGGTAGAGTTGGGAGCGCGGAACTCCGCCTCGAAGGGGACATGATCCAGCAGCATCTGGGCGGCAATGTGGATTTGCGACTCGGGACCAAAGATGGTGACCAAGTCCGAGGCCGACTCTCTGGCAGGGAAGCGCACGCTTGAGCTGGTCTTGCTCTCGATATCGTGGATGAAGATGGCCTTTTCGCCCAGCAGGGTTCTATGATATCGGCGAGAGATGGTGACCGTCTCGCTGATGTAGTCCTTGTCCTTAGGATTGACCAGCTCCATGACCGAGAGCTTTAGGTTCTCGAGATTGGCAGCATTTTTGGCAGGCGTTCGAGCAATGACGTTGTCTTCGTTGTCGAGGTAGCCACCCAGCGCTGCGAACTCCTCAGCGTTGCTGAACTTGACGTAGACGCCAAACTTCTTCATGATGCGCTGGATGTTCTTGCCGCCGACGCCAATGATGCGTTTGTGGTACGCCTCCGGTACGTGGAACGACATCTCGGCGGGCAGCTCCTCTTGCAGGAGCCCAAGGCCCTGCAGAACGCCGTTACGGTCGTTGCCCGAGACATCGATCAAGAAGTTGTAGTCGTTGAACGTCTCGAACTTGATGCGGACGCCGCACTGCTTCATGACCTTGTTGACCTTGCCGTTCTTCTTGCCAGAGATGAATTCGCGATGCTCGTTGGCAAGCTCGATCTGGAAGCGCACTTCAAAGTTGAAGCTCTTGATCAGGTCCATCTCGAGAAGCGCCGATACGGCGGTGCGCACCTCGGACTCGAGACCGTGAATTTCGAAGCAGTTGCTCTTGAAGACCACCTCGGCGCCCGATGCGTTGGCGACGTGCTTGAGCACCGGCGCCACTTGCGTCGGATTGAGGTTGGCCTGCGGCGAAGGCATGTAGACGTCGAAGCCAACGGGCAGCAGCCAGAGCGATGCGACGTAGAACTGGCAGGCAAGCTGCATGATGGATCTGATGGTACGTTCAATGTTGACGCGGTGGTCGCCAAAGACCGAGATGACGCTGGCTTGGCTGCCGAGCAATGGGAAAGCGACGAAGGTGCCGTTGTCAATCATGATGGACCTCAGCTCCTCGAGACGCTCGGTGAGCATCCAATCGAGCTTGCGAGGCAGGATAGCGGCATCTCGTGAGATGATGCCCTTGCTCTTATGCATGGACACCTGGAACAGCATGTCACGAGCGCGCTGCACACCAAAGAATTCGCCCGTGATGTGGATCTGGTTCTGATGGGCCGCGACTCCCTTGCCATCGCTGCGGCTGGCGAGACCCGAGCCGAATGTGCCGAGGAACGAGCTTGGCAAATAGATGCTGGTGCCCGTCTCCTCCTCGATCTTTTGCACCACGCAGCGCTTTCGCCCGCCGATGATACTGTGCAGCTTGGGATCGATCTCGCAGGTCTCGGATTTCAGCCCGGCGATCTCGTCCAGGATGACCAGGACCTTGACACGGGCCAACTCGACACTCTCGAAAGATCCCGAGACGAGCACCTCCACGATGCGCTCGGTCTCGAGGCCGTAACCAAGATCAGCGCTGCGGATCTCGCTGTTCCTGAGCGTAATGGTAGCGCCGGTCATAGATTGTACCTCGTCGAACTTGCGACGGACATCTTCCTTGATGCCCTCTTTCCCAGGCGGCGACGAGCCGGGCGCAACATCAAATACGTCGGCACGAGCTACTTTGACGGTAGAGGTCGACTTGAAAGGATTCTCGCGCAGAATGGAGCCTCGGGCATTCATGACCTGTTGGTAGCTACCGCTGAGATGGAAGTTGTACTGTGGCGGCTTGGGCACGCCGCTCAGGCTGGATCGTGGAGCGCCAAGTGAGTTGGTATTGGGCGATCGAAGCGGATGGGCAGATGAGAGACCCACTTCTTGGGCCACGTGGCTCCCCGACTGGGGCGGATTGAGCGAGGAGAGTGAGAGTGAGCTTGCGTTGAGCCCAGGGAATCCGGCTCCCAGCGCTTCTCCACCGGCGCGCCCAGGGAAGAAGGCAGACGAATGCGAGTCTGGGGTGCCGATAGGCTGCGGATGATACTGCTGGTACGGATAACCTGAGCCGGTGGGGTTGGGGAAAGGCAGTTGATCGAGGCTTTGCAATGATGAGAAGGAGCTCTGACGAGGAAAAGGATGCGAGAGCGGGGTCGCGGGTACGCGAGAATCGTCGTTCTGCGGCACGGGAGCGAAGGAGACGAGACATTGATGGTTGGCCATTACATCCGAGCTGAGCTTTTGGATAGCTTCTTGGAGGTCCTTGCTGCTCTGCGAGTGCGACATGCCGCGTTCTTGCTGCGCATGGTTGAGCGAGATCGAGTTGGAAGCCGAGTGGGTGGTGCTGGACGGATTGACGCCTATAGCGCTGCTTGCTGCGGTACTGTCTGCCGTGAAGGATGCTGCCGACGAAACGTCAAAGCTTGAGCGGGTGCCGACGGTGGATCTGCTGTCTCGATGTTGATTGCCGACGATATCGTCAGTGTTACTGACGCTCGGATTGCCGAGCTTTGAAGGGCGAGCGTTGCCTCTCTCGCCGATGGGTGCCAGTGGCGCCGGCTGCTCGGTTTCTGAATTGGCAGGCTGTGCAGAGGGACCGGTCGAAGCATCTGCTTCTTCCTTTTCTGCGCCGACGCTTTCGACGATCCTGTCGCTGGTGCGCTTGCCGCCGAAGGCGCTGGGCATGAAAGCCTTGACGCTAGGCGGGAATCGAGAGCGCATGGAGGTAAAGCGACCAGGCAGTGACGAGGCCGGCGGCTCGGCAGCAGTCGGCGCTGAGGGCGGCGTGGGACGAGCGCCTACGTGCGAGCCAGGGCGGGCCGCCTCGAGACTGAAGCTCGAGGACGAGGCTGCGGCTATGTTGCCATTTGGATTTGTTGCAGCATCCGAGACGAAACTGCTAACGCCGATCGAGCGCGGAATGGTGAACGAGGTCGAGTAGAGATCCATTTTGGCGTTCGACTCGTTCGCAAAAGCCTGGGCCACAATGAATATGAATCCAGAACTTCGAGTGGCCAAAGGTCAGGACGAACGTCGAGGTTGCTAAGCAGACAGAAAAGAAGACTGGACGAGAGAAGATGGGATACAGAGGTATCCACTCTTCGAAAGTAGCAGCGAGCGCTCGCAGAGGGTGCTTGCGTGGGTAACCTGGGTTGTACGGGTATAGCCGAAAAGATGAAATGCCTTGAGGTATCTTAGTTGCGAGGGCAATACAGCGGAAGGATGCGAATGAAAGTTCAAGGGCGAAAAGCAACCATGAGAAGCAAGAGACGAAGGGACGGATGCTTCACTCTCGTGTTAGAGGCAAGATTGCCAGCTGGTGAGAGGCGAGCAGTATTGAACCAGATGCAGAGGCGGCCAAAGGTATAGATGATAGTGGCGAGCAGTCGAAGGGTATGACCGAGAAGCTGAGAGCAGGCGAACCGAGACGGAAAGAGATGTGGAAGGGAAAGAAGGGAGCCTGAGCGTCGTCCACGGCTAAAGGGATGGTCGCACGGATGCCCTCTGCTGCTACCAGGCCTGACCGAAAGACAAAACCTGGAGGAATGACAGAAACTCTGCTGCTGCTGCTTCTGTTATGGCTGCTGTCAGACGATGAGGATCGGAGATGACAAGGATGAAGAAGGAGCTACGCAGAGGGAAGAAGAAGGCGAAGGATGCTGCGAAGAGTGTTCTGTGCGGTGCTAAAGGCTCGAGAATGACAGTGATCGGAGGGTGAAAAAGGGGTTTTAGGAAGGACAAAAAATGCCAGCTCTAAAAAGTCGACCCAGGCCGGCAGCAAGCTCGCGTCTGACAGCGGTCACAGCACAGCACATCAGCATCTCAGCTAAAGATTTTATGCTCTTGCTGTCTCCACATCTCATTGGTCACACGCTCAAAATGAAAAAAAGACTGTGACATCGAAGCCCAGCATGTGAAGGTGAGGGAGAGTGTGACAAGTGTCGGAAGAGGCGATGCACACACATACACACCCCGGGTGGGTACTGGCTGAGCAACAGGAGAGTCGGCACCACATCTAGCAACGCGAGCCAGGCGTGTCACACGTCCAGGAGACAGCAAGTGCAGTCTTGAGTCGTGAAAACTGTATGGCACGAGCGCACGGGAACGGCACTTGGCTAACGCTGTCAAGCGGACGGCTCCACAATGCCGAAAAGAGGTGTCATCGAAAAGTCAGTCAACAAGCGAGGGAAGCCAGGCTGTCCAATCTTTGACTAAAGGGTCAAGCCACACATGCCTGGCGCTGCGGCGCTTTCGCCCGCGTGCCTTCACCATCATCGAGTCGTATGCAGATCGGCAATGCACGCATCACACCAACACTTTGTGCAGAAAGGCAGTGCTGCCTACCCGCCTTCTGTCGGATGCCCCGTCCGAAGCGCTGTCCTAGGATTCCCGCCGCTTCGCCCATGACTTCGGCTGTGCTCCGACTAGTTACCGCAGAGCAAAGTGGGCGCTCGAGGTTCGCCAATGCAGGAGATAGGAGACAGGAGACTCACACAGAACTACGCAGGAGTAGGGGAGGGGCTGAAGGCGACCAGCTTCACGACGAAAATTCTCCGATCGAAGGAGAATTGATCCGACTTTTTCAGAGGGATGCACACACGTAGGCTTAACATGCGTAAAAATCCCGATGGCTTGGTCGGTTGTACTCGTGTCTGGCTTCCACCCCAAAACGTGTGAACCTATCTTGGTCTCGAGCTAGGATGACGAAGTTCAAGCATCTAGAATGTACAGTGTGCCGAACCCTCCATCCCCTTTCCCTTACTCCTGCGATGGAACATAGGGCTGTACCAAAAACTTGCTGAAGTCCTTCAACTTGTCCGTCCCTCTCACCTCCTCGGTCAACAACGGCATCTTGACAATGTGGAAATCGTCCGCGTATAGCTCCATCATCTCCCCGACATACTTGTCCTGCATCTGCTTCCTCACTCGGCAATGTTGGCAGTTGCTGTCCTTCTTCGGATACAGCAGCTGGTTGCAGACGATGGCGTGCGTGTCGATCTCGTAGCTCGTCAGCTCCTGGATCAGGCGTTCGGTTTCGTAGAGAGAGAGGAATTCGGCGATGCATACGCAGACGAACGTCGTCTTTTCCGGGTCTTTGAACTGCGTGTTGACTTCGGTGATGACTTCACGCATGCTCTCGAGTTTGGCGAACATGTCTTCTTGGTTGGCACCACCTCCGCCGAGCATGGATTGGAATTGCCCGAGCATGGGTCCAAGACTTCGTCCGAGCGTGCTGAATTTGGCCAAAGCCTTTTCGAGGACACTTGGGAAGGACAAGAAGCGGAGAGTATGGCCGGTAGGTGCAGTGTCGAAGACGATGACGGAGTATTCCATCGACTTGACGTGCTTCATGATCTCGGCAAATCCCATGGCTTCGTCTACACCAGGGATGGCGAACGCGAGGTCCTGCATCATGGACCCCATCGCACCACCGTTGCTGTCCGACTGCTCGATCATCTCCTGGATGCTCGAGTTGGGGTCGATCTCCATAGCGGACAGGTTCTCGAATCCGTTAACTTTGGTGGCTTCTTTGCCAAACTTTTGTCCGAACGCATCCGAAAGGTTGTGTGCAGGGTCGGTCGAGATGAGCAGCACCGACTCGCGTACTTTCGCGAGTTGAATCGCAAGCGAACAGGAGGTGGTGGTCTTTCCCACACCGCCCTTACCTCCGACGAAGAGCCATTTGAGCGTCTTTTGATCCAGGATGTTTTGAAGCGTTGGCTCGAGCGCGTCTTCTACCACGGCAGCGGACGACATTGCGTGTTGGTTTGGGTGCAGAATCGAAGAATCGAGCTGTTGCGAGGGAGGAGAAACCTCGGTGTTGTGTGCGTATGTGTATGTGGGTGCAATGCTCGTAGGGCTGATAGAGGCAACGCTCGTACAGATGGAGGATGTCGTGAGCCAACAACACACGAAGTCATGCACGAAGAAACGTCTTCTCGACGCACAGAGCCTCTCAGCGAGCATAAATGGCACATGCGCAGCCGCGAATTTCTGTTGCTTTTTCACGCAGCCCGAATTTCAGGCACACTCCTCCACACCGCCGACTCGCTGAGACTTCCACGTTGTCCGTTTCCACGGCACACCGCGACCTTCCAGACGATGCTAGTCCGCGGTGGCTGTCGAGACCGACACCGTGCTTCACGTCCGAGTTTCATATCGTAGTTCAGGCTCGTCGTGCACACACTCTCGCTAAACATCCACATGCACGATCCGCTGTGTATTGCAAGTGTATTGTTTTGCATGTATTGTTTTGCATCGTCATTGATCTTTGCTTCTCGTTCAGATCTTGCGCTTGACCAAGTTCTGCAGCATATCAAACGAGTTCCCATCCGGCTGCAACTGAATGATGCCACCTGTGTTCGACTCGTCCGTATCACCCCACGCTCTCCCATCCCTGCTCCTCACACCCGATGTCCTCGGAACGGCCTGCAGCAGCCCAAAATCCGAAGAGATACCTACAATCCTCACGCTCTCCTCTTCCGCTTCCGAGCCCTCTGCTCGGAGAGCATCCGACGTCAACGTCGTCTCTTGATCGCTATGCAGCCAGACTTGACGGTACCGCTCGACGAACGGCCGGAAATCTCCCTGGTGCTGCATGAAGGTTTTCCAGATCGAATCAAAGGTTGAGAGGATGGCTCCTGCCAGTTTTTCTTGCGTGATCGGTGGAAGCAGGGTAGACGGATCGGCATTGGATGCGATAAGCGATTGGTTGTGGATCGAAATCAGATCGGAGACGGAGGTGGTGGGACGAGGATTGAGACAGTTGACGCCACAACCGGAGATGAGGACGAACTCGTTCCCGCCGCTGAATTGAGAGTTGACCAGGATGCCGCCTAGCTTGGCGTAACGTTTGCCGTTCAGCTCGAACGTCGCCGTTTTCGCTCGAGCAGCCGCACCCGTTTCGGCCGATGCTTCTGCATGGAGAGGCGGGATCTCGGCGTAAATGTCGTTTGGCCACTTGATCCGCACTTTGTCTGCCACCGCTCTACCAGCCTCGCTGTCGCCGAGTGCAATGCGAATACCTTCGACGACAGCTAGGCCTGACAGATACTGCAGAAACACCGTCTTGCTCGCCATCGATACGGGCACGCGGAACACGGCAGAGAATTGCAAGCACCCCTTGGGCGAGATCCATCGGTTTCCACCACGTCCTCGGCCGCTCATCTGCTGCGTCGCGAAGAACGTCGTCCCCACGGGTAGGGCAGAGAGCAGGCGAATATTCTTGTCGAGCATCGTTTGTGTCGATGTCACCATCTGTGTGTACAGCATCGGCGTTCCGAATCGGTACTCTGCACTCGCGAAGCCGCTGTTGGAGGCGCCAAAGGGATTGAAAGGATCAAATGGAGCACGCCACGTCGACCAGTGTCCCTTCTCCTTGTGGCGCTCTTTTTCAAAGTTGACCTCGCGGAAATGCAAGAGGTACTTTTCGTATTCGGAGATGTTCCAATAAGGAAGGACGTCGGGGGAGGGGCGTTCTTGCTTGCAGACGAGCATGTACTTTGGCACCGAGTCCAAGTCTACTTCCTTGTCTTGTGTCGAATCCTCGGCTGCGGTGGCATCAGCCGATGGTGCTGGGACGACGGCTTTCGAGAAAGCGTCGTAGTCGGCGGAAGAACACAATTTCTGAGCCTCCAGGATGTTTTCCGCATCTGCCAGAGCAAAGTGCATGGCGTCATTTGAGTCCTTGACGCACGCTAATGTTGCGCTCTTCAAAGCTGTGCATGCGTCGTATCCTTCAATGTGAGCAGCAGGAGTCGACACCTTTTCTGCAGCAAGCTTCTGCACGATCTCGTCTGTTACCGAATCCGAGTCTCTGCCGATCGAAGCAAGGAAGATGGGCTGCAGCTTCGGCTCTTCCGTCTCGATGGCGGTGCCAGCCGCGTCCCTTTTGCTGGAATCAAGGTGCTTTGAGCCAGCAGCTGCGGTAGGCTCCGCCCACTGCGGCAGTTCCGATCGCAAACCCAGTCGCTGCGTGAACAGTTCATGCAACCATTGCAGTCGGCGCCGCTCGTGCATCCTGAGCTGTCTGTCTCTTTCCTCGCGGTCATTCTGCTCCTGCGCCTGAGCCTGTCCATTCTCTGCTAACACGACTGGTGTCGAAGTCGGGAGGAGCGAGAACTCGGGATGCGTTCCGAACAGCAACGCCTTGCCAAGTCCTACCGAAGACAGCACCACTGCCGCCTGCCCTCCGTAATTTGGACGTCCCGCCTTCGCTTGGCCGTTCAGGTCGATGTCCAAGCGCAGCTCGTCCGGTTGAACCTGAGCGTAGCGAGCCAGCACCTCCACACCCTGATCCGCGAATCTGTCTGCATCTATGAACGCTCCTCCCCCGTTGTAGTGACACCTCCATTGGTCCTTCTCGCCTCGAGCATTCGTGCGTTCAACATCGACGATCCGAGCCCCCTTGTCCGATTCGTACACGAATCCTGGGTATACCGTGCCTTGGCAGGTTCCAGGGAAGAAACGCAAAAACGGCCTTTCACCGTCCACCTCCATGCCGGTGCCCTTTTCGAACGTGCAGTGGCTCGATGCATAGTAGGCACCCGCGCAGATGCCTAGGAAGCTTCCGCCCGATTCCACATAGTCTCGAAGTTGACGAGAAGCACTTCGTTGTGGAGCGCTGGACGATGCGCTGCCATCGTTGTTGCGGGCGTATGCGCGAGCTAGTTCGGAGACGTATGGCAGGTCTCGACCACCAGGAAGAACGACAAGCGCAGTTCCCTTTTGCCATGGATCGAGAGCCAGCGTTTTGGCATCCACCGTCTTGACGTCGTAGGTGGTGAGTAGCGTCCGAAGCGTCTTGACAGTGTGATGGAGCGCCGAGGTGGAGACGCCAGGTCCCGAGTAGACGAGAACGTCCGACATGCTGGCCGAGGATGAGCAGTGGCAACGGAGTGGACGAACTTGACAGCAGGAGAAGTTTGCAAAGATGGATGCAGGACCGTATGCTAGCCGCTCACCGGAAGTGTGAGCTTTGCAACTCGTCCACCTGGTCGATGTCCGTGTTCCACCTGCAGCCGTCCACACTGCAACAGCTCGCTGTGTTGCCAGATACAGCAATATGAATGCGGTCTGCTCTCCTGTCCTGTCTATGAGCGTTCGTCACGGTAGCGAACCTTTCGGCCCGGGATCGCTTTCTATAGTCCTCCAGGGAGGCGTGTTGTGAATGGCACTTGAGAAGGTCAAATGTTATCTTCCCTCTCGTTCCGACATTTTTGATATACGGACAGTGCTCAACAAAGCTCTAGAACTGAGTCTAGTATTGCCCTGAATACGGTCGTGATTATAAATGCAATCTAAGCAGGCTTTCCGCAACAAACTCCATCCCGGCTAGCTCAGTCGGTAGAGCGTCAGACTCTTATTCACAAGGGTTTCCGAGCATGTTCTCGGAGTTTATCTGAATGTCGTGGGTTCGAGCCCCACGTTGGGAGAAAGTTAATTTTTTTTGGCTCTTCTTTTTCCTCCCTGCTGACCGGAACTGAGTCTCTTTCACATCTGTCTGCTTCAACACTCTGCAGGCTAGCACCAGGTCGCACTCGTGGTAGACAGATAAGATGTGTTCAGACATTATGAGTAGAGGGGTATATGATTTGATTGAATGTGATCAAGGATGGCAAACAAGGCAACGTTCCTGCTAACCGACCTTCTTGAATCCGCCAAAGTTGACACCTACGCAGCTGACCGTGTACAGCTCTGGCTGGGCCAACTTCTTGAGCATCTCCCTCTTTGCGTTCGCTTCCTCATCACCGTCGTCATCCTCCTCGTCGTCGTCACTCTCTTGCTCTTTTGACGGCAATCCCTGCTGCTCGGCGGTCGAAATCTTGAACTCGACTCCCAACGCACTCTTCAAATCCCTCATCATCATCACCGCATTCGCACCCATCCTACCCATGGTCACTCTCGCCACATCCATCGGACTCATCGCCATCAACAGCAGCACCATCGGCTGGTGGCTCTTATCGACACAGCCGTTCTCGCTGATCTCTTCCAACAGCTGCCTTGCAGCCCTTTCGGCGAGGTCTTCCGGCAAGCCCGGGTTTTCCGTGGCGGATGCTGCTTCGGCGCTGTAGATTGCACCGGTGGTGGAGGTGGAGAGGAGGGTGATGGCGAAACCGGGAGACTTTCCAGAGTCTTCGCCGCGGTAGACGTCGGCGAAGAGGTAGAGGTCCGGGATGTAACGGCCGAGGATGGAGCGCGCCGAGTCGATGAGTCGGTTGGCGATTTGCGGGGAGACGCGAGTGCAGGTAGCGATGCCTCGGATCTTTTTGATTCGTCCTGGAGCGGTGAAATTGATGGTGGAGAGGTGTTTGATGAGGGGGCAACGGAAGTGGACTTCTCCTCCTCCACCCGGTGCTGAGCCTCGCTTGGAGATTCGCAGCTCCAACGAACTTGCCAGCGTCGATACCGAGTCCAACGGCAGAAACAGAGACAGGTGAGGCAGCGTCACTGTACGGATCGTATCCACTCCCAAATCACCATCCATATTCGTTACACCTCTCAACGTCAATGCCACCTCCTTCTTCGCAAACGGCGCCAGAACGACAATCCACTCCAACCAATACCCGATACCTCTTGTCAACGAGCATTCGTGAACGACCTTTCCGCCAGCAATCACACCTGGCTTGAGTAGGATGGATGTACCAGTGTACGAGATCTCGACGTGTGACCCATTGGTGATCTTTTCGATGAGCCGAAGAAAGTTGGCTTCGAAATCACGAATACCGGGAGAGGAAGAATCTGGTCGGATAGAGTCAATTCGTACAGGTCGTTGAGAGATGAGCGAGAGGATGAGACGCTGACGAAAGTTGCGGTGACCTGTGAATCGGAGTAGGCGGGATTTGGGATCCGAGGCAGCGCCGGCTGTGGACGATGTGGCTGCGGGTGCCATGGTGAGGGGTAAGAATGTGCTGGTACAGTCAATTGATTGCTGTTCGCCCTTCGCTCCGAAGATGAAAGTAGCAGCTTCAAAGAGCTCGTGGCGATTTGAGCTGGCTTGTTCTGAGGTGGTACAGGGTAGCCGGGAGAGGTAGTGAATTGCAGTTGTGATGGTGTCGGGCAGCAAAGATGGCGTTCGAGAAATTCTGGTTTGGCTGCCATCAGAAAATTCCAAACCCTTCAAAAATAGTTACTCTCCGCTTTCCGCGAATCCTTTCCGATTCCCGAAGTCCCTCGCTCCGCCTTCTCAGTGCTGTCGGCATTCTTCAACCCCCGACACCAACACAGCAAAGACACACAGAGAATCAGACCGACTCGTCTTCTTACACAATACATGTTGCAGGAAAGATGCTATAGGTACAAATACAGTCATATACAGACGGAGACTTCTTACGGACCAGCTTGGCGGTGACGTCCGGCCGCCGTTGGTTGCGTGACAAGATTGTCGATGGAGAGAGATCGAGATGGAGCAAAGGAGGAAGTTCGTCTAGTGATCCGGTTCCGCACAGTGGAAGTACTCCCTGAACACCGGTTCCGTCCTTATCAATGGCTGATCGACGATCGTGTTGTACACGTGCAGGAACAGCTCAGGGAAGCGTCTGGTAAAGTAGGTCAGATACCCGTCGGGCAGGCTTCCCAAGATCTTCTTCAAGCTCGGTGGTAGATCTTGGTAGTGATGCTTCTTGTTGCGCATTGCACGCAAAAGGTCCTGCACCGAAGATGGGTCGTACTTGCGGAACTTGCCGAGATTCTCGAGGAACATGCGGTCGCAGCGTCGATGCCAGTCCGTGCCCAACACGTTGCGTGCTTTCGATTCGAGCAAGACCAGCGCTGCCGTGGGCGGGTCCTTTTCCATGATCTCGAAACGATCAGACGCATCCTGCAGGAAATTGAGTCGCTTGTTGGGATCCCAAAAGTAAGGATGGGTCAGCACCTCGGCTGCAGACGGTCGATGACGTGGATCGTGAGAGACCATCTTGAGCACAAGGTCTTGCGCCTCGTGACCTTCTTCACCGAGGCCGTCAAGCCTCGACAGATCAACCCGCTTGCGGATGATGTTCATCTCCCGCTCGAATCGCGAGCCGAAGGGGTGGTCGCCGTTCGACAGCACATAGTAGGCAAGGCAGCCGAGCGCAAAGATGTCGACGGCACGCGTAAGACGCTGCTTCTCTTCGCGACTCGATGTGGCCTTCGGATTGTTCCCCATCGACGACTCGGATTCGGACCCGGGTTCGAGGTTGACATCGCCACGCAGAATCTCGGGTGCTCGCCAGCCAACGGTGCCTCCAGGATTGTTGACCGTCTGGGAGAAGCTCGTCTGCGCCATGCCGTCCAAACGCTTGGACAGGCCAAAGTCAGACAGCAGCATCTTGAGGTGCTTGCCGCTCGACGACGTGGCCACCAGGATATTCTGCGGCTTAATATCGCGATGGACAATCGACAGCGAATGCAGGTGTCGCAAGCCAGACGCGATCTGGTTCAGCGCACGTTTGGGTTCGAGCAAGTTGCTCAGATCGCGGTAGTCGGCCGGCCTCTCCACGACCTCGGAAAGACTGGCTGGACACAGCTCGAGCGCGATGAACAGGAAGCTGGGCGTGAGCTCCTTGTAGAAGTAGCGAATGACGTTCGGATGATTGTCAGCCGACTCGAGCAACGAGACCTCTTTCGAGGCGACGTGGACAAAGTCGCGAAGCAGACGCTTGACCGCCACGGCACGGCCTTGGAAGGTGCCTTTGAATACGACGGTGCCGGAAGATCCGTAGCCCAAAACCTCGTCCGAGATGGTGAGCGAAGATGTGCTGACGCCGTTGCTGGACGCAGAGCCGCCAAATTGGCTTTGACCGTTGGCTGCGATCTGCGCAGCAGCTCTGCCGACCGAGGCGGCGTCTTCCTCCTCGAAACCAGCCCACCCGGTGTTGAGCAACGGCGAACGAAGTTGTGGAGACATAAGCTGTTGCGTACGTTGCAGACTATCGCTTGCTCGCATCGCTGCGTCAGCATTAGAGGCGTGAAGCCCATTTAGCTTGCTCGACTTGACCTTGGCCGGAGCACTGACCTTTCGAGGCGTTTCTGGCTCGTTCTCGTTGGACGAGGCAGTGTCGGAAGCATTGGCAGACGCGGTCTCTTCCATCTCCTTGTGCGCAGCGACTCCATTCGCGCGTTGGGACGGCGTCGCAAGAATGTCATCCTCTTCCTTTCCAGTGGCTGCATGTCCATCGTCGGCCCTCGCTGCATCCTTGTCGTACATTTGCTCATCGTCCTCGTCTTCCGCCGACTTTTCGTTGCCGGTCTCGGAGACGTCCGGGCTTCCTTCTTTGCTGTTTGCCTTGGCTGCTTTTGCAGCAACAGCAGCACCTCCACGCTTTCCTCTGCGCCTGCGCTTGTTATTGTTGTTCTTCTTCTTGGACATCGAGCTGGAACCTTCATGGCCGTCATCACCGTCTTCATCGTCGTCGTCGTTGGTGGTCGCGCTCTTGGTCCCAGACGTACCGACAATAAGACCATCTCGCTTCGACAATGTGATAGCTTGCTGCAGTTGACGCTCCTCTTCGGCTCGAATCTTCTCAGCAGCCGCTTCGCCACCGAAGCCAGCCTCGTCTTCTTTGAGCACAGGAATCCACACGACGCCTTTGGCGATCTCTGCTGCCTGCCGCTCGGCCCGAGCTTTCTGCTCTTGCAGTCCAAGGTAGGTGGCTCCCGTGAGCACAGCAATCACCAGGACGCAAATAACTTGGAGCAGGAACATGGCCATGCGTGCCTTCCAAGTCCGCTCGGGTGCGTCCAAATCCTCCCTCGACTTGCGAGGCGGGGTCTCCGAGTCTGAAGATGTCTCGTCGGAGGCGCCCCGACTACCCGGTCGGCGAGATCTTGGTGTCGCCTTTTTCTGTGATTTCGGGGATGTGGACGGCTTGGAAGATGCCGACGATGCTCGATCACGAGACGGTCCCTCCGAGTCGTTGCCAGCTGAAGAAGAGTCCGGCTCAAAAGCGGGACGGTCGGCGATGCTGAGTCGTGGCGAGCCAGCATCAATCTCGAGAGTCGAGTGCGAGCCCAGGAGGGAGTCGCGCAGTCTGCCCTCTGCTGTCGGATCAACTTGAAGGGAGTAGCTGCCAAGCCAGCATCCGAACGACGCGCATTTGCGCTGACCCTCGTCCGCCCAGCCCTTCTGCGAGGATGGCAGTCCGGGAAGCCAAGTGTCGCCGGATCCTTGGGAGCTGGATCCATCGCTGAGGCCAGCGGCAGCCTTGGACGCGAATGCGACGAGCGGGAAACGATGCGAGCTCATGGCGAACAAGCTGTCGCCGGCAATGCCGAGATAAGCAGAGCGACGTCTTGATGCTATTTCGCCCCGGTGGCTAGGGTCTTCAGCCTCTTGCATTTGTCGCTCGCTAATCTGCGGGAAGATGCGAGATAGCGGAATCGGTGGATGCGGAACCAGGATGGGACGGCTGAGGGACTTGGTGTTCTGGAGATGCGGCGCCGGATAGACGATGTCAAAGACACCGGCGACACTTGCACGAAGCTCTGCGGACCAGAGGGCACGGCTAGGTTCGTCATGGACGCCGTGACTTCGGGAAGCGCGATCGGCTTCTGTTAGGTTGAAGCAAACGACACTTCCATCTTCAGGCATACCTAGAATGGCACGCTGATCCGGATGATCCGCTTGCGTCCACAGTATCTGGACGTCCCGGTCGCCTGCATTGGGGGCAAACGTGCTGAAGTGGAGCGTTTGAAGTGCTTCTGGTGAGCTGCGCGAATGGATGTTGAGCGTGTAGTCAGTCCTGCCAATGTAAGCTAGCTTGGAAGCGGACTTGGATGAGGAGCCTGACAATGTCGGCTCGTCGTCGATGCACGACTCCGCATCCGTGTGACCAGAGTTCGGGTCGCCTCCTTTGGACGGACCGGTCAGACTAGCGTCCAGGTCATGGGCTTGAGCGCCGCACCAGACCCCAGCCTGTCGACCTCCGAAGACAGCACCGAGTTCGCCGGTGTCGATGTTGAGCTCGACGAGCGTGGTTTGCTTTTGCCCTACAAACACCCGCGTATCGTCTCCCGCGAACGAAAAGGGACTGAGCTCGACCAACTGAGGCAATGTCAACGGAAGTTTGTCGAGTTGGACGGTGCCGGGCTCGCCGCTGGTAGCAGGGTCAGAGCCAGCTGTGGCGCCTACCGACGAGAGTACGTAGATGTCACCAGCGGATGATGGCTCGACAATGTAGATGCCGCCGGCTTCGAGCAGAGGCGACGAGTCGCTGAACGGAGATGCAAAAGCACGGCCGCCCTGCGCGATCTCGGCGAAGGATTTCTGCTCCTTGCCATACAAAGCGGTGACGAGAGGACGGAGGAGCGAGTCGGATTCGTGATTGGCGTGTGGTGATAGCGACCAGAGCTGCTTGCCTGTTTCTCGATCGAGTGCGTAGAGGCCGCCCTCCACGGTGGTCAGCACGACGGTGTTGGCGAGAACAAGGTCGCTGATGGAGCTAGGACGTGTAGGAGATATGCTGCTGCGAGAGCGAGGACCGACAGATGCAAGCTGGCGATGTTTGGCGGGACGAACGAGGTCACGCTTAGGGACGGTCGATGCGGTGCCGGCCACTGATGCGTGTGGAGAGGAGGCCAAGGCACCGGATACGATGTCAAGCATGAAAGCGACGAGCGTCAACACCATGATATGCAAGAAGAAGCCATTTCCGGAAGATGCTAAGGCCCACCGTCGTGCTGGTAACGCTGTCGGGTGCCTTTGAGATTGTTTCCGTGGACGTTGACGCGACCTTGGCAGATCTGGAAGCTTCATGGTGGCTGCCGGCGCCAAGGCCATCCACTACGCGGAGGCGGCGAGCGGATGAAGAGCAGGTTCCTCCTCTGTAATATGATTTGCTGCAATTAGCGTAGAGCTGGCTTGGCCCAGAGAAAAGCTGAGCAAGGTCGGATCACGATCACTGACGCTGGTGTTCGCAGGATGCATGCAAATGGAGCTCCCGGGTGCCAGCGGCACGCAGTCTAGGCAGCGTGAGCTGAACGGATGTCGAGTTCGCTGTCGCAAACCAGAAGGGTCGGTACCTTGATGTCGAAACGTCGAGATACGATGTAAGGAACAAGAGAGGACGGTCGAGGCCGAAAAAGAAACGCTAGGTTGCAAGCGCAGGGAAACGACAGTCTGGCGGACGCTTGTCGTGATGCAGATGAAGTGAGGCTCTGAGCGCGAGCGAGCGATCCGTGGCTGTTGCTGCAGCGGAAACAACAAAGGCGTCGAAGCAGTGCCGAAATCACGTTGATTCGAGCGTGAGAAAGCGAAAGGATGTGGGGTTTGACAAGCAGCAGTCGAGATGAATTCGACGGCGACGGCGGCTCAGTGCGGGCCAGCGCGTCGCGAGTGTGAGGTAGAAAGGGGCAAATACAGTATCAACGATAGTGATGAAGATGGTCGAAGTGCTTGTGATGGCTGTCGCAGGAGTAGCGATGAGGGTTGTGGAGCTGTTGCTGCCGTAGCCGATGAGTAACGTGAATGCGATTGCAGCAGCGTACTGACGGTACACCAGTGATGGCTGTCCAGTTGACAGCGGCCACGGCCGCAGACTGCAGCAGAAGGACGTAGCACAGATGCACCCTTTCTGCTTGCATGCCGCCTCTCCCAACGCTCGACCGCGCTCTGGTGACCTGCGTTCAAGCCATCCATCCAATTTTGGAGAAATGAAATTTAGACTTTTTGGTCGACTTTTTTGGGCGCGTGAGAAGCTTCCCGTGTCGCCAGATTCCGCTACATTTCCGGAACGAGATTTTATTGGGATGAATTGCCTTCGCCCGTAGACGCAGCGGATCAGCTGTCGCAGCAGTCACGAGTTGCACGATTCTGTGGAGGAGAAGCACAAGGAAGCATATAGACGCAGAAGAAGAAGAACACGTCGACGTAAGTTAGTCCTCGTTCTTTTCCGCGGATGATGGATGATGATGATGATGAAGGCTCAAATCGATTTTCACGATTCAACACAGCACAGCCTTGAAACGCAATGCTATTGTGATGCTGGTATTCAACGTCGACAAGATGACTAGAGAAGATCGTCGTCGTCCTCGTCGTCTCCACCGACCACTTCGTCGTTCCTCTCGGCATCTCCATTGGCAGTGTCGGCGGTGCGGGCGCCACTAGCAGCCGTGCTGGCAGCGACGAACGCCGTCTGGCGTGCCCCTGTCGACCTCGAGGCCGCTTCGAGTCGAGCCATAGGGTCGTTCGCGTTCGCATCGATGTCAGTGACATCGCCATTGCGCTGATCCTGCCGACCGCTCTGCGCTTGCGCTGCTTGGTTGCGCTGTGCGGATCTCACAGCCGAGGCGGCAATGTACGAGACATCCGTGTTGAACCGTGCTTGCACCGAGCGCTTGATCCGCAACATCTCTCGGAACGTATCCTCAGATCCCGTCTCGATCTCGAACTGGTTCCACTGCCTCCAGAATTCCGTGTGCGTGCGGGGATCGCAGAATTGCGAGGCGTGTGCGTAGATAGCTCGTGCTCGATCGATCTCGCCCAGCTTGCGTTCGAGCTCGGCGAAGCGCAAGCACATCTCGGCCGTCTGCCGATCCGGCAGCGACTCGATCGCGCGCTCGTAGATCGGTCGTGTGGCAGCAAGCCCGAACGTCGCCGCCGCTTGAGCGATGTAGAAGACGTACATGTCGAAGCGGTCGTCGGTCGAAACGGCTCGCGTGGCGCGCTCATAGATCTTCATCGCCCTTTTCGCCAGACCGTGCTCCTCCTCCAGTCGACCATACATGAGCATGAGCGGCTTGCAGAAGCGCGCGGGACACTTGTCCAGCGCCTGCTCGAACAAGTCGCGCGCACGTTCCAGCTTGGCCCCGCCGTAGCGCTTGACAAACTTGCTGAGGTAAACGTTCCAGATCTCGAACGCAACGGGGTAGGTGAACAGTTCGACACCGCGCTCGTACACCTTGAAGCTCTCTTCAAAGTATTTGTTATCCTCTAAGAACGCTGCATAGTTGATTATGATCTGCGCGCTGGCGATCTTGAGCTCGAGCATCTTTTCGTAGACGCGCTTGGTGCTCTCGACATCACCCAGCGACTCTTCCAGATCGACGTAGAAGCTCCACAGCTTGAGCGATTTGAACAGCCGTGTCTGCGGTGGCAGTGTGTCGTCGTGGTACTGGATGCCTTTGGTGTTGCGAGGCGGTGCTACGCTGCGAGCCATGGTGCGGATGGCTTCATCGTAGTTGGAATGCCTCAGCTCCATCTCGGCCCATTCGCACCAGATCTCTGCCAGGTCGTCCACGCGGCGGAAAGGTATTGTCACCGCTTTCTCGAAGATCTTCCGTGCGGACTCGAGATCCCCTTCCACCTGCTCCACTTTCTCTTCTTCGTCCTGACCGTCGGCGCCTTCCGCTGCCAGTTGGGCGAGACCCGCGGATCCCCCGTATTCGTAGAAGCGAGCAAAGTTGAGGAACAGTTGATGCAGGTTGGCTGTAGCTTTGCGTGGATTGATCTTCTGAATCGCCTCGCGGTACGTATCGACGATCTTTTCGTCATTGTCGCCATAGAGCACCACGCGCTTCTCCCATTCTTGCACATCGTCCGGATTGCGTCGAAGCAGGACATCGTTGACGAGGAAAGGTCGGCGTTCCATCAGCTCTTCGAACTCTTGCATTCGGCGATCGAGCTCGGCTTCCTTTTCGTCCCTGCTCTGCTCCTCGTCGCCATCATCGTCGTCCTCTACTTGCTCTTCGCCTCCGTCTTCAGCCAGCTCATCCATCATGAAGGCAATGACGTTCTCACTCGTCTCGGCATAGGCATCGAAGATCTGTGTGAAGTCGCGCACCGTCTTAACCGCTTTGATGCCAGCTTCAAAGGTATCGCGCGCCACCTCGAACTCGCCGCGTTTGATCCAGTAGGTCGCCAAACCTGTCCATAGCCGTCCCGACTGATCCGTAAACTTGTCGAGACCGTCCTTCTGGATGATGGCCGTGACGTTGAGTCGATTTGGGTCGAGCGGATCGGTCTCAGCGGGCTTGCTCGACGACGCCTTTGCACTGCCCCGAACTGCTTTTGCCTTGTCTTGACCGCGTCTGGTAGCAGATGATGTGCCGTTTTGAGATGTCGCTGCTGCCGGTACGGAAGCTGAAACATTGCTGTCTTGAAGGGATCGCTTCTCCTCCTCCGGACCGAGACCGATGTCTTCTGGGTACTTTTCGGTAAGCTCGAGCCACTCGACGAAGAGTTGGAAAGGACTTTTGCCTTCCGGACTGATGTACGATCCGTCCACAGCGCTTCGGGCCAGCCCGAGGAGCAGCTTGGATGCCTCCAGAGCTTTGGACGCAGAGCCTCTGCTGGATTGGTTACCGTCGTCTTCGCCATCCTCTCGCTCGTCGCCGTCGACTTCTTGGTCCTCCTTCTGTGCCAATAAGATCGACACGTAGCGCTCTGTAAGGGAGGGATCGACTCGGAGGTAGCGTCGCCATACTCTGAGACACGTCTCTCCACTTTGACGCTCGGCCCACTTGAGGTACACTTTCCAAATCCTCAGATGAAGCGATCCCGGCAGAGTCCTTAGCGCACGGTCAAAGGTGCGGCGCGCATGAGTGTGAGAGAGAATGGGCGGGCATTGTGGGTGGATGAAGATGGATAAGTAGCTGAGCCACAGCCGCGGCATCGTAGGCAGCCACATGAGTGCTCGTTCGTAGAGTGCTGCGAGGCTCTTCCACTCTTGCCAACCGACGGTGCCGTCGAGGCCACCTCTGTAAGCGGAGCCAAAGTCTTCATCCTCAGCCGAGTCGAGCAAGGTGGGTCCAAAGTCGAGCTTCTCGCGAGCAGCCTGCAAGTCGCGTCTGCGCTTTGCCTCGAAGCCGCCTTTTGGCTCGCCAAGTACAAAGCGAGATCGATTCTGCAAATAGTCGCGCCAGAGCGAGTAGCGTGTCGGAAACTGAGCTAATGCACGTTCGTATATGCTCGTGATGCGTCGCAGTGCTATGCGCTGGGTACTGCTCGCAAGTGGTCCCAACAGTCCCGCCTGGTAGGTAGACAGCGATACGTCCGGCGGCGGTCGTTTGACTACGTTGGTGTCTATGATGTGATCGATGTACGAAGACCATGAGCGGAAGTTGTCGGGGTTGCGCAGCAGCTCTTGCTCGAGCATGATATCGGCATCCGGTATAAGTGAGTCGTCCGTAGCTGGATCCGGAAATGGCAATGTGATGGGGAATAGCGACGTCACAGCAGTCATGGCATCTTGGACGGGCGAAGGTGGAGATGCATCGTCCGCAGCAGCTTCCGACGACGCAGCCGCTGGCGTCCTTGCAGACCGCTTTTTTGGCGGCATGTTTGCCCAGACCTTGGTCGACGAGCTGTGGGATCGTGGATGACTAGCAGGATGGCAAGAAGAGCGTCCACACAGCAACAACATCAAGAATCCACCGAAGCTTTCCACTTTCTACTTACCACTTCCGATTCGCGAACTTCCCGCATGTTGGAATTTGATTGTTAGACCAATTGGAATACCCACTCCCCAAAATTTGGCAGTCAAGTCTTTGGACCCTTGAGGGCGAGTGCATTCGCTATGCGGACGTGTGAAGAAGGCAAAAAGGCTCCGAGTGCAAGAGCTGAACATTTCTACGCACTCATTTCCTCCTGCTCACCCGCCAAACCCTCATCCTCTCGTTCGAGTCACTGCGACAATCGCCTCGCACGAAGCGATAACATTTACAGTCGGGAATTGAGGTAGTACTTTCAGGCGTCAGAGTCGTCTGATCGGTCAATCGCGGAAAGAGCAGTGCAAGGCGGAGCAGTATCTGCTTGTTGAAGCTGCAAGCGCAAAAGGCTCCGAGGTGGGCACTCATTGTCTCCGTCTTCGCTTCTCCACCGACTGCAGCGCAGCCAGAAGTGGGAAAAGCCAAGGGCCCCTACACTGTCGCGGGCTTGAGCAGTGGACACGAGGCCGCTACACCAAACGTCGCCGTACATGCAATCGCGAATTGTACTTGCATCGGCTACGCAGGCTCAGGAACGCTCAAATCTTGCAGCTTTGGCTGAAGTCGCATAGGGTCTGGCAGACCCACCGTTCTTCCCAGAACCAATGACGGACACTGCAAGATCACAGCCGATCCGCGTGTCGGAGACATCCCGAGGCCAAGGCAAAGTGTCGTCTGCACCTGATCCAAAGATTTCGGGCAAGCCGATCTTGGCTTACGAATCTCATCACCGTCCGCCACCTTCCTCCTCATCGTCAATCTCGGCCGTTCGGAGCTCATCACACGAGGCTAGTCAACCGTATCGTCCAGACTTGCCAACTGATCCGCACAAACACAGTGTCTCCAGCAACGGGACGCCGAAATCCTCCAGTCCTTCCTCCTCTCGATCATCCAGTCGGCAGACACCGATAACACCGCCAGCACCGAATGATCTCGCGCACACCTTTCAAACCACTCCGAAGCCTTCCAGAAGCTCCATCGATGCTGCAGCAAAAGCATCGCTGAAAGCGCAACAAACATCATCGTCGACCAAGTCAGCTTCTTCACTTCCCTTGGCGGGAGCCAAGAGGATGCTCGACGACGACTACCTCCTGCCGCCCGTCAATGTCAGTGTCGCCTCGATCTCGAGCAACAAGGCCAACCATATCCTAGGCCCAGATGGTCAAGTCTACACACAAGGAGAGGCTGCCAAGCTTGGTCTCATCATTCGCACTGCCTGCGAAGCATGCCGCAATCGCAAGCTCAAATGCAGCGGCACGCTTCCAGAGAATGGCGGATGTGCGCGGTGCAACAGCGATGATATACCTTGCGTCTACTCAGCGCGAGCGCCCATCGGTCGCCCAAAGAAACGCAAGGTGGAGGAAGAGCAAGATGCGAACATTGTAGGAGGCATCAACTCATCTGTGGCGCCTGGCAAGGGAAAGGGCAAGATGAAACGCAGTCACTCCGCCAGCAACTCTCGAAATAGCCCTGCCATAAAGATCAAGACGGAAGAGGTCATCGACACGAATTTGCTCGCTGAAGGTCAATCAAAGGCCTCGCCCGCCTCCTCTCCGTCGCTTCAGCACATTCAAGACGCAGAAGATGCCCCCAGACAACACAGTGAGACAGATTCTCCCGCGCAAGGCGAGCCGGCACAGCAATGGAGCATGACACCAAGTCACAATCTAGCCGCTTTCATCCCGAGTCGACCTCTAGGCATGTATGAAAGCCCGATGCAGACGCCGTCCGAGCCGGGATCGAGCTATGGTGGGCCCAGATTGATATCCACTCCGACTGTCTGGTCACAGCACCAGGCTGCTTTTGCAATGACTCCGTCCGACGCGGCCAACACGCCTCTCTCCGTCTTCTCGCCCGCAGCTGCACCTGCTTCATACGCTAATAGTCAACAATCTCGAGTCTCGGAGCCGCAGTTCGGTGCGTCTGCATCCGTCGCCAAGTTGCCCTCACTCGACGACCTGTCCGTAGCCGCCTTCTTGCAGTCACTCGACACGCTCGAAATCTCTCCTGCTGAGCTGCTCCAGCAACAGCAGCAAATGCAGCACCTATCTGGCTCGCAGTTCCAGAATGCGCCATCCGGCTCTGGTACACCAGACATATCAAGCTCCAGCGGACTTTTCGCGCCATTCAATGGCGTCGGGATTGGCCAACCAAGCACATCAGATCAATTGACTGCTTCGTCCGTCCAGGAATGGGCTACGAGCAGTGCAATCCTTCAGCCTGGTCTTAGCTTTGCCGTCCCTGCCGATTTCAGCTGGTGGGATCTCGGTATCAATGGCGCCGACTACGCAGCAGGCTCTGCCACACCGAGCGTATCTGCGACGCCCGCGAACGAGCTTAGCTCCCTGGTGTTCCCATCGAGCAGCCCAGTGCAGCCTGTCATGGCTGGTTCCGGCAGCGGCAGAAACGGTACGCACACAATGCTATCAGGGATCTTCCGTTCGCAAAGAGCAGATAAGACACGGAGACCAACCTTCAGCGCTGATCAGCTGTGGCCAAGAGGAGCAGATGCGGGAATGGGACAAGGTCAAATTCAACACACCATTGCGGCCTCTGAAACCGGGCTGGGATGGTCGACGCTGCCAGACGCCAGTCACTTTGCCGATGCCTTGTCGAGTCCAATTGAGGGCTCGGCACACGCCGCTAGCGATAAAGGCAGCTGTTGCTCATCGAAGTCTAGCAACAAGATTCGTCGATCGCCGACTACGGTTCAAGCTGAAAACAGCAACGAGCAGAAGTCTTCCTGCTGCTCTTCCAAGTCGCTAACAAAACCAAGCCTGGATCCTCCCAAGCCTGTTTCTTCTTGTTGCGGAGGGGGATCCGCGGATGCTACTAGCAAGCCGGTCAAGAGCTGCTGTTCCGGCTCGAATGAAGGCGAACCACATGGAATCTCCGCGGCCACAGCATCTGCCGAGGGCAGCTCGTCTTCAAAAGAGCCGATCGAGATGGGCCCGCTCTCCACATCTGCGGCTGTTCGGGGTCATGCAGCGCCACAGCTCGACGGTGAACGCAAGCGTCACGCAGCCACGCATGCGCATCATCCTCACAAGGTGCACTGCGTGCCAAATCCGAGCGGTAAAGGCTGCACGTGTCTCTGCGACATGAGCGTTGCACTGCTCAGCGTCAAGCAGGTGCTGCGCGAGACGGATCCTCACAAGGCCGATACCAAACACAACTTTGCCACGGATACGATCCAGCTCACGCTCACGGCATCGCAAGCCATCACTGCGCAGTGCGCGTGCTCCGCAGATTGTCCGACGTGTCAATCGGATCCGTCGACCGAGATTTCTGCGTCGCTACTCGTGTCGACAGCTCTGCAGATCTATGCGCGCGCGGTGAGGATTTTGCGCGAGGGATTTGCTGCCTCCTCGTCGTCGACGAAAGCTGCGAACGGTGGTGATGCGGGTTCGGGTACGACGGCAGTGCAAAGTTTTTTTGGTGGATTGGATGTGACCATCGGCACGTACAAGCCTTCGGCGAGCAACGCCAAGAAGATCGCGCTGTACGCGATCAAGCTAGAGCTGAAGGATCTGAGGAAGGCGCTAGGAAAGATCAGTCGTATGGCGCAGAGTTTTGGTGCCGTCTCGGCGACGGCGGAAGGCAAGAGTGGCAAGGCGGGGAGCGAGGAAAACGGGAAGGCGGAAGCGGGCAAGCAGCAAGGGATGAATCCGATCGATCAGTTGGTGATTCTCAAGTTGTATCGTCAGTTGACGGAGTTGTTGAAGACGGTGGAGGGGTTGGAGGACGCGGCGTGAAATGCACGAACGGTTCGCACGGTAGGACGGGGCGAATTCACACACCACTTTGGACTCAACAGCACGCGCTGCTTTGTTTGTGACTGAGATAGATTGCGAAGGTGTGACGGTGCAAACATTTGACGTGAGTGGGATTTTCAACGACGGCTCTTCTTCCTGTGTGATGGTTGCGCGGGCTTTGACTTGGCTTTCTTGAGTGTTGACGGTGGTGGGGATGGTTCGTCGTCGGAGTAGACGGGCCATTCCTGGTCGCTGTTGTAGTCGTGCTGCATGCCACCGAGAGGGATGGGTTCGAGGTCGGATTCGTCCGAGTGCGGGTCGATGCCGGGAGGGTTGTTGTAGCCTCCGGATGCGCTACGCGAGGGGTTCCATGTGGGCGCATCGTTGTCATCGTCATCGTCGCTGTCATCATCGTCTTCGTCCGCAATCTGCTCATCGTCTGAAGAAGCGTCTGCATCGTCGAACAGCTCTTCATCGTCATCCATCTGTTCCTCGTCCTGTGCAGCAAATTGATCCTCGTACGCAAACTCGTCTTCCTCCTCCTCACTTTCGCCGGCTTCCTCGTCGTCGGCCTCGCTCTCGGCGTCGGATGCGAGACCGGCGTTCCTCCTGCTGGCCTTTCTCAGCTCGGCCTTTTCCTGCTTCTTGCGCTCGACGTTCTCCTCCTGCTGCTCGCGCCTCTGCTTCTGCAGCTTGAGCTTGTCCGCATGATCGCGCTGCAACTGCACCTCCTCCCGAGCGCTCTTCTTGACGTACTCGTGGAACAGCACTGCTCCCTCGTTGCAGCCTTCTTCGATCTTGACGAGAGTCAACTCCATGCGAGGACCTATCTCGCGCAATCGCACGGCTTTTTGCGTGTTGGCGCTGTTGCCGCGTCCGACGTAGCGATCGTGAAGGTGAACTTTGTTCTTGGGATCCGCAACGTCTTCCGCTTCGGATTCGGCTTCGGATGCATCGGTTTCGAATTCGCCGTTGACAGAAGCCGTGGTAGAGGAGGAGGAGGCTGTTTTGCCGAGGACATAGTCGGAGATGTCTTGGGTGGAGGAGAGGTTGGGGAGCTTGTTGCGGGATGAACGGGAGGTGGAACGGGAACCTTCAATGACTCGTCGTACGGATTTGGACACGCCGACCGGACGGACGGAGATGAGGAAGTGTCTCCAATCGATGGTACCCGTTGTCGAGTTGTAGTTCAGCAGGACGATTCGGCGAGCTTGGGAAAGCTTCATCGATTGAACCTGGATCGGCGGGAACAGGTTCTGAAACGTAGCCACCAGCAACTTCATCTTCCTCTCCTCCCCACCAAAGTTGTTCAACACCAGCAACGGTGGTGTGACGAACTCCGACCCAGGAGGCGTAGGTCTCCGACTGCTGGCCTGCACATCCCTTGACAGAGCGTACTTGTTCACTTTGAACGTGAGCGTTGGTCCACGAGGCGCACGAAGAATGCGTAGGTTGGTTCCAGCGTCGGTCTGACCAAAGATGAGCAGATGGGTGACGCCGATGGGTCCGGCCATGGAGATGAAATCTTTCAACTTGTTGGTGTTTCGTTCACGGAGACGGGTTGCTGTGTTGGGTTCCATGACTTTGCGTGTGTCGGAGACGAGGGTGGACACGGAGCGAGGTACTTTGCCGGTTCGAATGATAAATGATTTGGGAGCCGAGGTGGATGTGGCAGCGGAGTTGTTGGGCCCCTTGAGGTGGGTGCGCGTCTTTCTGCGTCGCTTGACCATCTTGGGTGTAGTTCGTCAGCTGTGAGCTGGAGGATGATGTGGGTGAGAGTAGTAAGGAGATGGCGGTGTGCCTCGAAGAAGAGGATGAGCAGCGACAACAGTCAAAGCTGCGGGTTTCTGCGTTTCTTCTCAAAAATTTCGAGACTTTTTCCTTGGTGCGTGTGGAGTTCAGGGTCCGTCAAAAAAAGTCTTCACTGTCGCGCTGTGCCGATCTCACAGTTCGAAAGTAAACTCGACTCTCGCTCGCTAGTCTTCTCGTCATCGTCGGTCAACGTAACTGACAAAACAGAAACAACATCTGCAGCTAAAGACGCACTAAACTGACAGCACCGCTCATGTCACCCTTGTCGACCGCTCAAGCTCCTTCGCGAACACAACGCCGGTCTGAGAGAGCACAGAGAAAACCGTTTAAAATGACATTCTTGATTGCAACCAAAGACAGACACAGCTACTCCCTCAGCAATGTCCTTGTCTAGGCAGTCCAGACCTTGGCAATCAGCTCAGTGAGTCCAACATCGTCTGTTGAACATCGCATCAGCATCGAAAATATGTCATAAAGTCAGCAATCTGTGACCACGTGCTCTGCTTGCCTCAAACTCAGTTCGCTGCTTCAGATACTCACTGGTGTTGAACTCGTAGAGTCCGTAAAGAGTTGCCAACGTAGCAGCGCGAAGCCCCCACGTTGCGAGGGGACCTGCGATGGGGAATTTGCGCTTGTGCACGTAGTCGGCCAAGATGCAGTCGAATCCGATGTGAGAGTGGACGACGAGCGAGAGTGCCAGAGCGCCGTCAAGGATGGCAGACGAGCCGTGCTTGGCGAATCCGGCAGCGACAAGTGGTACGAGCGCGACAGAGAGACCACGTTCGAATGCCCAGTGGTTGGATCCGTGTGCAGCGTTGGGCTCAGGGAAGGTGGTGGGGTCGTTGACGGTGCCCTTGACGTAAGCTGTGGGAGGAAAAGTGGAGATCGAGGTGCGGAAGGCAATGTTAGTCACACGAGGTCGTTCATTTGGCTAGCTTTGAGAGAGTTGCGGTATGCTGTCGCGACAGGTCCAGGGTGCGGAAGCGGCAGATGACGCCTTCCGCAGTGTCCTTGTCTTGCTGCAAAAGCTCCTTCCCTCTAGCAAAGCACTGAGTCCGCCTGGTTTGTCCTGGAATTTCGTGAGTGTGCCTTGGTATTCCAGCCTTGTCGGTCCGTGGCAAAGCATACCCTGCAGCGGCCGTGGATGCCGGACGTATCTTTCCACGCTTGAGTCCGACAGGCCAAGCCCTCCGTGGTGACCTGCTATCAAACACGACATCGAACTGTCCATCCTTGCAAGTCGTCACAACATCTCCTTGCTGTGCATCGCAAGACCAATGCCGCCTTCCACATTGTCTGTTCCTTCGTGTCCTCCGCTGCTTCTATCCACCTGGCCGGTCTTCATCCTTGCCGCACTTATGGATACTTACGACCCTGGTTGGAAGCGGCGACAGCCTTGACTTGCGAAGTCTGGAAGGCGCGCGATCCACCGGCGATCAACCTGAGCTGAGGGTTGCGTGCGGCCATCGAAAGCCTGAACGGCTGTTGGAGAGTTGGGAGCATTGTGCGCATCATTGTTGGAACTATCGATGAGGCTGAGGGGGAAGATGATGATGACGGAGAGGATCAGTGATGACGGAGAAAGCGCGTGTGTGTATTGGTCCCAACCGACAAAGCGAAATCGAGTGCGGGGCCGGAACAGCGAACTGAACAGTCGTGGGTGAGTGTGTGTGTTCGAGCCAGCTACGTCTCAAGCCATTTGTAATCCACATTTCGCGACTGGAGATCGCAGTGTACTCGATTTCCTCCGATTCGGGTTTTTTTGCGGTTCCAGAGACAGTCAAGTCGCATCGCGCGCGCGCGCGAATTCATCCGCTCTCTTGGTCCGGCCATTTCCGTCTGTGAACTCGACCCGCAAATCGAGTTTGGTGGCACACACGATGTAACACCTGGTTTGATTTTTACTCGCCTTCACAACATCATCAAAGCAGCATGCTGTGAGCGTTGGCTTCTCAGAGACTCATCGTAGCAAGGACACAGAATCACATTCTCACAGTCACTTCATCACACGAGAAGGATAGCCAGGTAATCGTGTAGATTTTTTGGGGGTTGCAGTCAGATGCAGATGTTGGTAAAAAGGGGGGAAAGGGGGAAGAGTATGCGATGAGGAATGAAAATACAAAGAGATGAATGAAGAAGAAGTGCACAACGCTTAGGCGACGGGGGCCTTGATCTTGCGCTGGCCGAGGAAGGCGTCCTTCTCGGCGGGGGTCTGGAAGTTACCCTTACCCATGGTCGACGAGGTCGAGATCCACTTGAGCGAGACGTTCTCGAGAGCACGACGCGAGGTGTGCACCTGGAGCGACTTGCGCAGGGTGAGGACACGCTTCTTGACACCGGGGCACGAGCCCTTGATCATGACAAAGTCGTTCTTGACAAGACCGTAGTGGGGGAAGCCACCGAGGGGAGTGATGGTCTTCTCGGTGGTGTCGAAGTCGGTGGAACCAGAGGTCTTGTCCTCGCCGTTCGAGATGCGGTAGATCTTCTTTCCGATCTCGGTACGGTGGTGGTAACCATCCTGACCGGAACGGGCGACGGTGAACATGACGTTGGCCGGGTGCCAGGCACCGATACAGGCGATCTTACGAAGACCACGGTGGGTCTTGCGTGGCAACTTCTTGGTACCCCAACGGGCGGTAACACCCTCGTAACCGTGACCCTTGGTGACGGCGATCACGTCGACAATCTCGTTCTGCTCGAAGACCGACTTGACGTCGAAGGTCTTCTCGAAGTGCTCCTTGGCAAAGTCGACCTTGTCGGCGACAGAGCCACCGTTGATCTGGACCTCCATAAGGTGCGCCTTCTTCTGCTTGAGGCCGGTCTTGCGAACCTGGGTGTGGGCAAGAACACGGACGACAGTGCAGTACTTCTTGATGCGCTCGAGCTCGCGCGAGATCGAGGCGCCGTTGTTCTCAGAGTGCTTCTTGGCGTAGCGGGTGAAGGCCTTCTTCTTGCTGCGGTACCAGTTCTTGTAGAAGCGACGCTTGACCTCGTCCGAAAGGTGCTCGGCCCAGACGGTGGTGAGCGAACGCAGACCACGGGGGGTCTCGACGTAACCGACAACACCGACGGCGACCATGGGGGGAGTCTCGATGACGGTGACGGCCTCGACGATCTCCTTCTTGTGCATCTTGGAACCGGGACGGTCAAGGTCACGGACAATGTGGGTCATGCCGGCCTTGTAGCCGATCATGGCGGTAAGGTGGACGGGCTTCTTAGGGTCATCCTTGGGGAAACTGTGTGTGGGTGAGGAAAGTGCCAGAGCGACGAGATTGGGTCAGCGACCTGCGGAATGAGTAGTTCGGTAGATTTTGCGATGAGATACTTACGCCTTAACCTTTCCGCGGTGGCGGGCAGCACGCTTGCGGGGAAGGAATCCCAGCGAACCGTGTCGTGGGTGCTCGAACTGTAGGATGCAACAACAAGCGGACAAAGCAGACGACGAAAGATCGAGGTGCAAAGTCGAGAGTGTGCATTGGGAAGAGAGAAAGTGGGAAAAGAAGCGAAAAGCAGGCGAACGCCAGGCTGCATCAGCAAAGCTGTACATCGACCTAAAAGCATTCTAAGAACCTCTCTTCTTCTTCGTTTCCGTCTATTTTGCAGGTGAAAGGGCCGCCGAAGATAGTCGTACTAGCATAAGATCCAAAGCTCGCAGCAATGGACCAAGGACGGTGGCGCTGAACAGGTGGCGATGAGCATAGGTTTGCACGGGGTGCTGTGCTTTTCGGTGCAAAGCTGAGACGATCGGGCTGAAGCATTTAGACCGAGCGCATCGAGTTTCATGTACAACTTGGTGGCGTGAATGGCTCTGAAAGAGAATCATCTGAGCCTCCACGAAGACAATCGAAACCAGCACCGTCTACCTGCTACATTGCCTGCCTGTATCGGCGTTGGTTACCCCGTTCATCCATCGATGCTGTGGCGATCATCTGGTTGCTGTGCGATTGAGCTGCTAGCCAATTGAGTCGATGCTGCTGAACTGGTCTGCTGGCGGCCGCTGAATCTGCAAAAAGAACGGTCGAAGGAGCGAGTGCTGCGAATGTGTTGCCCGGCTACGAATGCGAATACACGGCTTCCTTGCTCTCCGTATCTCCTTTTCCTAGGACGCCGAAGGCCTTTGCTCGCCCTGCGAGGTATGCACCCTCATCCATCATGTCGAGGGGTCCATCTTCAACCCGACCCTACCGATGCTTCCTTCCAGATGCTGCTGATGCTGAGATTGTAGCCGGGCCGCAGCCTCGTCGAGAGTCTTATCGTGTCGGCATGATAATTACCTTGCAGTGGGACATTGTGACCTGAGGTGGATCTTGAGGATGTCGTAGGTAGAGAGGAGAGGTGTATGTGAGACTCGACCGGCCACAAGGCTCAACTCTCGACCGCTTCCTGGCTTGCTGGCTTGCTGGCCCGTTTGTGTGTCTTCGATTGTGTGGCTGCTCACTCGACTATGTCGGCTGCCTCAAACTTCGCACTGTCGTCTTGTCAAAGTTTGCTTCCTGTGTGCCGTCTTCCCTGTCGCTCTCTCACGTCTTCCTTCCAGTGGCCGGCTGGGCTTCTGGCTGCCCCCTGCTATTTCGTGATGTATTCGGTTCTGTGGCTCTACTGCCTCAAATTTCGACGATGTGAGAGATCCACCGTCGCCGTGCTGTGAATTCAATCAAGTCAAATAAGGATGCAATTTGGAAATTTTGAATTTCGAATACAAGTCTCGTGATTGTGTTCCCCCTCGAAAAGATACGTTTCGTTCTGCGTGCGGGTAGCTCGATGAAGCGTGGGAATTTTTCTGAAGTGTGAAGAATAGTACTCGAAGAAATTGTGCTAAGATGTAGAAAGTTCTAGGTCTAACAATGCGCTGAGTGACCGCCGCACTCCTCGACAAAAGCCATCGCTTCCTCACTCTTCGGGCCCGTTTCGATACAGACGACGTTGAGTGGCACAAAATACATTGCCAAAACAGCAAAATGAGCACAACAGACATAGCATAACACAGATCAGAAAAACACGACCGTACGCTCCAGATCCCAGCCCAGCTGCTTGAGACCTTCTGATACGGCCTTCTCCATCGGAGGTGGACCGCACACCAACGCCATCGTGTCCTCCCACTCATCCTCCTTCTCCGGCTTCGCCGGCGGAGGTGGCAAGTGAGTCTTGAGACAATCTGCAGTGATATGACCGCGACCCATGGTCCAGCTAGCCTCGCTCTCGGGAGCACATTTGCTGAGAACGTGCCAGACATGCAGGTTGCCCTTGAGTGCGACTCGCAGACGCTCGAGCTCTTCGCGTATCAGGATGTCTTGTTCGGTTCGATTGCCGTACAAGACCCAGATCTGCATCGGATCCAAGTCGGGGCTGGAAGCGTCGGGAGCGGCGAGTGCTTCGTCGGCGATGGCTTTGAGCGTCGACCAGATCGGTGTGATGCCTGAACCACCAGCGATCATGGCGAGCTTGCGAACGCGACGAACAGCGTTGTTGGGTTTCCATCGGATCTGTTGCTGTCCCAGGTAGGTGAAGGATCCCAGCGGTCCTTTCAGCTCGATCGATAGATCGTCTGATGGAGACGACGTGTCGATCTTCTCGAGAAGCATCGTCATCTTCCCTCCTTCGAACGAAGGCGACGATTGACCATCGCTGGGGAAGTAGACTTTGATCAAGATGTCCAGGAACCCTCGCTGGTCGTTGCCGCTGTACGGTGTGTAGGCTCGTTGAACCGTCTCGATCTCGCCTGTTTGCGCGTTCTTGGCACGAACGCGGACAAAGACGTGCTGGCCCACGGGCAAACCCAGTTCCTGCGTTTCGCTGCCCAGAGCAAAGCGGAAGATTCTGGCATCTGGGGAGATGATCTGCTTGCAGACGAGACGAGTCGGTCGCCACTTTTTGGGATCGAGGTAGGGCTTGCTGACATCGATGACTTCAGCTTCGGTCGCGGCTGCCTGAGGTGCGTCCTGCGTTTCGAGACGACCGAGATGGTAGTCTCGAAGCATCTTCTTGGCGTCCATCGAGTGGATCGCCATGAAGTCTTCGGTGGCATCTTCTCCGGCAACGAGACGGATCGACTGGTCTCCACCCGGATGGTCTTTCAAAAATCCGGTTCCATCGTATACATGACCATGCACAACGAACCACGGCTCTGGACCTTCACCGTCGCCGTGTGCGAGCAGATCAGCAGCGGTGACGATGGTGTCGGCTTTGGACGAATCAATCATGATGGCTTTTTGATCCACTTTGACCACTTTGGCCGCAACTTCCCCGGCATCTTCCTTGGCCTCGACTGCTTTAGCATCACCGAACTGAGGATAGCGAGGGTTGAGACCGGTCTCGTTCATCCTCTGCATCCAACCACCGGCTGCATTACCCGCAAGAGTCGGGTGCTCGAATCGGATCTTGTCGCCCTTCTCGCCTTCGCGGTGAACAGCGACTCGGAACCACCACGAGTTCATCATCGAAGTGGCGTTCCAGTACATGTCTCTCGGCATCGTCGCCAAGCCTTCGTCCAAGGCTCGCACCGAGATCACCTTGACATCCTTGCCTATGATCTCGGCTTGCACGTCTACGTCGAGACGCCAGAAGCACCAAGAAAAGCTCATCTCGGTAGCGCTCAGATCGAGCGTACCAAAGTACTCGTGACCCTGGATCGGATACATTCGATACAGATCTTCGGGATAGTGGATCGAAGCGCACTTCCAGCTGTGTCCGTCGTCGAGCGAGATCTCTACCCTGTGAATGCGTCTTCCGCCGCCAGTGTATGCGTATCCTTCGATAGGGAGCATCTGTGGGCTGGAAGAGGAAGACGATTCTGCGACTTCGAGCAGCTGGTTGTGATCAGGCGAGCAGATGGCAGCGTTGACGTTGAGATCGTTGATGATGTATTTGGGATCGTACCACCAGTGCATCTCGCTTCTGGCTTGGTCGGCGGTAACTTCGGTGGGGAGGACCTTGTTGTCGTGGAAGTGAAGGTGGTGTTGGCTTTCGCGATCAGAAACTTCGATTCTTTCAAGCCATTTGACCATCCTACCACCGATCTGACCAGGCACGACAAGACGCAGAGGATAACCATGGTCGGGAGAGAGGTCTTCGCCGTTGAGCCCCCAAGCAATCAACATTCCTTTGGACCTGTCGAGCGCCCAGTTGAGTCGTTGAGAAGTACCGTACTTGCCCTTGGGCAGCTCGTCAGCACCCTCAAACACGACGTGCCTCGCGCGCCCAGGCACAGCAACGTCGTACGAGGGGAAGGAAGACAGGAGTGGATTCTTGGGCTTGCAGTAGTCAAGGATGTCTGCGAGGTAGACACCCGTGAACAGACCAGTAGAGACACCAGCGGCACCCCAATTGAACCCGAGACCTTTGGCAACCATGTTCTGCTCTTTACGCCTGTTTCCAGCGCAAACAAGTGTGATGGGCAGCGTAACTCTGGGAAATTTCTCCTTGAGATCCTTAATGCTGAGCTCGATTTCGTTTTCCACGAGACCGTGGACCTTGAGTTTCCAGTTCTCAGCCTGCTCTCTGGTCACACGAGGGGTGTCTCCGTGCGAACGTACGTAGAAGAGATTCTGAGGAGTGAGGAAACCCTTGGCGAACAAGTCCGAGAGAGGCGCTTCGACGTTGCAAGGGTGCTTGCCTGTGAGACGGATCATACGCTCGTCGCGTGGAATCCAGTGGTCTGGTGTGTTGGAGTCGGTTGCCAAAGGCTGAAGCGCTTCCGATGCTGGGATGGCAGGCAGCACAGTCTCGTTGTAGTCTTTGCGCGGCTGGAAGGGGTCGACCAAATCTGCAGCCTTTGCCGCCGAGACGGTGGGACTCGATGGCTCTGGTGTAGTGGCCGACGAAGAGTGCGAGGATGCTGGTGACGACGACATCGAGAGGCTCTTGAGGTCATCGCCCCTCTCCGAAGACGCCTTTGAGGATGATGAGCTCGACATTGTGATGGAGCCGACGTGCTTGTGTGAGCTGGGGGACAAGATGGAAGCAATTGGCGTCGTGGTGAAGAGCAAGAGTAAGGTGCGAGCGGCACAGGTGTCGAGAATCAAGAAACGCTAGGGCTTCTTGCCGGATTGCGGGGAAGACGCTAGAGACTGCGAGTAAGTTGGAGGAGGGAGAAGTTGACACCAGCCGCTTACCAGCACAGACTTTTGACACTGACAGAACTGAAGTTGAAAAGCAAGACTTGAGGCTGCTGCTCAATCCGACCTCGATCAACGTGAACGGAACGGCATTAGCCGTCCCTTGGCACACACGAGTCAGTTCGATGATCGCATCACCGGGCTTCACATTGCCAACAATAGGTCCCTGTTCGCCGGCACTCTCACATCCGCGAGTTGCTGCAAGATGCCGAGGAGAGACTTTGAGGCTGCGAAGATCACAGATTAGATGAGGCCAGTGAATTTGCAAAAGACTTTTGCATCGACTCATCGAGGCCATGTCATTGGCTGCTCGGTGATGCGAGCACATAGATTCTGCACGGCAGTGAAATCGTGATAAGGATGCATCGGAGAGCTTGGCTGACGGCGTCGTCTCGGTTGCGGTTTTCTATCACAGAAACTCAGAAACTTTGTGGCATCAACCTGACGCGGCACAGAGATAAGACGGCACTGTCACCCAGAAGTCGACCGGAAAATCCAGGAAATCCATTCGGTAACGCCACGATGCCCCGCTGATAAGGCACAGACGGCCTTCTACACGGGATGCGCGCGCAAATCGAATCAGCCTGCGTATTCAAGCACCTTCTTATCATTCGATCGCTTACTCATGACGCCTGGCCACCATCAGGCTTGCTCAACTTGCGCGAAGTCTGATTGGTGGATGGGATCTTTGTAGCGCACGAGTCGGTCGAGTTCCCTTCCTGCTGCTCGCACTAGGTTAACAGAGAGACGGTGAGTCTGAATTGCCGCCGTGCGGTAATACGAAGCTCAGTCGCAAAGAAAGTCCAGACCCTCTTGGCCTTCTCATCTGACTCGATATCAACTCCTTCGAGCAGTCAACCTTCGAGAGCTGTAGGATACTAGAGACTGTTGCGTGCGATTTCTTGAAAGTGACCATGCGTATATACAGAAAATGGAAGCAAATTTTTATTTTATTATACTTTTTACCAGTCGAGCGCAGACTGTTCTCCGCACGAAGCTTTCGTCTTTTTGAGAGGTGGCGATCCAGGCTTGTTGGGGCTCGAAGGGCTCGTCTCGAGCTTGTCCATGTCAGGGCCCGTGATCTCGACCGAGTGCGACTGACCGCCAGCCAGAGCATCTGACTCCTCGGTGGCACGTCTCAGCATCCACTTGGTCGTCGACAGCACAGCGTCGAGGGCCTCTGTGGGAGGGAGCTTGAGGTAGACCAGATCCTTCTCCTCGTCCATCTTGGACTCGAAGGTCATGATCGAGTAGTCACCGTCGTTGCACTTGCCACCTTCCTCGTCAGCGTTGGCCGAGAGAATGTAGTTTCGCTTGTGCAGAGGACACGAGACGTACTCGCGACCCTTGTCGTCTTCACCCACCAGACCGTCGGCGAGAACAAAGGCGCGGCGATGCGGGCACATGTTCTGTGCGGCGCGGACACCACGGCCAGGGATGTTCCAGACGGCGATCTGAGTGTCGCCGTACTTGATGGTGGCCGACGAGGGGGAGTCCTTTTGAGGGTCAAGGTCGGTGTACTTGCAGACAGGTCGCCATTCCCAGACGGCTTCCTTGGCCACGTCGAGGATGCTGAAGTGAAGCGGACCAGCCTCAACAGGCCAGTCGGCGGGTCGCTGCTGATCACGCTCCGACATCTTCTCGGACACGAGCTGCGTCTCGTCGGTGTTGACGAACTGACGGAAGGCCTTGTGGCGTGCTGGATCGCGCACCACCTTGGTCCACTCGCAGTGGTAGGTGCCAACCAGCACCTCCATCTCCTTCTCGAGGTCGGCGCAGATGCCCAGCTTGTCATTGACAATGACGTCCTTGAGACCCTTGAGACCGCCGGGGAATTTCTCGATCCATCGTGCGGTACGCTCGAGCTTGTCAGCCGAACGGATGTAGAAGAGAATGAATCGGTCCAAGATCTTGATCGCCTCACGTCGCGTGACGTCTTCAGCGATCAGCTCGGCGTGACGAGGCTTGGCACCTCCGTTACCTCCGACAAAGACGTTCCAGCCTTTGGTGGTGGCGATCAGACCAAAGTCCTTGCCCTGAGCTTCGGCACACTCACGGACACAACCAGAGATACCGCCCTTGAACTTGTGCGGGGCTCGGATGCCCTTGTACCTCGTCTCGAGCTCGTGTGCGAGGCCGACCGAGTCACCGACACCGTATCGGCACCAAGTGCTTCCGACGCACGACTTGACTGTTCGCAGCGCCTTACCGTAAGCGTGACCAGACTCGAAGCCTGCATCGACGAGCTTCGTCCAGATAGCGGGAAGATCCTGCTTCTTGGCACCAAACATGTCGATTCGCTGGCCACCGGTGATCTTGGTGTACAGACCGTACTCCTCGGCCACCTCTCCGATCGCCTTGAGACCGGCGGGAGTGATCTCACCGGCAGCCAGACGAGGAACGACCGAGTAAGTACCATCACGTTGCATGTTGGCCAGGTATCGATCGTTGGTGTCCTGAGTCTGACGAAGCTGAGGGTTCATGATCCAGTCATTGTAGAGCGAAGACAAGATGGAACCGACGGCGGGACGGCAGGTCTCGCATCCGAGACTGTCGCCCTTCTTGCCGACGGTGCTCATGACGGTGGTGAAGTCCTTGAGCTTCTTGAACTTGATGATCTGGTAGAGATCCTGTCGGGTGTAGGCAAAGTGACCACAGAGGTGGTTCGACACCTCGACACCGGCCTCCTTGAGCGCCTTGTTGAGGATGCTCGTGCTGAGTGGCATGCATCCACCACAGCCCGTGCCGCACTTGGTCTCGGACTTCATCTCGCCGATGGAGCGAACGCTGCCGTCCTTGACGCAGCGGATGAGATCGCCCTTGGTGACGTTGTGGCAAGAGCAGATCTGAGCTTCGTCGGGAAGATCGTCGCCTTCCTCTTCGCCCTCCTTCTTGGCACCGATGATTAGCTCCGCGGGAGGCTTCTCGATAGGCAATCCCTTGTTACAGAGCGCGACGAGCTTGACATAGTCCTTGACATCACCGACCATCATGCCACCGAGCAGGTGCTTGCCGTCGTTGGTGAAGATGTACTTCTTGTACACATCTGAGAATGGGTCGCGGTAGGTGAGCGCCTTGACCGATTTCTTGATCTCATCGGGTGACATTTCGTCGGATTCGGAGGTCTTGGACCGTCTCGAAGCGGCTTTGCTGCCTGGGAGAGGCTTGCTGATTTTGCCCTGATCGGCGAAAAAGTCTCCGAAGGAAGCGACGTCGACACCCATCAGCTTGAGCTTGGTCGAGACATCGGGCGACTTCATCTTTCGCATGGCGTGATGGGGGCCTTCCGTGAGGTTGAAGGCGAGCACCTCTGCCATCTCGATACCGGGAGCAATGAGACCAAAAGTCTGATCTTCGAAGGAAGCGCACTCTCCGATTGCGTAGACGTTGGGAACGGTGGTGCTCAGCGAGTCGTTGACGGTGAAACCGCCGCCTCTTGCCTTGGTCTCCATGCCTGGAATGGCCTTGGCAAGCTCGTCTCTTGGCGTGATACCAACGGCAAAGACGAGCATGTCAATGTCGAACGGCTCGTCTTCCTCGCCTTCCTTGCCGTACATGAGCATGCCTGTGAGGCGACCCTCGTCATTCCAGATGAGGTCGCGGACACGTGCCTGGAGGAGCACTTCGACGCCCAGATCTCGAACCTTTTGGAGCACCAGGGTTCCGCCCTCTTGATCGAGCTGTCGGGATAGCACCCAGCGGTTACGCTCCACAAGCACCACCTGGTCGACCTCTTCAAGATCAAGCAGCGCTTTGGCAGCTTCGAGACCGAGAAGACCACCACCAATGACACCTGCCTTTCGGATACGACGTCCGATGGTCTTGGGCGCTTCGACAGCGTATCCGATGATGTCATCCAGATCCTTGATGGTGCGGTAGACGAAGCTTCCCTTTGTCTGGTAGAAGCGATCGCGAGTGATGTAAGGTGGCAACGAGGCGTCCGAGCCGGTGGCCAGGATGCACTCGTCGTACTTGATCTCGTTGCCCTTTTCGGTGCGAACGATCTTGTTCTCGGCGTCGATGCCGGTGACTTGATCGGACGTATGGTATGAGAGCTTGCCTTTGGCGTGGGACGAGTACCAGCCGAGTTCGTTGAGGTAGAGCGACTCGATGGAACGATTGGTAAAGTATTGCGTCAGACCGACACGGTTGTAGGCAATGTGAGGCTCCTCTCCGAAGACGACGACTTCCCACTCGTCTCGACCGCCTTGGAGATCGTACTTGAGCAGCTTCTCGACGAATGCGATACCGACCATACCAAGGCCGACAACGCAGGCTCTTTTTCTGTTCTTGGCTGGGAGCGCGAGCTCGGGAGTCGTAGCTCCTGTCGAGCCCGAAGCCGAGCTCCCTGAGCCGGATGCAGTCCAAGCTGCTGTTTCTGTCGGGACTGGCGCCATGTTGCTGAGACTATGTGAAGAGAAGGAGGAGTGAATGAGGATGTGAGGGACTAGGATGCAGGCCCGGGGAGGGGAAAGGTGACTTGTGGCGAATGTCGATGGGGATGACACTGGTGAAAAGGAAAGAGATGACGGGAAGGATTGGTAGCACAAGTGTTGGAGTCGAACAGGGATGAAAGGGTTCGAGAATTGCCAAGCAATACGGTGCGAGTCTGAGAAGCAGGCTTGCTCAGGGCGGATTGCGGTCAATCTGTGTCACACAGCAGAGCGCGGCACTGGAGTTTGCAACTCGAACACATCCTTCCAACACAGATGTGACCGAGACTCTGCTGAACACATGCGACACAGACTGAACTTTTTTGGTCAGCCAATGCGAACTCGCGCATTGTTGGCAAGGCCGGGGACTCGTCTTCGACTAGCCATCGTGTCGGCAAGAAGCGGAGAAAGGTGGCAAGCCACAATCCACTAGCGCGATAGATAAGATCACGCTCGCCCCAGATTCTTCGTGCAAGAATCGTTTGTCGTAAATGCGAATGGCCATCTCTGAGCAGGCCGAATCTCTACCGCACCGCAGAGCGTGACGTGCGCCAAGCTATGAGGATGATGAGAACAATAGCTTGCTTTCGCCTACAGGTACGCTCTATGGACGCGAACTAGTCGGACCCAGGTTTGGATCATCAGGAACTGCGTCAGGTCTTGCTGTTCAGGCGATTTTCCACAAGTCAAAAAGCGCCTCAGACTGAAGATAAGAAGCGACTTCTTCTACTTAGATAGAGATAAGAAAGCCGTTCCTCAGCGGTTCTGCCTCAGTCTGGAGCGCTCGAATATTCAAATTGGTCGTGCATATAGTGATATAATAAACCCTCTCGCCCTTTCAATACGATGCTTGTGATTCGTTCGCTGGGTTCTGGCCTTACCGGTCGTACACCATCAGGACCGGCAAGATAAGGCGGGCTCTCCCCTTTCCCGCTCATCTCTGGGTTCCCGTTTCGCGAACTCGCTCACCGTCGGCTGTGCTGCCTAAGAATGCTGCGCATACAATCTCCGCTTTCACCGCACTGCCTCTAGCGATGTGCCTCTGCGATCTGTCGGTTTCTCGACCATGTGGCGACCTTGGCGGTGCGAAAGTGCGTAGATTTGGCAGGCGGCTTCATCTCTGCAGTGTCCATTGTCCCGGATGAGTAAAGTCGATGGCAAACGCTACTTGCTGTGCAGCGTTCTCTGCTGACAGCTGATGCGAATCGCAGTCTTCCCATGCCATTGAAACGTGGCTCATTGTGATTGGGAAACGGAATCGCTCCCGTAATCGGTGGCAGCAAATCTACCCAGGCGAGCATGCGAGGTGCCGTGCGATGCCTCAGTTGAAACCGCCTCTGTCCAAGGATGCAGACCGAGATATCTCCTGATCTTCTTGAAATCTGATTGGCTCGCTCCAGGTGCTTCCGCTGCGGCATGTCGCAGCTCTGACGTCTCTGACCCGAGCCTCGTCTTCACTCGTGTTTTCGAAAGTCGTTCACGTCTCCTGGCCAACTCTTGGCATGATGTTGTGTCTCTCTGCGAGCTGTGACATGGTTTTGTTCTAACGAGCCCGGCAAGGGAGGAAGGGAGCGGTCGGAGATTCGACCAGGCTTTCAGCGACTTGATCAGATCAGAAGTTCACTGAGACAATCTTATACTGTGAGACCGCCGAAACACAAGCAAGCAAGCACTGCCGTCTTATCTCCCTGCATTTCGTCGCTCGTAGGCGGCACTCATGCGACCTCTCACTTTGTCGCTCTTTCGTGTGTCAGTTTGCAATCACATCTGCGATTATCTCTGACCTCTCATGGTCTGGACCTTTCTTCTCATTGGCTCTCCCATCGCTCAGCCCGTCGGCGTTTGTAAGCGCTTTTGGAAGGCCGAGCGGAGTCAGTGTGTCTCTTCATCTTATCTATGACCTCCTTGGCGCTCCGCACACTGATCGAAGATCGAAGCGAAGATTCGCACGGCTCGGAGCCCCTCAATCAGATTGCGTTGACTTGGTCGTTCTTCCCGTGCACCGCAAGAAGTCAGGAGCCTTCCTGCCTCAAGCCAGATAGACGCACTGTAGCACTCCCTGCTCCGTTGCCGTGGCCACGCGCGCGAATCTTCTTCCTCTTCTTCGCCGGCGCAGTATATAGAAGCAACATCGCTTCCGTCGCCATATCGTTCCTCACGACTTCTCCTCACCCTCCTCCCATAAGGCAGATATTCCACTGCTTCAGCGCAAAACCTTCACTTGTCATCCCTTAGACAGTGTCATATACCAAAAATGCGCTCCAACACAAACAGCCTCAGCAACTCGGATGAGTCCAAGGCTGACCTCGAGATCCACGAGGCCATCGCCAACGATCAGCATCCTGGTATGGCTTCCATGGTCCGTCCCGGCACAAACACCGGTGGCCTCGTCACCTCGGAAGAGTACATGACCGAGGATGAGAAGAAGACCAAGGACATGCAGGACTTTGGTCACTACAAGTTCCAGTGGTCTTCGCTCTGGCGTCCCGCCGTCATCAACCCCATGAACGGCAAGTCGCACACTTTCCCGATCCTCCGTATCTGGGATGCCTACTCGATCGCCTTCTGGCTGGCGACGCTCGGTTTCTTTGTGGCCTTCCTCAGTTGGTTCGCCTTCTCGCCCCTCGTTCCCGAGGCCGTCAAGGTCGACCTCAAACTCTCGTCCGTTCAGGTGACACACTCCAACATGGCCTCGCTCGGTGGTACTGCCATCGTGCGTCTCATCGCCGGTCCCGCTTGCGACCGCTTCGGTCCCCGAAAGGTCATGGCCACTCTCCTCATCATCGGTGCCATCCCTTCGGGTCTTGCTGCCCTCGTTCACTCCGCCAGCGGTCTCTACGCCGTCCGATTCTTCATCAGTATCCTCGGCGCCACTTTCGTCTGCTGTCAGGCTTGGTGCTCCACCTTCTTCGACAAGTCGGTCGTCGGAACCGCCAACGCCTTCTCCGGTGGTTGGGGTAACATGGGTGGTGGTGTCACCATCGCTGCCATGATCGGTCTCTTTGAACGCTACCGCGCTGCCGGCTACTCGGCTCACCTTTCTTGGCGTCTATGCTTCCCCACGCTCCCTGTGCCATGCCTTCTCTTTGTCGCTGGTATGATCCTGCTCCTCGGTAAGGATCACCCTGCTGGCAAGTGGAGCCAACGTCACCAGTTCAGCGGTACTGCCGTCGCCATCGCTCAGGGCGAGAAGGTCGAGCTCGACGCTTCGGAGCGGGCAGAGTACGAACGCCGCGCTGCCGACAACGAGAAGGGACCTGCCAAGCTCGCTCACTTCCGCGAACAGGACCCTGCCGACGCTGGCAAGCACGTCGCCACTGTCGACACTGCGCAGGCGGAACCCATGACCTTTAAGCGCTTGATGGTCATCCTCCAGGACCCTCGTGTTTGGATGTGCTTCATGTGCTACTTGCTCACCTTCGGTCTCGAGACTGCCATGGACGCCGCTCTTCCCGGTCTCATCACCACGCTCTTCCAGTCCCGAACCTTCACCGCCATCGACGCTGCCTACGCCGCTTCGATGTACGGCCTGCTCAACTTGTACGCACGTCCTCTCGGCGGTATCGTCTCGGACGTCCTCTACTCCAGGTACGGTCTTCGCGGCCGTGTCATCTGGCTGCTCTGCACCGCTTTCTCCCAAGGTATCGCCATGATCGGTCTGGGTTTCTACTGCAACCACAACCCAACCCTCAGCGGCGTTTTGGCTTTCATCTTCTTCATCGGTACCACTGGTTTCCTCGCCAACGGTGCTAACTACGGTATCCCCGCCATCATCTGCCCCTCGGCTATCGGCACTGTCTCTGGTCTCGTCGGTGCTGCAGGTAACATCGGCGGTCTGCTCTACCTCGGTATCTTCCTCGCTGTCCCTGGTGCAAGGCCCAGGAGGACCCTCGGCACCAAGTTCTGGATCGCGGGCGTCGTCAACGCAGGTGCTGTCCTGCCCTTCTTTGCCGTCTTGCTCCCCGGCAAGTACGGTGTCTAAGCTTGTATTGTTTAGGATCCATTGTAAATGTAGATAGAATTTCACGACTTGCAAGGTATACTCGTCACTTAAACCAAATCGGCCTATCGTTCACCGTGCGCGACAACGAGCAACCTTTTGAGAAACCTCTGAGCTCTCACCCACACTGAACACAAAACGTCTTCGAGAGTCAAGCCTTTTGATTGAGAGAAATACGAGACAGAGATGCACGTCGTGAAGAACAAACCCGAAACATTGGAAAGGGGGGAACGGGAATCTCTTCTTAGAAAGCGGTCGACAGACCTGGAACTCGTAAAGCCATAGAGTCCAAACCAGCAGACGGCTTCCACACAGAGAAAAGACCGTCGTATGTACAACGTGAGATGAGATGAGGGAGGGTGCTTTCGAGAAGACTTAGGCAGTAGCAGCGACCTTTGTCTTCTCAGCACCGGTGGTACCCTGGATGGGCAGGAACTCACGCTTCTTGATCGAGCCTGCCCATGGCAGACGGGTGTTGCCCATCAAGTCACGGTCGACCTGAGCAGCGCAAGCACGGCCCTCCTGGATACCCCAAACGATAAGCGACTGTCCACGTCGGCAATCACCGGCGGTGTAGACGCGCTCAACGTTGGTCTTGTAAGGCGACTTGCCCTTCTGGTCGTCAGCCTTGATGTTGGATCGGCCATCCTGCTCGAGGCCGAGCGCGGTGACGGCGTCGTTCTCGGGTCCGAGGAAACCGAGCGAGAGCAAGCAGAGGTCGCATGGCCATCGCTTCTCCGATCCGGGGATCTTGTTCATCTGCCACTTGCCAGATGCGTCGAGCTCCCAGTTGACCTTGATGGTGTTGAGCGCAACGAGCTTGCCCTCGGCATCCTTCTCGAACGAGGTGGTCGAGATGCAGTACTCGCGAGGGTCCGAACCCCACTGGGCAGCGACCTCGGCGTGACCGTAGTCCACCTTGAACACACGAGGGAACTGAGGCCATGGGTTGCCCTTGGCGCGCTCGTTGGGTGGCTGAGGAAGCAGCTCGAAGTTGACGATGCTCTTGGCACCGTGACGCAGAGCGGTAGCCTGAGCGTCACAACCAGTGTCACCACCACCGATGACGATGACGTCCTTGCCCTTGGCACTGAGGTAGTGGCCATCCTGGAGACCAGAGTCGAGGAGCGACTTGGTGTTGGGAGCAAGGAAGTCCATGGCAAAGTGGACACCGTCGGCTTCACGGCCGGGCACCTTGAGGTCACGAGGCCAAGTGGCACCGACGGCGTAGACGATGGCGTCGTTCTGGGCATGGAGCTGCTTGGGGTCAACGTCGCGGCCAACGTGAGTGCTGGTGACAAAGTTGACACCCTCAGCGGCCATGAGGTCGACACGGCGCTGAACAACACCCTTGTCGAGCTTCATGTTAGGGATACCATACATGAGAAGACCACCGATTCGGTCGGCACGCTCGTAGACGGTGACCGAGTGACCAGCCTTGTTGAGCTGGTCGGCAGTAGCGAGACCAGCGGGACCGGAACCGATAATGGCGACGGTCCTGCCGGTGCGAGTCTTTGGTGGGCGAGGGACCATCCAGCCCTCCTCGAAACCCTTGTCGATGATGGCGCACTCGACCGACTTGATGCCGACGGGCTGCTCGGTGATACCGAGCACACAGGCGCCCTCGCAAGGAGCGGGGCAGACACGACCAGTGAACTCGGGGAAGTTGTTGGTCATGAGGAGACGGTTGAGCGCATCCTCCCACTGTCCCTTGAAGACGAGGTCGTTCCACTTGGGGATGATGTTGGAGATGGGGCAACCGGTATCGGCCTGGCAGAAAGGAACACCGCAGTCCATGCAACGAGCGGTCTGGTACTTGAGCTCGGCCTCGGTGAGACGGACGGAGAGCTCCTTGTAGTCCTTGACACGCTTGGTGGGGTTGCGGTAGTGCTCGCCGAGACGCTTGTACTTCATGAAACCGCGGGTCTTGTCGAGCTTGTTGAGCCTCGACTTGGCGGTCTCGTCATCAACCATCGAGTCCTCGACGTCAACAACGGATGGCTCGACGGGCTTGGCGGCGGGGATCTCGCGAACACCGTCGGCAGCGTTGTCCTTCGGGTTGTCCTCCTGAGCCAGGATCTCAACCTGACTGCCGTGGCGCGAAAGAGTGCCGAGCAGGTCGACGTGGCTCGAGCGCTTCTTCTCGGCCGCGGCCTTGGCGGCCTCCTCTTCGAGCACGCGCTTGTAGTCAAGCGGCATGACTCGAACGAAGCGAGGAAGGATGTGGTGGAACTCGTGCAGAACGTGATCAGCCACGGTGGAGCCCGTATAGTGGCGGTGGTTCTCGATCAGGTTGCGAAGCTCGGCAATCTCCTTGGGATCCTTGACGGGACCCAGCTCCACCATCTCGATGTTGCACTTGGTGTGGAAATCACGGTTCATATCGAGAACGTAGGCAATTCCTCCTGACATTCCGGCCGCGCAATTGCGGCCAGTAGGTCCCAGGATGACTACACGACCTCCTGTCATGTACTCCAGGGCGTGGTCACCGACACCCTCAACAACAGCATGGGCACCGGAGTTGCGAACAGCGAAACGTTCGGCGGCGATACCTCGGAAGTAAGCGTGGCCCGTAGTCGCGCCGTACAAACAGGTGTTACCCACAATGATGTTCTCCTCAGCCTTGAAGGGAGAGTTCTTCGGAGGGTACACGATGAGACGTCCTCCACTCATGCCCTTACCAGCATAGTCATTCGCGTCTCCCTCAAGCTCGATGGTGACACCAGGAGCCAGGAAAGCTCCCAACGACTGACCGGCAGAACCCTTGGCGTTGATGTGGATGGTGTCGCGAGGCAGACCCTCCTCACCGTACAGCTTCGATACACGGTACGAGAGCGTGGTACCAAGAGCTCGATCCGTGTTGACAACGTCACATTCGATCTGAACGGGCAGGCCCTGGGTGAGAGCGGGCTCGGCCTCATCGATGAACTTGTTGTCAAGACGGACGTAGAGCTTGTGGTCCTGCTGGCGGACCTTGTAGGTGGCCGCACCAGGTCGCATCTCGTGAGCGGGCTTCAGAAGAGCGCTGAGGTCGAGCTTGGCAGTCTTGGGGGTGCGCAGGCTGTCGTCAACCTTGAGGAGGTCGGATCGACCAACCATCTCGTTGATGGTACGGAGACCGAGCTTGGCCATGATGGAACGGAGCTCCTCGGCGAGGTAATAGAAGAAGTTGATCACAGCCTCGGGCTGACCGGCAAACTTCTCGCGAAGCTCGGGATCCTGGGTCGCAATGCCGACAGGGCAGGTGTTCAGGTCTGCAGCAATGCGAAGAAGAAAGGACATCGACAAGAGAGAAAATGGAGAGAAGATTTGGTGTCAGTACGAGGTATGGTGGCGACGGGGGTGCGGATTTTGATACGTACGACATTTGCGCTGGAAAATAGCAAATAAAAATAAATAAATAAAATAAAAATAGAAATCGCGAGACGAGTCAGTACTTTGATATCATCGTTTTGATGGCGAACAACACCTTTCCTGACTGGAAAGATGATGCTGTCGGGAGCAAATCTATAATCACCATCATGATGCAGCCTAGGGCGATCAAAGGAGTAGTGGCGAAGCCGAACTCTTCGGCGCCGAGGAGACATGCGATCGCAGTATCTCTGCCAGTTCTAATCTGACCGTCGGTCTGGACGGTGACACGGCCACGGAGATCGTTGAGGACGAGCGTCTGGTGGGTCTCGGCGAGACCGAGCTCCCAAGGAAGACCGGCGTACTTGATACCGGTCCATCGGGAGGCACCGGTACCACCGTCGTGACCCGAGACGAGGATGTGGTCGGCCTTGGCCTTGGCGACACCGGATGCGACGATGCCGACACCGACCTCGGAGACAAGCTTGACACTGACGCGTGCACGGGGGTTGGCGCACTTGAGGTCGTAGATGAGCTGCTTCAGGTCCTCGATCGAGTAAATGTCGTGGTGAGGAGGAGGCGAAATGAGACCGACACCGGCGGTCGAGTGACGCGTACGAGCGATCGAAGGCGAGACCTTGTGACCGGGCAGCTCACCACCCTCACCGGGCTTGGCACCCTGAGCCATCTTGATCTGCAGCTCGTCCGAGTCGGCGAGATAGTTGCTCGTGACACCGAAACGACCCGAGGCGATCTGCTTGATCTTGGATCGGAGCGAGTCGCCGTTGGGCAGAGGAATAGATCGCTCGGCGTCCTCACCGCCTTCGCCGGTGTTGGACTTACCGCCGAGACGGTTCATGGCAATGGCGAGAGCCGAGTGGGCCTCCATCGAGATGGAACCGTACGACATGGCACCGGTGCAGAATCGCTGGACAATCTCGGTCCAGGGCTCGACCTGGTCGATGGGGACAGGACGCGACTTCGTAAAGTCAAAGTCGAGCATGCCACGCAGCGAGGTGGCTTTGACGGCATTGTGCGAAGCCTTGGAATAGGAATCCCAGGCAGCCTGATTACGCTCACGAGCGGCGTCCTGAAGGTGGGCGATGGCCATGGGGTCGTTGATGTGAGCCTCACCACCGTCACGGTAGTGGTACTCACCAGACTCGGGGAGACCGGGGATCGAGATGGTGTCGCGCGAGGGGTAACCGCGGTCGTGGAACTCGAGCGCGTCCATGGCGAGCAAGGTAAAGTCGGAACCCGAGACACGCGAAGCGGTACCGACGAAGCAGCGGTCGATGACGTCGCTGGCAAGACCGAGGGCCTCGAAGATCTGAGCGCCCTTGTACGAGGCGAGCGTCGAGATACCCATCTTGGACATGACCTTGAGGATACCGTTGTCGACGGCGTGGGTCCAGTTCTCAATGAGCTGGTTGGCGCTGAGGTCGGCCTTGACGAGACCCTCACGGGCGACCTTGAGGATGGCCTCCATAGCGAGCCAGGGGCAGATGGCATCGGCACCGTAACCGAGGAGGACACACATGTGGTGAACCTCACGGGCCTCAGCGGACTCGACCATGAGGGCGATGCGGCTACGCTCCTTGTTACGGATCAGGTGGTGGTGGACGCCACCAACGGCGATGAGCGAGGAGATGGCGACTCGGTCGGCACCGATGGCACGGTCGGAAAGGACAACGACACGGTAGCCGTCGCGAATGGCCTGCGAGGTCTCGGAGCAGATGCGGTCGAGGGTGCGCTCGTAGCCGATGATGCCCTCGCCCTTGTCGTAGGTGATGTCGATGGTCTTGGCGGTCCAGTCAGAGTGGACTGTGTCGATCTGCTTAATGGCGTTGAGCTGGTCGATGCTGAGGATGGGCGAAGGCAGCAGTAGACGGTGGCACTGCTCGGGCTTCATCTCGAGCATGTTGCCCTCGGGACCGACGTACTGCTCGAGCGACATGACGATCGACTCTCGGATAGGGTCGATGGGAGGGTTGGTGACCTGGGCGAAGAGCTGGCGGAAGTAGTCGTAGATGACACGAGGAGCGGTCGAGATACAGGCGAGCGGAGCATCGTTACCCATGGAACCGAGCGCCTCCTTTCCGTCAGCAACCATGGGAAGCATGAGAAGGTTGATCTGCTCGGCCGTGTAACCAAAGGCAAGGAGCTTGGGGTCGGTGCTGAGACGCTCCTCGTCGAGGACGGGGGCGATGGCGTTGCTGGTGTTGCGACGAACAGTGTCGACAATCTCGGGCAGGCGGAGCAGCTGGTTCTCAATCCAAGCGGCAAAGTCGGCGCGCTGAGCGGTGCTCATCTTGAGCTCACGGTCCTCGACGACGCGACCCTCGACAGTGTCGACAAGGAGCATCTTACCGGGCTGAAGACGGCCCTTGGCAATAACGGTCTTGGGATCGATGGTGACGGTGCCGACTTCGGAGGCGCAGATCATGATGTCTTCGTCAGTGATGTAGTATCGGCAAGGTCGGAGACCGTTTCGGTCCAGGTTGGCACCACAGTAGCGACCGTCGGCGAAAGTGAAGAGCGCAGGACCGTCCCATGGCTCCATGAGACAGGCAGCCCACTGGTAGAAGGCGACCTTCTCAGGCTCCATGTGCTGGGCCGAGCCCTGCCAAGCCTCGGGAATCATCATCATGACTGCCTGAGGAAGGGTGAGCACCTTGTTGATGACGAGAAGCTCGAGCACATTGTCGAAAGCAGCCGAGTCAGATCCACCGCCCTCGATGATGGGGTAGAGGAGGTCGAGCTCGTCGCCAAAGGTCTCGGACTTGAGGAGACCCTCGCGAGCACGCATCCAGTTCTTGTTACCGCGGATGGTGTTGATCTCACCGTTGTGCGCAGCCCATCGCATGGGCTGAGCACGGTCCCAGGAAGGGAAGGTGTTGGTGGAGAAACGCGAGTGGACGAGGGCAAAGTGCGAGGCGTAGTGGACGTTGTTGAGGTCGTAGTAGTAGTTGTACACCTGGACGGGGCTGAGCTGACCCTTGTAGATGATGTTGGTGGGGCTGAGCGAGCAGATGTAGAACCAGTTCTGGAGACCGATGGTGTGTGTGGCGTGCTTGCGCAGAACGTAGAGCTGACGTCCAAAGTACTGCTCGTCGAAAGCCTTGGAGGTCTCGGCAGGAGTGGTGCCGGAGCCGTAGTGGTCCTTGAGGACGACGAAAGGCTGCATGATCTTGGGCTCCTTGCTCTTGGAGGCAGGGCCAAGGATCGAGTTGTCGACAGGGACGTCACGCCATCCGAGGACACGAAGGCCGAGCTTGTCTGCGATGCCGGTGAAGGTCTCGACGTGCTCGGCACGGGCCTTGTCGTCCTTGGGGTTGAAGAACAAGTTACCGACGGCGTACTGACCCTGAGCGGGGAGCTTGACGCCAAGGTCGCGCTCGGTCTCGCGGCGGAAGAAGGTGTCTGGAATGCCGGTCATGACACCGGCACCGTCACCGTCACGGGCGTCGGCACCGACGGCACCACGGTGGGTCATGTTGCAGAGGAGGAAGCGCGCATCGGAGACGATCTTGTGAGCGGGCTTGCCCTTGATCTGGCACATGAAACCAACACCGCAGGCATCCTTCTCGTTGTCGGGGTCGTAGAGACCCTGGGCAGCGGGCAAGGAGCCGGCCCAAAAGTCGGTGGAGCGCTCTACTTCATCGAAGCCGCTGACCTCGAGAGAGTCGGAAGCAATGGCCTCCTCGTGGACGGGAGCTTGCTCGGCGTTGAGCTTCTCAACGAAACGAACCTGGCGGGTGTTGTCGTTGGCGGTGGCGACGGGAGCCATAACAGGCGACTCGAGTCGAAGGTGGGTTGGTAAAGTCGTTGGGCGATGGATAAAGCTTCGGCGGGACGAAGCTTGAATGTGGATGCGAGGCGAGGCGAACGGCTTAAATTCGCTCAGGGTGTGTGTGCGTTGCTGTGGTGTGTTGCAGATGGTATGCTTGGCTTGAAAGGACGTGACTTGGTGGGTATTCGAGGATGACTCTTTTTGCTACAGACTCCCAGGAGAATACGAGATGCGAAGATTAAAGGCTTGACGGAGAACGGAACTCGACCTGCGGATCTGATGGTGGAAATGACAGTTTGAATGTCGACGGAGCGGATGGAACGATCGACGGTGTTGATGGTGAGGGTGAGTAGAGGAGAGGTGAGGGAGGCAGATGAAATGTGGGTCAGTCGGGCGATTCAGGATTGACTGTGGCGAAGGGCAGCGAGCTGGCCAAGATGGCGACCAAAACTAGACGGACAGACAGGCACGCAGGCAGGCAGATGTGCTTGGAAGACGCCCACGGGCTAGGCCGATGCAAAGATGCTGTGGCAAGGCAGCGGCAGCTGCATGAGCAGCAGCATCACGCAGCCAATAAGGTCGTACCAAATTCAAAGAGCACGCGGCTTTGGCTCGGGCAATTTTTCGACTTTTTTTCTTTCCGCCATGTTTCATGAAGCGGAGCAGCTCCGAAGGTGCCAGTACTGCGCTCCGAAGAGGCAAAAACGGCAGGGTGCCAAAGGTGCAGCGTCGACGACCATGCCATCAACTGTGCTCAGCTCGGTTGCTTAGCCGGTCTCGACCAGGAAAAGGGCAGCAGGTGGGGAACGGTGATGAGCACCCAAGAGCCAGCTGGCGATTTCTGACGGTAAGCAAGGCTCGCAAAAGCGGCTGAGCGCCGTCGAGCGCTGGGCGTAGCGGAAGATTATCAAAGCAGGAGCAGGAAAATCCAAAATTCCAGCTGCTAAACCGGACGCGAGGCTACGCTCCTGATCCTGTCTCGAGAAAAGAACTAGAAATTGAAGCCCGAAACTTCGCGCAAGCGAGCTTTCATGAGCCAAAAATGAGGTCGAAAAATCTACCCGAGAAGGAAGAGGTCCCCGCCGCTGGCTGTCGACTTGTCATCAGGAGGAAAACAATGCGGGAAAATGATTGCCCATTCATTTTTTTTCCTGCGAATCAGAGGCGACCGCACGCAAGGGGGGGTCTTGCGGATCTAAAGGTGACGCACACGAGGTAGCGAACCGGCGCGCGTGCTATAGCGATTCATCAAAATCAGATCCCGCAGCATCCCCCCCTCCGCAGACTATACGATGGCGATGGACGATGTGCAATCGCAATCAATGCCGTCGCGACCCAACGTAGACTCTTGCAAGAGCCTCGCCTGTTGTAGCTTGTGTGCCGCTGATGCTGCCCAGAGCCGCTGACTGGATCATCAAATGACGTGGCTTTCTGCCCTGGAAGGTTGGAAGTGTGTCGACAAGATGCGCCCACGACTGCCTGTCTGGTTCCGAATTCATGTTGATACCCGCTGTATGGTCGTGCGAATGTGAGAGACCCACTTACCTTTGCTACAAGATCCTAAGTCGTGTAAGGGCGTTGTGAGAGGTTGTCGGACGACGGGTGTGCCTGCGACCGGGGCGAGGGCGACTTTTGGTAGATCGAAAGATTGGCTTTGGTGGGTTGGCTTGACTACAAAGGAGACAGGTTGGCTTATGACCTGACTTCAATGACGTGTTGCACAGGAAAAAGCGATGTTTCGAAGAGTGAGATTGTCGCTGTGTGTGATGGCGACAAGGCGAAAACGAATGCGGAGAGGATGATGGTGCGGGAAGGATACTAACTCAGGTCCAATGGGATGATGGAGAATTGTGATCTTCTCGGCGTGGGGTCGGGCTTAGGCTAGCGGATCAGTGGGGAAAAAGAAAAAGGGGAAAAAAGCTGATCTTTCAACTCAAGGGTCGAGGCCGATCTTTCTGATTGTAGTCGCAATGACATCCACAGGTCGCTGCCTTGCGGGTCACAAGTCGGAATGAATCCGAAACACGGTCACCAGGATGCACGCTTGAGACGGGTGACTCAACAGGAACCATGTGCCTGTAGTTGCTGGGAAGAGAGACGGCAATACGCACGAGAGAAGAAAGCCGGACTGCACATTGCACAAACAAAAGGGTCAGCACACAAAGCAAACGTATACGATTGGACAGACGGAGGTTGCGGGACCTCGCGGATTGCTTTTTTCAACGAATCTCGACCCCGCTTTGCTAGGCTGCACGGTGCGCGGTCGTGCTTTTGGCCGCGATCCAATCAGATCAGATCCATTTGCATCCGACCACAGGACAAAAGGACAAATTATTGAAAGAAAAGGCGGAGGCCAGGTCCGGGCACCTTTTTCTTGACCGGCAAAGCAAAAGGCGAATGCAGCCCGAGCCAGAAGGGTCACAAGAAGCAGAACTTTATTTGTGCATGGCCCGTCACCTTTCAATAATATTTTGTTTTTTCCAGGTCTCTGTGCCAGCTGCTGCCGCAAAAATGGAAATGTATGGTATTTGGCAGGCGGTGGAGTCTGTAAATTGACGCGAGAGATGGAGAATTAGATCATGCACAACTCTAATCGAGCCAATCAGATTGTTGCCTTTCATCTCATCGCATCTTCTCATCTTCTCATCTTCGCATCTTCGAAAAAAGAAAGGGTCCACTTTTTCCATTTTCTTCTCGCCTCGAGTCGAGGCCGCGGCATCAGCACTCGGCCGACGAGCTCTACCAGGAAACAGCCAGCACCCGGTGACTCTCTTTTTTCCGCGGACTTGGCCGGCCGCCATCATCTCGCTTTTGCCTCGGTGGAGATCCCGCACGGCCACTGACGGCGTCGAGTCATCCATCCTTTCGTCGCCACAAAGATGACCGTCCAGCTTACCGCAAACAATGCGCCCTTTGCCGAGTTGAGGGTCTAACACGTCGATCATTGCTCCGTCTTTGGCCCACCGAGACAGTCGAGTCGAGCAGAAGCACAAGCTCGACGCAAAGGGAGAGCGCTGAGGTTGTGGTTGCACAGCGGCCGAGTGCGGGCTTCGTCGACGTTACCCGCGAGACCAGAGTGTCGAGAACCCTGTCGGTGAGATTCTCGGCCTTCAAAACCTATTTGACGGCAGGGAGCCACCATCTGGCTGGCTGGCTGACTGGCTGAGTCAATTCCGGTTCTGACCGATCGATAAAAGATTCCCCTTCAGATTCCGACTTTCAGCAAATGCCGGCCGGGTAGCACGTCTGTCTGGGGATATTTGTTAGGCTTATACATCACACATGCTTATAAAAGGCAACTTTTCTCGGCCACCATTTCTTGCCAGCATTCGATGAAGGCAAAGAAACAAAAATATTTCCTTGCAGACGACATGGTTCGGCAGGTCCTGGACTGAACTCGCTCCGAGACCGATCCACGACCAGGTCACGATGCTGCGGAGGCATCTGAGAGTTTTCAGGATGGTTTCGACCGCTCGACGCCGAATCACAGCTTGCAAAGTCAAACAAAACATATTTTGATTCTATTGAAACAACGCAGCAAGTGCGTACACAAGGGAAAGCTTTGAGACCGAGGCAGATCACGCACGGTGAATCATCGACTCACGAGCAGGGCCGACGCCGATCCACTCAATCTTGACGCCGAGGAACTGCTCGATAAACTCGACGTAGTTGCGGCAATTTTCTGGCAACTCTTCCCAGGTGGTGGCCTTGGAGATGTCCTGCTGCCATCCGGGCAGCGTCTTGTACTGCACCTCGACCTTTGCCAGCACCTCGAGGTCGGCAGGGAAGCTGGGCAGCTCCTTGCCGTCGACGACGTAACCGACGCAGATCTTGAGCTCCTTGAGCTGGTCGAGCACATCGAGCTTGGTCAGGTTGAGGCTGGAGTAGCCGTTGATGAGGCACGAGTAGCGCATCATGACCAGGTCGAGCCAGCCGCAGCGACGACGTCGGCCCGTGGTGACGCCGTACTCGGCTCCCACTTCTTGCAGGTGGTGACCAACCTCCTCGTGAAGCTCGGTGGGGAACGGTCCCATGCCGACACGCGTGGTGTAGGCCTTCATGACACCGATGACATCGCCAATGGCGGTGTGCGGGATGCCGAGACCAGTGAGCACGCCTCCGATCGAAGTCGACGAGCTGGTGACGAAGGGGTAGGTACCAAAGTCGATATCGAGGAACAGAGCGTTGGCACCTTCGACCAGCACCTTGCGGTTCTGCGCCAAGGCCGTGTGGATGAAGGTGACACCGTCGACGATGTGAGGGCGCAGTCGTTCGGCAAAGGCACGGTAGCGAGCGATCTCGCCCTCGGTGTCGTACTCAAAGTGACCGTATCGCTTGAAGCGGCCCTCGACGAGCTTGCGGAACTTGGACGCAAAGAGCTCCGGATCGTAAAGATGGTGGACTCGTAGACCCGATCGCGAAGCCTTGGAAGAGTAGGCCGGACCGATACCCTTCTTGGTGGTGCCGATGCTGCTTCCGCCGAGCTCGACCTCCTTCAGACCGTCGACGACTTGGTGGAAGTCGAACACGAGGTGGGCACGATCAGAGATGAAGAGACGGCCGTCGCAGTTGAGGCCCTTCTTCTGGATGGTGTCGAGTTCGGCAAAGAAGGAAGGGACGTGCACCACGACACCCGAGCCGATGAAGCCGGCGCAGCGAGGGTTGACGAGACCCGACGGCAGCAGGTGGAAGTCGAACTTGGTCTTGACGCCGTTGACGTCGGCGACGATGGTGTGCCCGGCGTTGTTTCCGCCGGCGCATCGAGCGCAGACGTCCATCTGACCGCTGAGCACATCGGCGAGCTTGCCTTTGCCCTCGTCACCCCACTGGGAGCCGAGCAAGACGGTGGCCTTGCCGCCCGTCTTGGAGTCGGAGGGTTTTGGCATGGCAGCCATGGTTGATGTATAGAGGGTTGGTGGCCGTTTCCAGCGAGGGAAACAGGGTTGGTGATCAATCGATGCCGAGAGATGAAACCCCAGGAAGGGAAGGAGGATCCGCGACGATCCCGCACTCCTTGAATCGAGTCCGCAGTGCGAGCTTGGCTTATTCTCCACCCGCACCCCAAACTATGCTTGCTGCACGCAACATATGTCGTCCGTGCCTGCCCTGCTGTTTGCATCGTTGGACCTGCACACTCTTTTCTTGATCTTCTTCCTCGTTGCAGAGCCAGAGCGACACAAGCTTGTGTTCATTTTTGCAATTCGAAATTTCTTCTGAAAATCAAGCGTTGCAGTCGTGCCTTAGAGTAGTGACTCTGCGGCCCCGAGTCACCTGCGACCGCTTTTGCCCGTCAATTCGGGAATTCCAGCTGACGACCCTTGCAAGACGCAAACACCCATACTGTCATCTGGTCACGCCCTTCTACCCTTGTTCTTCTCACCTGTTATGGGTGCAACCTTGGAATGAGGTCTTTGCCGAAGCGCGCCCCATTAGTGTTAGCCTTTCCGTCGGATGGTTGAGGAGCTGCTGTCTCACGCACGCGTCCAGCAGTGGATGCCTGCTCAGCAAGTAAGCCAGTGTGGAGACCCATTGATTTGGGAGTCAACAGCCTTCGGGCTCGAAGGAGTCGGTCGCCCGCGCACTTCACACACTGATCCTCAGCTGCACGTATCCGGCGGGTTACAAGGTGGATAGGGAGCATTCACTTCACTTGGAGTTGCTTGAAAGCTGCGCATCTGGGACCACCTCAAACCTTTCTTTTTGTTCGGTCTTGTTTGATCTGCACTAGCTGACCCAGTGCATTTGTTTTGCTTTTTCTCACAGCAAATGCTAGCGACCGCAATCGAAAAGACGATGAAGGTGAGATGCATTGAGATGGTATCGACGAACAAGACAAGAATGCTTTACAATGACGGACAAAGAGATTTGACGAGCTAGGACTCATCCATCCCATCCGCTGCTGTTGCTGCTGTTTGAGGCTGCTCTGGACGGGATGCTTCTGGTGAACTCTCGTGCTGTGTGTTCTCCATCTCGTGATCTGGATCGCTTCTCTGACTAGCATCTGCGCCTGGGCCATCACCTTCGGACTGGGCGAGCTTCCAGCTGCTCTCAAAGTACCTGTTGGGGTGGGTGACCGTCTCACCTCGTCCATCGAGTCCCTGACCCTTCTTGATCCCTTGTCGCTGATGGGTGATCTCAAAGATGCGCGTGCAGGCGACGTGGTAGTGTCCCTGCTTGACCGAGGCGAGGATGTCGGACTGCTCGGCCTGGTTGAGGCCGTAGTGCTGCACCATAGCCGTGGAAAGGTTCGTGGTGGAAAAGTGACGGAAGGGACATCCGTGCGAGTCCTGCGGTCCCGGTTGATCCTGGGTCAAGATACGAGCGCAGCTTTTGGCCGGGTAGTTCATTCGTCGACCTTCTAGACCGTAGCCGTGTCGGATGTTGTAGCGGTACTCCTTGTTGAACTTGTCGTCGGTCATGTTCTTGAAGCTTCGTCGCCAAAAGACGAGCGCCTCTTCGACGGGTAGGCCAAGCTCCTTGAGGAAGAGGTTGTACTGCAATCGACCATAGTGCTTGAGATGCCCCGTAGCGGTGAGGGTATTGTGGAGGTTCTTCATGCACATGGGAGCGTGGGTTTTGACCAAGGCGTCGACCATGCCAGCTGTGACGGAGACGCTGCCGTCTGCTGTAATGCTGGATCCCGTGTAGTCGGTCGAGATGCCAGCGAGGAAGCCCATGCTCAGGTGCGAGAGGACGGGCAAGAGACGGTCGTCCTCGTCCAGGCGTGGGAGGGCTCGAGCGGTCATCTCGAGATCGCGGAGCAGACGCGATTGAAACTCGGCAAGGACGAGACTGGACTGCTCCTTGATGGGCACCCATGCTTGACCTGCTCGCATGAACACCTTCCTCTTCTCGACGAGATCAGTGACACGAGTCCAGTCCACCTTGAAGAATGTCTCGCTCTCAAAGGTGGAGGCCATCTTGGGATGCGTAGCCACGAGCTGATCGCGATACATCCTCTTCTCGTCTGCAGAGACAGGCTGCCAATCGAGCTTGAGCTCGCGCATGAAGCTCTCTCGCTCGATCGCATCGTCCGTCTCGAAACGCAGTCGGAAGAGCAGCGATTCAGCCTTGACGAAGCGGCGTCGCAGATCTTCGCTGCGGCAGAAGGCGAGACGGAGCACAAAGTGAGAGACGTGATCCTTGAGACGTTCGGCGAGCAGGTCGGTGGTCTTGATGGCGGTGTTGGCATTGAGCGGAAGAAGGCGCTTGGCGAGCGCGTTTACGGCGTCCTTGGTCTCGCCATAGGTGCGGTTGCGAGCTTGGGACGACTCGATTTCGGCGAGCACCTTGAGACGGTCGATGGCCCACGACTCGAACTGCTCTATGGTGACTTCGTGGATGGGAGGAACTGCATAGAAGTTGAGTCGGTGCGGGTATCGTGCAAGCGCCTTGTTCGTGTGGTGATGTGCGACGGATCCCGAGGCAGAAGTGCTTGCGTGTCCCGTGGCGCTGGATACATTGCCAAAGCTCGATGGCACCGAGGGAGGTGCTGCCGTTCGGAACATCTTGTGTAGAGTCCGGCGTTGACGGAGCTGTGGTAGACTTGAATCGAGGAAGGGAGCAGTAGGTGGTGGTGATTGAGAGAGGTCGAGGACTAAGCTGCGCCTTCGAGTTCCATTTACTGGCTGTCCTCGCTGCAGTAGACTGCCACACAGAGCTTCGGCCCCTCCGTGTGGAGAGGTTGCAGCGTGGTGTTGGTCTTGAGAACTTCGACTATTGAAATTTCCACAGCAGCTCAGCTCAACGCGACGCGCGACTGGAAAGACGTGCGTGATGAGTGGTGCATCACCGATCTAAACTAGGAAAAAGGGCCGATCATGAGAAAAAGAGGCGGTTGCACAGGGCAGCGCTCTCATCAAACGTAAACGTCGAGAAATGGAAATTCTCAATGATGGATCCGCATCCACTTTTTTAGTGACACCTCTGTCCTCTTCTTCAACGTCACGGAGCGCTTTCTTACATCCACCAGCTCGATTCACTCCCGCTCAGCCTCACTCCTATTCTTTTGAGCCGCAAAGCGTCGCACCAAGTGTCAGCAGAACCCGGAAGCGACGCTCGCTCGCGCTCGACATCGTCCAGCCAGAACGGCTGCGCTCGTCCTCTTCCGAACGCACACCCAGAGGAGGGTGCTGGCATCACCGACAGCGTCAGTTCGCCACCATGCCAGCCGATCCACACTCGTTGGAGGCCCTGCGTGAAGCAGAGGAGACCTTCCGACGATGCGAACAGGGTCGCATCGCCCTACCAGAAGTCAAGCAACGTACACCGACACGCGACGCACCCTATCAACAGCACCGTCTTGACCCATGGGTCGGGTTTGACAAGTCAAGAACGCTTCCGATCCCGCCAGACGTATTCACCGGCATCAGAAGCGCTAGTCCGACAGCTACACAATCCCTCTTTCCATCGATCCGTAGAGCTTGCATCACCGTCGACAACAAGGTCTACCTCTGGTCCTACCTCGAGGGTCAGGCTGCCTTCGAATTCTACTGCGTTCCTGAAGATCAGATCGTCATTGCTGCGAGCGTAGTACCGGTACGATCAGGTGTGTTTGCCGACATCGTCACTCATGTGCTGGTGCTCAGCGTCGGCGCTTCGGTCCGTGAAGGCAAGTATGTCAAGGTGCTCGGCCTCTCGTATACCCAGAATGGCGATCACTCAAAGGTGGAGGTGCTCGAGGCGGGAATGAACGCCAACACAAACGGCGTCGTCCTCGACAATCTCACGGGTACCGACAGTGGTCGCATCTTTGCTACTGGTTCCGACAACTGCCTTTACGAGCTCGTCTACCAGCGAAACGAAGGCTGGTTCACCAGCAAGTGCTACCTGCGCAACATCACCAGCCCGCGCCTCTCGAACCTCTTGCCCACCTTTGTCAAGGCCGAAAAGAAGCTGCTCTACATCACGGTCGACAACGCCCGCCAGCTCGTGTACACGCTTCGTCAAGGTGACTTGATCGAGGTGTTCAGCCTACCATCCAAGGATCCCTCTTCAGCACCCGAAAGGCGCGGTCAGACCGTCGGGACGTCGGGACAGCAAGGCACTCCACATGCGCGCTACGATGTCGGCTCGATCGTGTGGATCGGACCTGTCGAGCGTGAGGCTCGCTTCAATGTGGTTCTGCTTGCTGTCACCGATCGTGGCTACCGCATCTTCCTCGACAATTTCCAGGGCCGTTCCGAGCCTGCCATCACCGTTCGCGCGCCTCCAGCGCTCCAGCAACCTCCGGGTGTTGCGGCCGCGTCGGCTTCTGGAGGCTACTTGCAACAACAGGCTCCGCAGCAGCAACAGCAACTCGTACAGCAGCAAACCATCACCAGAGCCGTCTCATCCGTATTCTACGCCGGCGATGTCTTTATGATGGGCTTCAACTATAACAACCTCCCTTGCCAAATCTGCTGCGTGACACCGGCGCTCAATGCCAACTCCACCACCACAGGTCCCGTCGAAAAGGCTACCTTCATCGACCTCGAACTGGCACTCAGCACGCCAGTGTTCGCCGAGGCGCCTCCCTCTCGCAAACCTCCTCAGATCACCGACAACGGCGAGCTGGTACGACCAACCTACGCTCAGGCCCTCCGAGCGCCGCGCAGTTTCCTTGTGCTCGACAACAATGGCCTCACCGAGCTTGTTGAACGCCGCCCGGTTGACACGTTACGAGGCCTGCTCGAATCTGGCGCTGCTGTCAACAGCGCTGCCATGGTGCAATTCTTTGGCTCGTATGGCTCCATCGAAGCATGCGAGACAGCCCTCGCCGTCGCCGCGCACAATTCTCAGGTGGCCGCTCCTCGCGTCACCATCGGCTCTTCCGGAGGAGTGCCGGCAGGGCTCGCACAGACCATCTCGGAAGAGGTGGTGGCACTTGCGTCTCGAGTCTTCTTCAGCCAGTACGGCTCGTGGCCTGCCGACACCACCGTATCGGCGGCATTGTCTACACCGAGAACGTCGCGCCACGACGGTCTGGCTCTGTACATTGCCTGCATCCTCAAACGCGTTTGGGATCGCGCGATCATGCCTCCTGAGCCGGCCAAGCCAGGGGCCAAGCCTGCCGCAACGCCAGCATCAAGCAGCGCACTCACCAGCTACCGCCCTGCCGGCTCGGTGTCCAGTCAGTCCACCGGCTCCAAGCTGCCGCTTCGAAAGGAGGATCTCGAAGAGACGCTTCAAGACCTCGTACCGCTCCACGACTTTATGCAGCAGAGCGCAAAGCTGTTCGGTCTCGGCGGCTCATCTGCGGCCAACCGCAGCTTCGTCAATAACGTCGGCTACGACCAAGAACGTGCTGCCAAGCTAGACCAGGAGAGCTTCAGCAAACTCAAGGCGCTCGTCTCGCGAGCGACAGAGGCAACCAACTTCATGCTCTTCCTGATCGACCATGGTCTCAAGCCCTTGATCGATTCGTGCTCTCCCGAAGCCAAGACTGTCATCGCGAATCTGCGCTTCGGTCAGCTGATCACCTCGGAGGAAGGCAAGCGCGCCTCCAAGGAGCTCGTCACTGCCCTCATTGAGGCGCGCATTGGTGCTCAGGTCAGCATCGACGCTGTTGCTGATGCGCTTCAGGCTCGATGTGGAAGTTTCTGCTCCGCGGACGATGTGCGACAGTACAAGGCTACCGAGTGCATCCGTCGAGCCAAAGAGACGCGGTCCGAGCAGGACAAGCTGGACAATCTACGAATGAGCCAGAAGTTGCTGGCCAAGGGTGCGAGCCAGCTATCGGTGGAGAAGCTGCGCGGTATCTGCCAGGACTATCGATCGCTCGGCTACGCTACGGGTGCGATCGAGCTCGCCTTGCAATGTGCTGCCGAGTGGGATCCTGCGGGAATTGCTGCTTCGTACCTCGCGGAAGGCGGTCCGGACGGCCCCGAGCACCGAGCACGACGCGAAGTGGCAGAACGACTCAAGCAAGCCTACCAGCTGGTGTTCGAGACTCTGCAGCAACTCGACGAGCGTCTCGACGCCGCTTACAACCTCGAAGGCGACGAAGCCCAGGTACGACTCGCCATCAGCACCCGCGACAAGGCACGCACCGAAGCCTACGCGCGCGCCGAAGCTTCGCAAGACGCCCTCTTCCACGAATGCATGTACGGCTGGTTGATCGAACGCAAGATGACCGACCAGCTGCTGTCGATGCGCACGCCGTATCTGGAGCAGTTCCTCGTCAAGCGGCCGGCGGGTGTCAAGGGTCACGATGCCGCGTTCCTGCGTACTTTGCGTAATTTGTTGTGGCAGTTTTACGTTCGTCACGGCGAGTACTTTGCTGCTGCGCAGGTGTTGGATGCTTTGGCGCACTCGAAGGAATTCGTGTTGGATCTGCGCGAGAGAATCGAGTACCTCGCGTTGGCTGTGGGGAATGCCAAGTCGGTCTCTCCGTCTCACGTCGAGGCGAACGATGTGGTGACGTTCCTCTCGCAGGCGGAGGACTCGCTGGAAGTGGCGCAGATCCAGGCACGTGTGCTGCAGTCCTTGCAGCAGATCGGACCGGATGAATTGGACGCTGAACGATCCGCCCTTCTCTCCGACTCGATCGAATGGCTCAACGAAGAGCTTCTCGACCTGTCGACGCTGTACAAGAACCTGGCTGAACCGTTCGAGCTGCTGGAAGAGCAGCTCGCGATGATCGCATCTGCCGAATTGAATGACGTCGCGCTCGTCTCGGAGCTCTGGATCGCACTCATCTCGAGGCAAAACGAAAGGAGTCGCGCGGACGAAGCGTACAAGGCCATCAGCGGGTTGACGGTGGAGCTGTTTACGCGGTTGGACAGGAGCGAAGTGGCATGTCCGATCGACAACGTCTTTGATCTGCTGTTGAGATATGGGTTTGAGCAGACTCGCTCGTCCGATGGTGGTGCGGAGGACAGCATTCCTGCTGGATTCCGTAGGAGGACGGATGAGGACGATCAGGGCGCGGTTGATATTCCGGAAGGTTGGGCGAGTCAGACGATGTTGAGGGCAACAGGAGCGCCCGAGTTGATCCTAGACATTTTGGAGTCTGCTCTTTTGACTAGGCCTCAACCGTGGAACACTGCTGAGGGTCAGTCGTATCTACAGGCGGAAATGGTCGAGTTTGCGAGGACGTGGATCGAGCTCTCTACTACTTCGGGTGCCAACAGTGGTGCCAAAGGAAGCGCATTCGCAACCGATCTGGTTTCGTTGACCAACGTACAGGTGCAGAGATTGTTCGCACTGCTTAACTCGATCATCGTAAAGACTTCGCAGTCGGCCGGTGCGTCGGGTACGGCGGATACCGCGAGGAAAGCGTTGGATCTGCTCAAGCTGTATTACTAGACGTTGGCGGTTTTCACCTCGTGTGCTTGTCCTTGCAATGCGATCACATCCGCATGTCACATGTAGAGCAGTTTGCAGCTCACTCCCGCCGCTTGACCACAAAGTCACAGATGAGAGAAAGCACAAATGAATCACAATGATATTGCAACAGAAAAAAGTCAATCACCACCTAAACAGTCCCGTCGCTGGAGCGACACCTACGCCCTCAACGGTAACGGTGGATCTCAGTGCGGTCCCTACCACGCATCCAATCAGGCTCGGTACCGGGGTAGTAGATATCGGTCCAGAGGGTCTCCTCCTTGGGCTGTGGGCTCTGCTTTGCCTCCTCGACGGCCTGGTCGACCTCCTCCTTTGCGGCCTTGTCGATCTTCTTGAGCTGGGCCTCCTCGACGACGCCCCAGTCGAGCATCCTGGTCTTCAAGCCCTGGATGGGGTCGGACGAGGAGCGCATGGTCTGGATCTCGTCACGCGTGCGGTAGGTGGTACCGGGGTCGGAGAGAGAGTGACCACCGTATCGGTAGGTGACCAGCTCCATGAGCAGAGGACCATTGCCGCCGAGGGTGAATTCGGAGGCGTGCTTGGTGGCTGCTGCTACGGCGAGGACGTCCATGGCGTTGACCTGGATACCGGGGATGACGTCGCCGCGGGTGTAGTACTGGGTGTTCATGGACGAACGTTCCGCCGAGGTACCCATGCCGTACTTGTTGTTCTCGCAGACGAACACGCAGGGCAAGTTCCAGAGCTTGGCCATGTTGTAAGCTTCGAAGACCTGACCCTGGTTGGAAGCGCCGTCACCGTACATGGCGAAAGTAGCGTCTCCGGAGTTCATGTACTGCTGGGCAAAAGCGATACCAGCACCGACGGGCACCTGGGCACCCACGATACCGTTACCACCGAAGAAGGTCGGGGTGAACATGTGCATCGAACCACCCTTTCCCTTGGAGATACCTGCCTCGCGTCCGAAGAGCTCAGCAATGACGCTCTTGATCGAACCACCCTTCTGCACGGTGAAGGGATGGCAACGGTACGCAGTGATGAGCTTGTCCGAGGGCTTCATACCGGCCTCCATTCCCACAGCCACGGCTTCCTGACCGATGGCCAAGTGGCAGAACCCACGAATGAGCTTCTGCTTGTACAGCTGATCCGCGGCCATCTCCATCCTTCGCATCTTGACCATCTCGGCGTAGAGGTGGACGAGCTCATCCTTGGAGGTCTCCCACTCGAGCTTGGGCACGTCGAACTTGTAGCCCTTGAAGGAGTCGGCGTTGAGGTCGACCTTGAACTTCTCGGACTTGGATTCGGGAAGATCCTGCTGAGGGCGGGATGCTTCGGCGGTGAGCTGAACGAAGCGCGAGGAGGAAGGGATGGCGTTGCGAGAGTAGGCGGGGAGGCTCTTGGCCTTGCCCGCAGTGCGGAGGACGTTGCGAGCGAAGGAGGACATCGTGATCTGGAGAGCGCGAGGGAAGCCAAGGTCAGCTTTTGCTTCAGGACGGTGAGCTTGATCGACCGCGAAGCAGTGAGTACGTACCAGTTGATGCCTGACGACGATGAGAGAGGGAAGGGGATGATAGGATGGAGGTTAGCTCGAGAAGACGAGTCCCGAGACGATGTTGGCTCGACACACCTCGATTGCGCACTACCCAGGCAGCAGCCGAAGGAACACGCTGTTGCTGCACAGTGCGCCGTCCTCAATTTCATCAACGCCGTTAGAAGCTCAACTTTTTCGTTCCTCTCTCCCTCTGCAACCAGGAGAGTTTTTTCTTCTCAAAAATCATCAAAAAACACAGCGCGCATACGATGTCTGGCTGGCCATGGCGACCCTTGAGGCCGATATTTGACCGATGGAAATTCGGACTTGCCGCTCCGCTGTGTGTGTCCTTTTTTCGTATCGATCCGCTTTTGAGGTTCGGATCCATCCGTCGCGTGTCCGTAGGCTCCAGTGCCGCGTGCGTCTAGGAAGGTCATGTTTGACCTTCAATTTCGCCGAAATTGAACCGCTCCGGCTGGGGCCAGCATCACCCATCGATATCAGTCCTTCTCAATTCTGTTCCATCCCAGCCGTGGAGCATAGCTTTCCGTTCTAGCACTTCATCCATCACATCAGAGTCTTAGCCAAACCATTGGCTGTATTAGAGGGCAGCGCATTCCCTTTCACGAGGCGTAGCAAAGCACAAAGGAGTGTACGAGTGTTTCGAGCGATGCGGGAGGCTGTCTTGTCTGTCTTGAAGCTACCGAGAGAGAAGTTGGGGTAAAAGTTACTCGCCCCAAATTGCTGGAACCGAACGAAGGATTTGGTCAGTGTTAGGTCATTTGACTCGCTATAGCTTCCCGATCACCTTTTTCTCACTCTAACACTGAATATGATTGACATTTCGTGATTGCCGGAGCAAGCCAGAATTTTTTTCCCATCAGAAATGCTCAACCAATCCTCCTTGCTCTTCTTCTTTGAACACCACCACCTCCATCAACAGACCTGTACCACAACAGCAATATCTACCATTCAACCATACCCGACGTTTCGTGTTTAATCGACTGTGCTTTCCTATCATCCACTCATCCGATCCTACCTCTGCCAGTGACCACCTGCATCGCCAACTTCAACCCCAACACGTCTTCACCAACCCCACCCGAACCGCATCGCATCCAGTACTCGAGAGAACACACAAAACACAGAGAGAGAGAGACCTTATTCGACACCGCCGCAGCCTCAGCTCCCAAACTCCCGCGCATATACAATGATGAACAAACATTATATATAGAGTCAAGCACGGACTACGGATTCGTGGTCCCAACGTGGAAGCGAATCTTCTGGCGATAAAACCTTTTTATTCTGAACATATGTCCGGGGCTTGGGAGCGAGCAAGAAGGCGGTTACAAAGGTGCGGGTAAGACCCTCCCTGTCGTGTCTCTCTGTTTCTCTCGACGAAAAGAACAGGTAAGCGATCCGCGTTGAGCGGGGTGCTTGGGCGAGGACTGGGTGACGAGGTTGGTGCGGCGTTACGTGCTCTTGTTCGCATGTACCGGACGAGGTGTGCGCTGAGACGATTCTGAGAGACACCTTTGCAATGCCAGTATATGTTGTGACCCAAGACATCTTGTGTGTGTGCGTGCAACAGTCCGCTCGACGTCGGTTCGGATGAGAAGTGCGAAAAGCGAACCATCCAAAGAAGGTTCAAGAAATTTACATCGTGTTTGATCGCAGCATCCTTCCGGCAGTTCTAATTAAAATCGGAACCGACGATTTCAAATCCACTCCGCGTTCACACCACCACCCACTCACACCGCAACATCTCCACCCTACCCCTTCTCTCCTCATCATCCGACATCCTTCCCCCCTTCGGATCTCACCATCGTAAGCCTCTCCTTTTCTCTCTGCCCTCTACCGCAAGATTTCAAATCACTCACTACGTCTCTTTCTTCCGAGCTACAGACACACAGACACACAATGGCAGGAGCAGGAGCATCAACATCAACATCAAGATGGTACAAACCCACCCCCGGGTTCGCACCGCACCAACCGGCGTTCAAGCACAGATGGGGTGCCAAGCTGTTGGGTGCCACCATGTGGTTCTGGATCTTCTACAGGGCTAAACAGGACGGTGCGGTTCTGCTGGTAAGTTTTTGGACTCTGAATTTTTGGGGAGTCGCGAGGATGATGGGGATGTGTTGGGAGGGGGGTGTTGCGCGGGGAAGGGAAAAAGTGGGCGGGAGGGAGAAGGATTGCTGGTGTAAGAGGAGATGTCTGGCTGCATGGTAGAGGCAGGAAGCGATTGATGGCGAGTTAACGATGTGTCGCTCGAGGAGGTGCGAGATGGCTCGTCTGCGTCTTGACCTTCTCGAATTGACTGGGAGGGATCTGTCACAAAGCCCACCCCATCATCTCTCATCGGAACAATCCACCTAGAAACTCAGAAACTGACGCCTCCTCCTTTTCCTCTCTCGCTCCATCCTGCAGGGCCTAAAACACCCATGGGACGGTCACCACGGCCACGGCGACGACCACCACGACGAACACCACTAAATCCTTCCCCCCAAGCTTCTCACACTTCCTTTCTCGTCGTCGTATCACATAGTCTGGGCGCAATACATCAGAAAACGTAAAACCAAACTTCAGTCGTGTGTGTTGAACGACCGCATCTCGCTGAACCTCTCGAAGAGTCTGTGTTCTGCTCAACTTGACACCAGTGGTTCCTAACTTGTTCAAACTTCCGCAGCTGAAAACATTGAGATGATCGTCTACACTCGCTCAACGCCGTCCGTACGGACACACATCGCTCTCCGCTCAGAGAAACCATTCATACATTTCAAGACCGAAACCAACTCTTACAAAACCTAACCGATCATGGCGACATTTCCTCCACCAGGCGCAGCGCCACCGACACTCGCCTCCCTCACCACCGGCCCCTGCTGCGGCAACCCGTTCGCCGCGCTCGTCGCCTTGACCAGCTCCTGCTGGCTCACCTTCTCCGGCGCCTGCGCCGCCTTCTGCAGCAGCTCGTTGACCAGCGCCAGCTGCTTCTGAACCGCCAGTCGATCGGCGTACAGCTGTCGACGTCCCGCCTCCACGCTACGGCGTTCGGCCTCGAGCAGCGATTCGAGCTCCTCGAACTGGCTCATCTTGAGCTCGAGCTTCTTGAGCTGCGCCTCGATCACCTGGCCTACGAGACGCTGGCACTCGCGCTCCTCGAACGAGGCGAGCACGTGCGCTTTCGCGGCGGCAGCACCGAGCGCGATGGCAGCGGCTCGCTCGACGGCGTTGCGCGGCACGGCTTTTTTGGTGGCATCGACGGCGAGCGTGTCGTCCGAGGTTGCTGCGGTGGTGGTAGCATCGGCAGCAGCAGCTGACTTGGCCTGCTCGCCGTCGACATCCATAGCGTCGCCGTTGGCGGCGTGCGTCGCTTCGCCGTTCTCCTTGCTCTTCTCCGCGTCGTCGCTCGACTTCTCCTGACCGGCCCTCTTGCGAAGGTTGTCGGTAAGCTCGCCAAGCGCGCTCTGAGCAGCGGCAGCCGCAACAGCCGGGTTCACAGCGCTGGCCAGAAAGGCAACGACGCTCATCACCGGGTTGTCAGCCTGGGCAAACGGAACGATGGGCTTGCCCAGCTTGTCCACCTGGTCGCGACGTGCGTACTGCAGCGGTCCGAGATCCGCCTGCGAAGCACCGTCCAGGAAGCCATCCTCGATCGGCAGCTGGATGAACTTGGTGATGCACTGTTCGCGGCTGCGCGTACCGACGTGGTTCGAGACGGCCGACCAGTCGTCGTCAAACATCTCGAGACCTTCGAGCAGTCGGAGCGTCTCGGCGTCGGTCCAGTCGTCCTGCGCACCGGACGCACCGCCGGTCACACCGCCGGTCTGCTTGAGCACCGAGTCTTCCATGCGGACAAAGTCGCCGGAGTACATGGAGCTCGGGAAGCGACCTTCGAGGTAGCAGGACGGGCAGAGCGAGTAGTTCTTGGCCTTGATGCTGTGGTATCGTACACGCGTGCAGTCGCTTCCGCAGGTGTCGCATGTGTAGCGAGGCGCACCGCCAGCACCACCGGCAACGGCAGCGTCGGCCTGCGCAGCGAGCGAGTTGGCTTCAACGAGGTCGATGGGCTTGGAGCCTTTCATGGTGGACTGGAAGATGGTCTTTCGCAGCTCGAGGTTCATGTCCGGTTTCTCACCTCCCGCAGCAGCAGAGGCAGCAGCGGCAGCACCACCATCAGCAGAAGCCGAGGTGGTCAGATTGACACGGGCACCAGGGTGAAGCGGCTGCAGACCACGAGGCGTGTCGACGAGCACACGGAAGTGACCAGTGAAAGGGGGGCCCAACGTGGCAGGTCGCGTCTCGGGATCGATCTGGTAGTTGATGAGGCCCCACTGCTCGAGGAAAGCATGAACCCTCATGATGGCGCATACGTCACCGGCCAAATTCCTTCGGCAAGCGGTGAAAGTGAGGTACTCGCTGGGGTTGAGACGGTAGGTGTTGATCATGAAGTCACGGTAGTCCTTGTAGATGCTGGGTGTCTTGCTGCGGTTCTTGTGGTTGAAGAACTCGGGCAAGGATCGCTTCTCGATGGCGTTGATGGTCGACATGTCGAACCAGGTCGAGTAGGAAGGAATGATGACTTCCTGTGTCTGTGAAGCCAGGTACTTTTTGGCGATCTCTTCTGCGCGGATGCGCTGCTGTTCCACAGCGGCAGCATCGGGCTGGATGACGGGTGCATTGACGTCTGCAGTGGCCTCAGTGGGCTCTTCGACGGCAGCGTCGGGCTTAGGCTTGTCGGCGGTGCCGTCGACCATGGTGGCGTCACCGTCGTTGGCTGCTCGGACAGCAGGCCTCTCGCCTTCAAGCTTGGTGGGACCGGCGGACTCGGACGGCAGGTTGCCGAGGACACCGCTGGGTACCGCCTCGTTCTCGTACTTCTTGCCTGGGATGGGCTGGGAGCCAGAGAGGTCGATGGGGACGGCACCGACGGGACGCGCCGCGACGAGAAGCTTAATGCGCTTGCTGTTGGGCTCGCCGGCAGCAGCCGCAGCCGAGGAAGCGTCGGTGATCTCTTCGGGCAGTCCGCGCTTCTTGCTCTTGGTGGCGTCGGAAGTGGTGGCAGCGGCGGTCTCGGCATCAGCCGCAGCTGCGCTTGCCTCGAGCGCGTCCTCCTGCTCGTAATCTTCTGCGTTCATGAGCTCGTTGAAGCGCACGCTGTCTCGGAGCCACTTTGCGCCGATCTTCCATGGAAGGCGCTTCTCGGGCGCCGGGTCGGGGTCGGCAAAATCGGCAGCAGGCAGCCAGGTATCGTAAGAGTCGGGTCGGTACCAGACGTGGATGAGAGCACGTCCTGATCTCGAAGCAATGGTCCTGAAGTATTCCTCGGACGCCGACGACGAGGGTTCGCCGAGCTTGGGCGATGATGGAGGTGTTACTTCCGAAGGGTAGAGGATGTGAGATGCAGCAGCAACGTCGTCGGTCCACTGGCATTCGAGCTGCTCGGCCATCTGCTTGAGCGCAGCCGCCTCTGCCTCGGTGATGGACGGTGAAGCGGCAATGGTCGGGTGTTCCAATGCACCGGTCTTGGCCAGTTGCTGACGGAGGTGTGCGATGAGCTGAACATTGTCAGCCTTTTGAGCAGGGTCGGAAAAGTTCCAAGTAGGTTTGCCAGCGGATGCGAGATACGCGAGAGCCTCTTGCAAGAGCAAGCGCAGGTGGCTCGACTCTGGAGGTGCTACCGAAGTGCTCTGCTGTGAAGATGTCGGGAGGAAGAGTTCTGCAGGAATGCGAACGGGATGTCGTGCTTGTGAAGTGGATGCGGTAGGGTTGGCCGGGCGAGGTGCATTGGCGCCGAGCGATTCTTCCTGGAAATTTTGAAGTTGGAACACGAGGTCTGCGAGGTCGATTGCGGAGAGAGAGCCGGATTTCGAGGGGATGACGCTGGCTTCCACACCTTGCTGAGAAAGTGCGCTCTTGATGGGCTCCAGATAGGACTCGAGAGCCTGAAGCAGCAGCGGGTCAGTGCGCAGTTTGGGGTCAGGGTGACCCGTGAGGTTGAGCGTCGACATGGTTTCGAGAAGAAGCGTGGTCGTTCAATGCTGCAGGCTGAAGGCGATGGTCTGCTAAGCAGTGCAGATGCGGGGACGTCGTTTGCTCAGACCAGCTTAGCTGTCGACGCGTTGAGACGGCCGATGCCGGAACAGGCTCGATGTGCTACAATCGAGAGCAAAGGTAGTCTTGACCAGCGTTGATGTCGGCGCGGGCAATGCTGGTTAATAGAAAGCAATGTTCGGGGAAGATGAGAATGTGAGACGAAGAGGATGATAGTTGGTGATGATTGGGAGATGAGAAGGTCGCAACCGCAATTGCAATCACAAAGGTCTCGCCCTGCACTCGACACAGCAGCAGCCCAGTCTCTGCGTTTACGAGCTGTTGTCGCTTCGTGACGAGCCAGAAGCGCGCTCTGTAGCTCTGTCGCTCGTTGGTTTCTTCGCGCTGGATCTGCTGCCCGATCCATCCGCTTTGAGCTCAATTTGAATTCGACCAGCTCTTTCTCTCAATTTCAAGTGGGCATTATTTGAATTCCTCGCACGCGTCAAGCTTGTCGCGCAAATACCCTTTTGTTTCAGACCAAAAATGTCAGACCGACACGTATCGTTCGCTCAGACCTGGACCAAAAATCTCGCTCCTCCATCCTTCTGTGGAACAGAGTTGAGCAATGGTTGAGTAGCGGAAGGAGTAAGAATATACAATTACAGTACATGATTCGACACGGATGCGCATTCTGCATCGACTGTCTGCCAGCGGCCGCGAGCCGTCTTTCTACAAAGTTCCCGTCTGTGAGAGCTCCCTCACACCTTGTAGAAGAAATCGAAGCGGAAACCCAACGACTCGAGCAAGGTGCGCACCAAGCCGCCCACACGACCTTGCGACTTGCGCATCGACTTGCCCACGTACGTCATCCTCCATGCCTCTTCCCCATCGATCTGCACCGACACCTTCACCATAGGCTTGTAAGGGTCGCGCGCATCCACCTCGAATTCGGTCCACTTGTAGTTGCCGTCGGGCAGATACTTGAGCAGCTTGTCCACACCCGTCTTGCCGTCACCGTGGTCTTGCGAAAGCGTACGCACGGGCAGGTAGAACATGCTGAGCGGGCTCGTGCTGAACTCGGTGATAGTGTCCAGCACGCTGACGGCAGCAAACTCGTGTCGGTCACCGCTGAGAACGATCACGTTGGGAACGTAGCGAAGCACCTGGGCGATCTCGAGTCGTTCCGTGTTGTACGCTGCCCAGCTATCCTTCTGCCCGTCGACGTCGAGCTCGCCTCCCCACAGGGTGTTGAACGGCACCGAGCTCACCACAAACTTGAACGCCGCCGTCTCGTTGACCGCTGCAAGCCACTTGTATAGATCCTCCTTCTGGCGGTAACCAAGCATCGTCTTGTCCTCATCGTCGTCGGCAGTGTGGTGGGTTCGGTATCGACGCGTGTCCATGACAAAGAAGGCGGCCGACTCCCCGTATTGGAACGTGTAGTAGTTCTCGCCCGCTTCCAACGGCTCTGGGTTGACGTCGCCAATGTATTCCTTCCATGCCGTGTTGGCTGATGGGTAGGCGGCGATCTCTTCGTCGTTCTCATCCCTGCCAGACCAGTTGTTGATCACCTCGTGGTCGTCGTAGATGCCGATCACGGGAACGTGCTTGAAGAAACGACGGAAGCTTTGAGATGCAAACAGATTGCGGTATAGCTTGCGGTAGGCTCCAGTCTCGGCACCTCCATAATGTGGCACATCGGCGTAGATCAGATCGCCGAGCTGCAATAGGAAGCGCAGCGAGGGATGCGATTCACGACCAGCTACGGTTCGCTTGTAGAGCAGGTCGAAGCCAGGGATGCGGTTCCGCTCGGTGATACCACCTTGCTCCGTACCGATACCTGCGAGCCTGAGCAACCAGTTCCAGCCCCAGAACTGTGCTGGGTGGTATGGGAAGTCGGGTTTGACACACGATGTCGATGCAAAGGTGAAGTGGTTTGGGTCTTCGAGCGGGTTGGTTTGCTCGGCCAACTCACTGTCGCCGTCCTTGACGAGCTCGATGCTTCTCGATCCTAGGGTCTTGGACTGCATGTACGAGCTGAGCCGCGGATCGGGCCAGGTGGTGAAGTAGTTGCGGCGGCTGATGTCGTCGTTTGCGACAAACTTTTCAATGACTCGCAGCTCGTCCGAGTAGTCTTGCTGCTCGGGCTGGAATTGCGACAAACCCCATTCGTACGTGGTCGAAGGCCAGAGCTCGTCGATGAGCGCGGTGGCTGTCCAGTCGTTCTCGGCACGCAGCGTGATGAGTGGGCCGTTGAGCCAGAGACTGTCGTGGTTGGCCAGGTACTGCTTGCCAAATGCTCGCGGGGTCGAGCGGAGAGCATCGTCGTCCAGAGTAAGGTTGAGGGCACGTCGATACTTGACGAGCAGCTCAATGGGTTGCGGGCTGCTCGTAGCTTTGTGAGTGGCGGAACTGAGCGCAGTGTCGACAGCAAGGGCGTCGATAGCGTCCACAAGCTGAGGTGACAGTACAGCGGATGCGTTTGGCGCACCTAGCAACTCGGGAGGTGGGTAGCGTACGTGAATCTTGGCATACGTGGGACCCAGAGCACCGGTGCGTGCAAAGCTGAGGTTGTAGTCCCAGTGAGACGGGAAAAGGTAGGGCGAGAAGAAGCTGTCGAGGAAAAGCGCGAAGGCTAGCGTGTGTGCCAAGACGACGTAAAAGTTGAAGCGAGACGATCGAGTCGAGGTGCCCAACACGAGCGCTTTGAGCATTTCCACGGGGTTGGTGCGACGCAGCTTGGTACCCGCAGCCGAGTGAGCCGACGAAGCAGATGAGGACTGTGATGAAGAAGCGGCTTTGACGCCTTTTGCCACATCGGCGTACGAAGCAGACGAAGATGCGGGCTTGGTGGGCGTGCCTCCGTTTTGTCCGATAGGTTTGTTCTCGACCGGCTTTGCGGTGGACTTGGACTGGATCTTGGAATCCGTCACCTCGACCTTATTTGCGAGTTGCTGGAGGCTTCGTGCAGCATCTTTGGCAAGATGGCTGGAGATGGCGTTGCGGATGGTATAGTCGCGGTAGATGGATGTGAGCACGTACACGGCGTACAACGTTGGAATGACGGGGTAGGCCAAAGAGGTGGGAATCCAGCGCAAGAAAACGTAGACGCTGAACTTGAAGAGGAGCGACGAGAGCGCCTGCACGATGCTCACGAGGCCGCCGCTCGGCCTGCGGAATTGAAGCGGGATCAAGGAAGGATGAGGATGCTCGTGATTGCCATGGTCCTTGGTGTGATGCTCGGCGTCGGGCATTACGCCAGGCTCTCGCTTGCTCGGCATTATGCGGAAGGGGGATGCCAGTCGCAGCACTAAGAGACGGAGATTGAGGGTGCAACTTGCGACAGGATGGTGATGGTGACAGCGAAGGATGCGAGAGGGAGCGGATGGAGGATGACGAGTGGAGCAGGCACACACACGCACGGGCTTCAAGCTGCGGAAGCTGCGCCGAAACGAGCGGAAGCATCAATCACTCATCTTTCTTCTTGTCTTACTGTTTGAAATAGCGTCTCTGTGCACTGGACCCTACAAAGTGTCTGCCACGGGCTCATCAATCAGAGGCAGCCACTTAGTCATTCCGCAACGGCACGCAAAACCGGAATGCAGCCGAACGATCCCACGCGAATCTTTTGACCATCACCGTTGTCGGCGCGTGTGTTGCTGTGGAGGAGAGAAATTCATCGACCGATCCACGATCTGTCAGTCGATCTGTAAAGAGCGGCTATCAATTTAGGAAGAAGTCACGAAAGAGTCATTTTCGAGTCAACGCTGCTCAGCTAGCGAAGCCCGACACTTTTTTGACAAGACCTATAACTGCTCGATCTTCTCGCATCAGCCACGCCACCACCCTCATCGAGCTCTTCCCTTCACCAGGCTCATCGCGAGCACGTTCAGCCATAGCACCATGCTGTACCTTCTCGACTACGGCGCAGGCAATGTGCGCAGTCTCGCCAACTCAATCAACAAGCTCGGATTCGAGTTCAAATGGGTTCAATCGCCCGAAGACCTGAAAAAGGCCGACAAGCTCCTCTTTCCCGGTGTAGGCGCCTTCGGTCCTGCTATGCAGTCAATTCGCGACAAGGGCTATGCTGAGCCGTTGAAGGAGTATATCGCTTCCGGCAAGCCGTACATGGGAATCTGCATCGGTCTGCAGACGCTGTTCGAAGGGTCGGACGAGGCACCTGGCGTGGAAGGTCTCGGAGTCGTTCCCGGTATCGTGTCCAGATTCTCAGCGTACGAGCAAGATGGAAAGGTCAAGAAGAGCGTTCCACAGATGGGATGGAATTCGGCGCAGGTGGTCAAGACGCGCAACGACGGTGGTGATCAGGATGCCGTCAAGTACGGATTCCCTGATCCCGCCTCGGGTGACATGAGTCACTACTACTTTGTCCACTCGTACCGTGCAGCTTATCAGCCTGACAAGCACGCCGATTGGGTGCTGACCACCACCCAGTACGGCTCGGAAGTCTTCATCTCCTCAATCCAAAAGGGGAACGTCTTTGCGACTCAGTTCCACCCAGAGAAGAGTGGCCGAGCAGGTCTCGAACTCCTCCGTGCATGGCTCAACCAACCGGGCACCATCGACCCCAGCAAAGAACGTCTTCTCCTCGATCCCCTCCAAGTCGCCACACCATCACCCCAAGACGGCCTGACAAAACGTATCGTCGCCTGCCTCGACGTACGCAGCAACGACGATGGAGACCTCGTCGTCACCAAAGGTGAATCCTACGACGTGCGCGAAAAAGCCGACCCTGCTACTCCCACGACACAACAAACAGAATCTTCTCCTTCATCATCAAAGCGCAAAGTCCGCAACCTCGGCAAACCCGTAGACCTCGCCCTGCGATACTACCTCGAAGGAGCCGACGAAGTCACCTTCCTCAACATCACCTCCTTCCGTTCCTGCGCGCTGCAGGATCAACCCATGCTCAGCTTGCTAGAAGCTGCGGCTGCCAAGATCTTCGTCCCGCTCACCATCGGTGGTGGTATCAAGGACAGTGTCGATCCGGATGGAACGCCACGACCTGCCAAAGAGGTTGCGGATGCATACTTCCGCGCGGGGGCTGACAAGGTTTCGATCGGATCCGAGGCGGTTTTCGCCGTGGAGGAGCTGTTCGAGCGTGCGGCGCAGAACGGTCAGGAAGGGGAGAGCAATCCGTTGGAGTTCAACGATGCTTGTTTGACGGGCAAGACGGGTATTGAGACCATCAGTAGAGGGTACGGTGCCCAGGCGGTAGTGGTATCCATCGACCCACGTCGTGTTTATGTAGGCGAAGGGGAGCAGGTGGACGCAAAACACCTGCCGTGCGTAGTAGAGGGCGTCAAGGGAAGCGAAGACGAAGGCAAGAAATGGTGGTACAGATGTACCGTGAAAGGTGGACGCGAGGATCGCGATGTCGACGTCATCCAACTCGCCCGCGGCGTTCAACGACTAGGTGCAGGCGAAGTCCTGCTCAACTCGATCGACCGCGACGGTTCCAACAAAGGCTTCGACCGTCAACTCATCGACCTCGTCCGTGCTAGCGTCGACATCCCCGTCATCGCTTCCTCCGGCGCCGGCACCGCACAGCACTTTGTCGACGTGTTCACGCAAAGCCCGGGCGCACAGGGTACGGTGGAGGCTGCTCTGGCAGCGGGCATCTTCCACAGAAAGGAATGCTCCATCGACGAGGTTAAAAGCACTTTGTTGGAAGAAGGGTTCAAGGTGAGGAGGGAGGATGTGGCTGCTGGTGCTGGGGCTATTTCCAAGCAGTGAATGTTGCAGAATGTGTTTTCGTAGGTAATACATAGACGTAGATCAGATGTCGTGTCATCGTCGCCCTGTGAAACACCGTATGACCAAGTCAGAACCCATTTCTGTCTCCGACCCTGATCAGCCTATCTGAGCCGCCCGCTCCCCGTTACGACAACCCCAGCATACCCACCTTCTCGTCCATCAGCGCCTCATTCTCCTCCTGCTGCTCGAGCTGCATCCGCGTCTCCAAGCTCTGCGTATTGTTCGCTGAAATCGACAACCCCAACGCGCCCGATCCGTACCCTGGTCCACTTCCCGACGCAGCAGGCGAAAAGGATCCCATCGCGACGATCGCACTCGTCGACGCCACCGCTGCCGCCGTCGCTGGAGTAGAGGCGGAGTTGACCGGAGTGCAGGGTCGCGAGATCGTCGGAGAGGTAGAGTAGCGGTATGCTGCGTAGTGGTGTATGCCGCGGTAGAGCATGCCTCCACCGGGGGAAGAGATGGGCATCAGGAGGGGAGAATTTGATCCACCGCCACCGGTACCGCCGACTGTCTGGCCAGTGTTGGAGGAAGACGCTGCGGCTGCTACGGCCGCTGCGAAACTCGCGTTGGTCGGCGTGGTGCCTAGCGATGAGCCGAGGTTCATGGGTGACACAGCGCGTCGTTTGTACGGTTCGTACCTGTCGTCGCCCATCGTCTTGCGTTTCGAGAGGCGGGCGCCCGAGCCGGCGGCACCGAGGATGCGCGGAGAGGTGTCGAGGTCCATTGCAGAGCTTGCGCCGGCTCCTCGACGCCAGGCTGCGCGTTCTCCGGCGAAAGTCCCACCAGCTGCGGCGCCGGAGGAAGCGGAAGCGCTGGGCGACCATCTGTGCGCATTGCCTTTGTCGCGGAATCCCATCCAGAGCGCGTTGTTCTTGCGTTTCGGCAGCGAGCCGACACCTGAGGGGGTCGTTGCGGTGGAGCCGAAGCTAGATGATAGCACCGCAGTGCTCCCAACACCGCCACCACCCACGCCGTCGACTTGTGCAGAAGCGTCGTTTCCGCCGGCTGCATTCGCCAGATCAGTAGGAACGGTGGAGGAAGAGGCAATATCTTGCATCATGTTCGAGGCGTCCGGTGCACGACTGCGCATCTCATCCTCTTCGTCGGAAAGCGAATCGGTGCGCGAGTAGTACATCATCATCTCCTCCTCTTCGGAAGACATATCCGAGCTCTCCGCGTCGTCGAGACCGTCGGCTGCGAACACACCTCGGATGTCGTCCACGTCGTCGTCCCACATATACTTGCGTCGGGAGAAGCCCGAACGCAGAGCTCCTGCTCCACTGGCCCCACCAGCGGTCGCACCGAAGAATGGCGATTTCGACGCCCGCATGGCATTGCCACTGCTGCTGCTGCTGCCACCGGCTGCGCCACTCGAGCTGCTGCCGGCACTGGGACCGAAGCGAGGTGTGCGCGGCAAGGTTGCGTCCCCGCCGAGACGTTTCTGCAATTTGGCCTCCGAGGCGATCTCTGAGTCTTCGGGTTTGCTTTCATCTTGCAACGAGGCTGCGACTCGTGCGACGGATCGATCCTTGGGCAAAAGGTTACCTCGCCGTGTCACGGCTTTGCGAACGACATTGGACGAAAGCAGGGACGACGAGCGGGATCGATTGCCTCCATGTCCGAAAGGAGATCCCACCGAGGGCCCAGTAGAGGGTGAGCGCGGTACCTGGCGCGACAAGCCTGCGCCGCCAGCAGACGAGGAGCTGTCCTGGCCCGAATCAGATGCGGACGCTCTTGCTAATGCGGAAGATGCTAGGCCGGGTCTCGCAACTGGTAATTGCGAAGATGCTGCTGGGGGAGGCGTGTTTGGCGTGCTGAAGAACGAAAGCGGCGGACCCATGACAGGTGTGCTGGGCGCACGTGAAGCCATGGCATCGTCGTCTTCCACCTGCATCATCTCGTCATCTCCATCGTCTGGATCCTGATTTGAGCCTCTTCTCGCCACCTGCTTCTGCGCCGAAGCAGTGTCGTGAGACGACTCGTCTTCGTCCGAGCGGTCGTCTCTGTCGAGGTGGAAAGGAGTGATCTCTCGACCCAGCATACTTGCTCGACGGAAGCGCGCCGGGGAGGAGAGAGCAAAGCCGGGAGAGTGCATTGCCTGAGCACGTCGGAGCAGAGCGGCGGGGGTGGTTACGCTGCCGGATGAGGATGTGGTCGATGCAGCGGAGGGAAGGACGGTAAACGGCGGTGGTGGCCATCCTTCGCCTGCGAGTGACAATGTTGGTGACTGCGGCTGAGCGTTGAATTGGTATGCCAGTGGGTTCGGGTGGTCTCTGGTCGAAGGTGAGGGCAGATTGCCGATACCAAGTCCTGCTCCTGCAGTTGCGAGCTTAGAAGGTGATGAGCCCAGCATGTGGACGTTCTGGGCGTCGCTCGGCTGATTGAAGCTCAGCGAAAGGGAAGGACTAGAAGGGATCGAGATGGGCACCGAAGAGGCAGCGTTGGATTGGAAGAACCCTGCACTGCTTCCACTGCCACTGCCGCTGGCTGTGTTGTTGCTGTTGGTTGCAGCATTGTCGGGTGTAGTTCTTGCTGCGCTGAAGGGGAGTGCAAAGTCGGATGAGGACGTAGCGAACGCAGATCTAGCATGGGAGTTCTGGCTGCCTGGTTGCGTCGTTGACATGGCAGCCACGGCTTGGCCTCGGCGGCGGCGCAGCTACAGCAGCAGCAGCAGCAACGACCAGATCAAGAATCCATCAGAGGGATAGGTCTGTAGGCGAAAGATGACGCTGACGGCTCGGCTCTTTTCAAAAAGTCTGAGAAGGCTTGGTCGGAACAGCCTTGATGTGCTTGTAGATGGTCCTGATCTAAACTGCGTCTTCGAGCTCTGCGTCGTGGGCCTGCTTGAACGTCAGCTTGATCAACGAGGGTGACCTCCGTGGTGGGTATGGATGCTGACTGTAGCCGTCGAATGATCTTGAGAGTGCGAAAGGAGAGGTGGGCGTATCAAGTCGGTCGGAGTCTCCGCTCAAAGGGCCATCGGAGAGCGATCTTCCCAATCCGACCAAGACAGCTGCAGGGTTGCCTTTGGGAGTGACTGCACCCTGAATTCGAAATTGCGCTGTGTGGTGTGGGAAAAAGGAAAAATCGTGCACTTCCGTAGTCTTTCTTTCTCACACCCTTTGCCTGCTGCATGTGACGAGCAATGAGATTGTCCCACATCACTTTCAAAGCATCACATCGTCGGCATTCGCGCGCTCAACCTCCAGTCGCTGCTCATGGTCGGAAGTGGAGCGACTGCAAGACAGCACGAACAGACACGTTTCAAGATGCAATCCGGTGACATTTTGAGCGTCTAAGAAGATCAAGCTTATGTACAGAGACTCTAACGAACGATGCTGCGTCTTTTTCGCCTTCACTCATAGCGGACATCCTTCCTCTGACCCAGACCGATTCTGCGCGCCGACACCGTCAAGTTGCGTCCACCTTGGTCGAGCACAACGACGTGGTTCTTGATGAAGCTCAAGCCGATGATCGAGATCTGCGCGGGACCCGTCTGGAAGGCCGAGTAGCACATGTTCTTCCTGCCACCGATGGTAGCAGGTGGGATGGGCTCGTTGGCGTAGAACACGTAGTCCTCCTTGGGGATGGTGAAGTTGGTGCCGCCGACTTGGAGGTTGAACGTCGGGTTCTTGGCTTTCCTCTCGTAGTGCTTGAGGCCCGTGTCGCAGGGCACGAGGTAAGGGAAAGCCAGACCGCTAGATTGATCGGCGACGTAGGAACCTTTGATCTGGTTGTTGATGTCGGCGACAATGGGCGAGGGAAGGTAGAACACGGCGGAGCCAGTGTCGATCATGAAGCGTTGAGGTCGATCGGCGGTGCCCGGTGCCTTGGCGAGGAGCGTGTCGCCCATGGTCATCTGGTCAAAGTAACCAGCCCACAGATACGGCGACAGCGCACGCGTCCAGGTGATGTTTCCGTCCAGGAGCTCGTCGTCGATCTCGCCAAACGTGTAGCGTCCTCCACCGCCCTTGCCCGTGTTGCGGTCGGCCTTTCGCAGCGTGGCGGTGAGGTAGGTCTCGGCGATCTGACCGCGCGATGACATGGCCTCGAACGGTGTCGTCCATCCTCCCTGCGTGCTCGAACCGCTTCCAGACGAAAGACCCACGAGGCCCTCCATGCCGCGCGAAGCACGCGAGCCACCAGTGATGCTGGTGATGAGCGCCAATGGCAGCTGTTCCACCTTGAGCCTCTGCTGGCCAAACGTAAAGTCGTCGATGCCGACGTAGCCGTTCGAGGTGGAGCCGGAGCCGTAGCTGTAAGACCACGCCTGACCGGGCGTACCGGCGGCGGCGACCTGCGGGTTGCCGCTCGCGTCGACGGTTCGGTTGTGGTAGGTGGACGACCTGGCAGGATCAAAGAAGGTGTGGTTGTTGGCGTAGCAGCAAGCCGGAGAGTAGACCCACGTGTCCGAGCTGCCCGAGTCAAACACCATCTTGAGCTTCTGCGCACGCGTGCCGAACCCGACGTTGACGAGCCACTCGTTGTCGGCAGAGTTGTCGGTGGCCTTGTTGATGACGATGCCCATCGAGTGGTCGTGCATCTTTCCGCCCTCGATCCAGCTGCTCACCGTGTTGCCAAGGTGGTCGAGCGTCTCGCGGATGCTGTGACGGTCCTTGAACTGGCCGTGGTGGTCCTTGGCGTGCTGCTTGCCTCGTTCGGAGCGGCAAGCCTTGTCGCTTCGCTTCGAGCCGGCGCCAGAGATGTCGCGCTTGCGGAAGTCGAGCGGCAGCTCCGAGGTCTCCCATCGCGAGGCGAGGAACTTGGGATGAGACGGCGTACCATCGGCGGCGAAGAAGCCCGAAAGGGGCTCGTGCGAGACTTCGAGCTGCTGCTTGGCGTAAACGACGGTGGTGAGGGTGGCAGTGGCGGCAAGGCCAGCCAACGCAAAGGTGGACTTCATCGTGAAGTGGTGTCGGAGGAGGTTGATGCTATCCAAAGATCAAGGTCTACGGTGAAAGGGAGCGTGTCGATGGGAGTGGCGCTCTTATAACGAAAGGGCGCGTCGAAACGGGTGAGGAGCCGTGTTTTGAACTAGGACGGAGCCAACAGTAAACGCGCACGAGGCGGATCGAACCACACCGAAGTGACCGACTAGATGGTTGTGGCAGAACCAGAACGAAGCACGGCGGAGTGTCAAGGGTTGAGGGAGGACGCAAGACGGAGGGGGGACGAGGGAGGAGGAAAGGCCGGAACGACAGCGCAGCTGTGTCGGAGAAGGAAAAGCGTAAAAAGGGATCGACAGAAGGGTGCGGGCGGGGCTTCAGGGATGCAAGTGTCTAGGGGATCAGCGCGACATGATGGATACACAGGGTGTCGTAGCGCAATGCTGTACGTCGAGTAAGTTGAGCGAGCAGCGGCAGGAACGGCTCCCGTCAGTGTGTGTCACAGAAACAGGGAGAGGGGGAGAACAAATGTATACACAGCTACAGTGTACACTCCTTGACGGTCGTACGGAGAAAGTAGGCTTTTTGGGTTTCCCATGTGTGTCTGTCAGTGTTGGTTTGATCTTGGTTCAAGCTTGGCGTCTCAAGAGGCGGTTGCGCTGGCCAGTTTGTGCAAAGCGGAGATGAAATTCTAGCACCACCAGCGGCGAGGTGCTTTTGAAGCGGCACCTCTTCATTTCGGCGCCTTCCTCTTCTCACCTGCCGACGTGAGGATGTACACAACGGCACGCGCTAGCAATTACCAACCTAAGAGAGAGGGGATCGGCGCGCCCAATCTCAATTTAACCCTGTCCTTGTGTTTTCCTCTTTTCTCAAAAATCATGCCGTTTCCCGCCCGGCCCATGTCGAGCAAGCTCGACCGCTCTGCTTCTCTCGCTTGGCAAAAGCAGTTTGGGTTTCGAGGCGAATTGTTCCTGAAAATCAGCATGCGTGCGTGCATGGGCGGTCTGCAAGAGTCCTTCTCTCCCTCTCTCTCTCCTCCCTCAGCTGCAGTGTAGGCTCGTGCTGCCATCAAAGTCAATTTGAGCTTGGTATTCCCGCTCGGGGTTTCACGGCGACCCGCCTCCGCTAGCGTGTAAGTGAGGTGTTCGAAGGGTTCGCACTTTTGCAACCTGTCGAGTCTGGTAGACGCCAATGGGGTTGGTTTGAGGCCTGGAGTGCTTTTCGAGGCAAATCGCTGCGTCTACGAAAAGAGTGTCGTACAAAACGTGCTTCCCTCGGAGAACGCGTACCGGTGCAAAACAGACTTCAGAAAACAAAATCAGCAATACAGTTTCAACCAGGAACCCCCGTGTCTCTCTCTCTTGGCAACGTGCATTTCATTCAAAAGTCGTGTCCGTCGGACCGCCAACTCTAATCACACAGCTACGACTTGGCTTTGGCTCCTGGACACGCTTGCAGTCGATTCGGTGTCGTTGCCGATCGAACACGGCTCTTGAGAGTCTTCTGTGCATCTAGGGGTGTGCTCCGACTGCTGCAACAGAAGGTCACGCTGCGCCGAGGATTGCCACGATTCGCGAAAACTCCTTGCAGCAGCACTACTGAGACCTATCTCCACGGCAGAGATCGCGTGTTGCTGCAGCCCAGCCAGAGCCCCTGGCAGCTTTTACTCACGGTTGGTGGCCTGTACGGTGCCGCCCCGATCGATATACGATTCTGTCGGCTCGCTCCATGGCAGATAACCCAGCGACCTTTTACCTCATTTGTGTCGATACGGATACATACTGTAATGGTGAAATCTATTCCCCGATTGAAGCTGATACATGTTCGATAATCACAGATGGCACACACTTTGTTTGCCACGGTAGGTGCTCGAAGCGAGCCCCCTTTTGTCGCCCGATTGCTGCTGCGGCTCAGCTCGTGCTCGCCTTGCCGTTGCCGCTGCCGGACGACGCCCTTTGCGCATCCGCCTCTTTGGCGATGCGAAGCAACTCGCCCATCTCTCCGCTCTGCTCGCACATCGAGTGGAACACGCTCGACTGGTCCTCCATCAGCGACAGCGGCGAGCCGCACTCGATCACCTTCCCCTTGCCCAGCACCACGATCTTGTCGTAGTCGGCGATTGTCTTGATCCTGTGTGCAATCGTGATGATCGTCGCCTGCGGTGCCATCTCCTGTCGGATCGTCTTTTGGATCTGTGCGTCCGACGCCGAGTCCAGGTTGGCCGTGCTCTCGTCGAGAACGAGGATGCGACTGTCGCGGAGCTTGAGCAGTCCACGTGCCAGGGCGAGAAGCTGCTTCTGACCTGCTGAGAAGTTGCGTCCACCTTGCTCGACGGGTGCGTCCAGCGACGTGATGATGTTCGTTCGACTGTACATCTCCGCATCCACGACTTGTTCGGCATTGCCGTCGTCGTCGGGTCCCGGCGATCCGGGACGGCTGGGTGCACGGCTCACGGCTCGCGAAGCCGCCGGCGTAGCAAACGACGCCAAGCGACATCTCTCGAGCGCCATCCACAGCTCGCCGTCCTCGTACACGTTGAACGGATCCAAGTTGGATCGCACCGTACCGCTGAACAGCTGCGCGTCTTGCGGAATCACCGTCAGCCTCTCTCGCAGCGTGCGGATCGGGATCGACGCAATGTCGACACCGTCAATCTCGATCGAGCCTTGCTCCGCCTCCAGGAAGCGGAAGAAGCACAGCGCCAGCGTCGACTTGCCCGATCCTGTGCGTCCGACGATACCCACCTTCTCGCGCGGCTCGAACTCGAGGTCGATGCCATCCAGCACACGAGGGAACTCGGGCGTGTATCGCACCGCCAAATCCTTGATCACGATCTTGCCCTCGCTGCTTGGCCAGTATGCTGGAGGCTCCTGACCCGACTGACGTTCCGGCTCCAGATCCAGATACTCGCTGATGCGCTCCACGCTGTTCATGTTGATCTCGGTCTGCGTGTACATGCGTACAATCCACAGCACCGACTCGACAAACGTGATGGCGTACGCAAGCACAAACCCAGCCAAGCTCGCCTTGATGTCGGTCCGCAGCAGCAGGAAGACGGCTGACAGGAACGCCACGGACGCGCCCGCAATGTCGACACGCACCGACAGCCATCGGTTCTCGTACCACAGGAAGAAAAATGCTCGGTTGGCCTTGTCTACCAGTCGCAGGCAGTGTCGCGTGAAGCGACCGGCGTCGCCGTACGCGCGGATAACGACGCATCCGTTGAGCACCTCACCAACGACCGTGTAGATGGGCGATCGCTCCACCGACTCGATACGCTTCAGATCGCGCGAGCTGACCAGATACAGTGCGCCGATCACCGTGTAGACGCAGATCACAATCAGCGCAACCACGAGGAAGATCGGCGTGGCCCAGCAGATCAGCACCAAGATCGCGGTCGCAGTGAGCGTGCACTCGAGCAAGAAGAGCATGCACACCGCCATCTCCTGGTCCACCGTCTCGACGTCCTTGGAGAGTCGGTTCATGATGCGTCCCACCGGCGTGCGGTCGAAGAACTGCGGCCTGGCATTCAGGATGGCATCCGTGAGTCGTCGATAGATTCGGCGGGAGGCTCGGAGCGAGATGAAGAATTCGTACCCATCTCGCAGCACGGCCATGATCATGAAGCCGAGCGAGATGGCCAGGTAGACGCTGAGGTAGTACGTGTCGAGATCTTCGCTGCTTCGACGTCGTTCGTGGGTGGCCAGAGGGTTGAATGCGCCGCCCACTCGCCTCTTGGACAAATGACTGCTGTTGTGTGTATCCAATGAAAGCACGTGCTGTCCACCGAGCCCATCGGCCGCAGAGAAGACATCGATCGGTACATTCCCGGTGACAGTATCACCGTCCTGCAGCGGTTTGGTCGTCGCGAAAGAATCCGGCAATCGATGCAAGAGGTCATCTAGGCGCAGATTGCCCAGCAACGTCGGCCGGTTGGTCCAGATCGTGTCGATCAATGGAGTCGTCATGAACGTCTGAATCTGCTCTGAGGCAGAGCGGACCGGACGCTGCTGTGCGGGCGCTCCGACAGCTGCCAAGCGGATACCGGTCGCCTCCTCGCGATAGTCGTGCGATCGTGCCCAACGCATAAGCCAAGCGCCGGAGCCGATGTCGAGAAGACGCACAGCAAAGAAGAACAGCAAGAGCGAGCCCCACAGCAGCACCGCATACCGCGCCTTGCTAGCTACGGAGCCCAGGTAGAGGCTGTAGTTTTTGGTCCCGACGGACCCGGAGCTGTAGGTCTCCTCGTTGGTGTGAACCTTTTTCTTCTCCAGCTTCTTGGCCATTTCTTCGCGCTCCGCTTCGTCGCTACCGCCGGCGGCCAGCTCTTCGATCGTCATCTCCTCGTGATCTTGCTCGTCGCTTTGTCCGGCTTTGAGGCTCGACTGCAGCGCCTCTCCCTCCTCTGAAAACACGCCGGTTGCGTTGACCACGTCGGGCGTACCTGCTGCAACTACACTGCCGTTGTCCATCGCCACTGCAAAGGCGGCACCTGGGAGACAGAGGCTGATGGCGTGCGTGACGAGGATGATGGTGCGATTCTTGGCGAGCGCGCCCTTGAGCGCGTGACGATAGAGGTGCTTTGCGGTGTGGCTGTCAACCGCCGAGAGGGCGTCATCGATGAGTACGTGCTTGGCCGACGAGTAGAGGGCTCGCGCAAGAGCAATTCGGGCCTTTTGACCACCAGACAAGGAGGTTCCCTTCTCGCCGACTTCGGTCTCATCGCCGTATTCGAGGATCTTGAGATCGGGCTCAAGGGCACAAGCCTTGACGACGGCGCGGTAGCGGCGCTCGTCGTAGGGCGAGCCGAAGAGCACGTTCTCCTTGAGCGTCGTGCCGAGCAGCCACGGGCTCTGACTGCAGTAAGCCACTGACTCGCTAAGACCTGTCCGAGGGTCGATGGGAGCGGTGGCACGCGCCACGGGACAAGGCATGAATGTGCGTCCAGTCAGCTGACGCGTCTCGCCGAGCAGCGACATGAGCAGAGTCGTCTTCCCGGAACCGACCGGGCCAGCGACGATGCTGAGCTTCCCCACGGGGAACTGCAGGTTAATCTCGCGCAAGCAGAAGGCGCCGTCGTCGACCTCGCTATCCTCGTCGACGTACGTGAAGCTGGCGTCCTCGAAGCCAATCAAGCGCCCGGTTTTGGGGGCTGCGGAGTTTGCAGGAGCTTCCTCGTCCGTGTTGGCGTCATTGTCGGTGGTGCTGCTGTCGACACCGTCAAGGTGGCCGGCGTCTTCATCGCGCAGAAGCTGTTGATACTTTTTGGTCTCCTCCTCACGCAAATAGGCGTCGATACGTCGCACCGAAACGAGCGAGTTGAGGATCTGCACGATCATGTCAGGAAGCGCATCGAGCGGGTTGCGGAGCGTGTTGAAAAGCGCCAATGCGGTGAAGGCCTTTTCGGCGGTGAGCGGCTGGTGGAAAAGTTTGGTGTGAGCACCAAAGGTGGCACAGGTGACTAGCATAGGCGTGCCCATGTAGGTAAACGTATTGCAGAGCCAGGCGAGGTAGCGGGTGGCGAGCACCGAAAGCTCGCGTTGACGCGCCTCGTCCATTCGTGCGTTAAAGGAGCGTTCCCATGCGAAGAATTTCACCGTCTTGATGCAGCCGAGCACCTCGGTGGCCAAGTTGAGACGCTTGTCGGTGGTCTCGAGCAGGCGCTTCTGCAGCTTCACGAACCAGCGCGAGACGAGCGTCTGGATGGGTAGCGATGCAAGCAGGACGAGGAACCCGATGACGGCGGACCAGCCGAGCAGAACAATCAGATACACGAGGCAGAGACCGATGACGAGCGGAGCGCGAGGGGCGAGGAAGTGCAGGTACGCGCAAATTTCGGACACCTTGAACACATCAACCGAGATGAGGTTGACTACCTGGCCATCTGTGGCACGCTTGGATGTTGCATCGTCCTTGCCGCCCTTTGCGTTGGCCCCGTTCGCCTTCTTGGCGGCGGCGGTTGAGTCATCCTGATCCTGTTCGTCGTCCGCGGGCTCCTTGTCATCATCCTTGTCGCCCGTGCTACCAATGTCCTTGCGTCGCAGCGTCTTTGTCACGATCTCGGTGATCAAGATGGCGCGCAAACGAATGCAGATGCGCCTGCCGATGAAGAGAGCGCGCGAAGCCGAGATGGAGGCAAAGATCTGGCCGACAAACATACCGAAGGCGTAGAGTATACCAATGTGAAGAGGTTGCGCGTTCGAAAAGTCGCCGTTGCGTTGTTGCTCGTCCCTGGCTGCGATGAAAGCGAGGATCTTCTGCAGGAAGAAGGGCGGCACGAGGTCCAGGACAGCCTCGAGCGTGGCCCAGAAGAATTGCAGAGCGAGGAACCACTTGAAGTGGCCAAAGAGACGTCTCCACAGAGGTCGCGTGGAAGGTGCAAGACCGGCATGCAGGCCCTGCTTGGATGATTTGCGCGAAGCAGCGGACGGGATCGGACCTTCATCCGATCGGGCAGAGGTATAGGCGCGGAAGCAGGCGACCACGGCCGCTGCCTTGTCGGCCACGGGCAGATCCGGGATGGCAGCCAGCGTGAACTGCGTCCTGTAGTGCTTGACGATGGCTGGGGTGACGTAGCCGAAGGTGGCACGAGAGACGAGGGAAGCGGTATCCTCGGGAGCAGGTATCAGGTCGTTGGCAGGCGCATCGGTGCTGGCGTCGATGACGCGAGGCTGTGCAAGTTCATCTGCGCTGGAGAGGCGTGGCGAGGGGAAGGCAGTTCCTGGAACGCCGTGCTGGGTCTCGGGCGACATTGTGGAGTAGATGGCCCGCAAATCGCGAGGGAGCACGGTCTGCATAGGGAAGAAGAGGGTTGGTGCCAGGACGATGCAGCCTACGAGCAGCTCGATCGCAGTCAGCACGACGGCTCCACGGGTATGGAGCTTTGGATGTGCGTGGTGATTGAGCAGCGCGGTGCGCAGGTTGAAGAGGGTGACGACAACGTAGACGGACATGAGCGCTGCCTTGTGCGAGAAGAAGGAATGACGGGAGGCGAGCGAGTAGGCGGAGAGCGAGGCGAGGTAGAACCAGAGAAGAGCCCAGTAGATTTGATAGCTTCTCGAATGCCAGCCGCTGGCCCAGTCGCCAGCGTGAAGCGCAGCTAGCAATACCGAGCCTAGAACATCCGTGACGCGACGCAGCAATTCGAGCTGACGGAGGCGAGAAGCGAACTTTGGATCGCGGGCGGTGGCGGGAGTGAGGTGGACTTCGTTGAGAATGACGGCATTTTCCGTGTGGAAGACCTCGAGCGCTGCCTGAGATGCAGCGGCTGACGACGAGGGCTTGGCGGCACCATTGGAAGAGCCAAACGGCAACGCAGACGAGTAGGCGGACGAGACGCTATTGCTGCGAAGGATGCGCGAGGAGTTCCAGGGCAAGATGGTGTTCAAGATGCGTCGAGGTAGACCGATGAGGCCGCCGCGAGAAGAGGTGGAGCGCCGTGAAGCAGCTGGACGCGCAGGAGTGGAGTGTTGCTGCGCGGAGGAGGCGTGAGCGACGGCCGAAAAGGAGGAAGCTGCTGGGTCGAGACTTGCTACCTGCTCAGCCGAGGCGGTGAGGGCGCGACGTCTGCGCAGCTGATGCAAGACGAGGGTGAGAAAGGAGAGCAAGATGAGTGCAATGGGTATTGATGAGTTGAGGACGCGTTGCTGGAAGCACACATCCCAGTCGATGCCGTTCCAGACGGGTCGCCCTGCGCAACTCGTCGAAGAAGGCATCGTCGAATTCGGATCTACCGCAGCTGCGGTGCTACTGACAATGTCGAATCCCAAAGGTTGCGAGCTGATCCTCGAGGGATGAAACTGCTACTGCAAGTGAAGCTGAGGCCGTGCCGGTGACTTAACGCCCCACGAGGGGGAGGGAGACAGGATAACGATGCCGGCAGGAGCCGACGGTGGCAAGGCGAAGTCGTAAGGCAGAGGAAAGCCCGACGCAGAAGACCAATTTGCGCGAGGGCGAGGCGCTGTTCGTGAGTTGCTCGGCGAGGATGTCCGGACGTGCCGAATCTGCACTTCCTACCCGAACGAGGGTGCGATCCAGCGACTTTTGCGCTGATGAATGTGCGTTCCTACAGCCTGCTGTCGAGGAGCCACGGGGGAGTATTGGCGATGGAACGAGCGTCGCAATGTGCTCGTCCTTCGTCTTGACCACGACCTTCCGTTGCCAAGATGACGATGAGAACGTTGCAGGTGGAGGAAGAAAGGGTTCTGTGTCAGCCTTGACTCAGATTCCGAGCAGGTCAATGACCCTTGTCCACCGCTCCGAAATTTCTTGCGGTACGGTACAGAGGAGAAATTCCAGACTCCACGTGACGCGTGGCTGCTGCTGCTGTGTTAAGGATTACTGTATCAAATCCTTACCTGTTAAAGTTCGATCGACGGCTCGGCCTGTTCCGCTTGATGGTTGCCTCCGAACGAGAACGGCTTTCTCGCATCGGTGAATGTCCGATCGGACGGACACAGTACACTGGCGACTTCGTCCCGAACACGGTTCCTCCGACTTGTCAACGACTACAAGCTGCCGGCAGGGAGGGTAACGACGTTTGCAAAGCCGAAAAGCCGACAGGGATCAGCCAAGGCAGACCAGATCGACGCTGGCGCCCGATCGAGCAGATCCCCCTCCCTCCTCATTGGACGGGTATGCTCTTGACATGACGGTCATGTCGCATTTGTGGTGCCAATTCGAAGCGGCACGCCGGCTCCTATGTCGGCGAGCGGCCCTGCAGGGCGGTACACAGTCGCCGGAATGGATGCCGACGCTGACGAGCAGGAGCAGCGGCAGGACAAAGTTCTAAGAAGGCACGAATTTTCGAGCTTCAGCCGGCGGTAGCCCATCCTGTACGTTGTCATCATTTTCTGTCACATTTTCCGAGATGAATTCCCTGTCTAAGTTGGGCGATTGACTTCTGGACAGAGAGACACAGTTGATCTGTGCGGATATCCGTCAGCTGCCTCGATGCGGTCAGTCTCTCTCTGCCTGCGCGCGGATCATTTGACAATTGGAGAAATTAGAAAGAAAAAAAAAAAGGTCAAAAAACCTATCGCAATATTGGCAGCGATAACGCAGCCTTGGCGGCTGGACTGCTTGAGCGCAGCTCGCTCTGGTTTCTCGCGGAACCCATTTCCCGCTGCGCTTCTTTGCTTTGGATGCTTCCGTCTGCGGTCAAAACATCGCGCTGACGATCTCGCCTGCAGCTTGCTGCATCCCTCATTTTCTCCGCTTGTCGGCACTGCTCCTCTGACTCTACAGCCGTGACATTCCGCCTCTTGTGTGTTTGTTGACCGTCTCTCTGCAGGCCCCTTCTGCCTGTCGCCTGCCGGTCTCTTGTGTGCAGGTGCCGTTTCTTTTTTTGCCGCTTGGTCTCTGCGCTTCCGCATCCTGCTGCCGGAAGTCGTCAACTTGGTTTGACCCAGTCGTCGGCTCGCTCTCGCTTGATGTTGTTTCGAAACGGCCGCCATCCCTGTATCTGTCGACTCCAACGCTCTTCTTGTCTTCTCTGTCCTCCGCTCTTCCCTTTCTTACCAATCCCCATCTTCCCATCTTCACTTCCCTTCTCTCACACCTCTCGTCGTCCTTCTTTGTCGTAGTCGAACAGTCAAGATGAAGTTCAGCATCATCCCCGTCGCTCTTCTCGCCGCCTTCGCCGCCAGCGGCGCTGTTGCCCAGGACAGCTCCGCCGCCTCTTCCAGCTCGGCTCCTGCTTCGTCCGCCAGCGGTTCCATGTCTTCCAGCAGCGCCGCTCCCACCTCGATGGCTTCCAGCTCTGCGTCAAGCGGTGGCTCTGGCTCCGGCGCCATGAGCGTCTGTGACCCTCTTGGAGGTGACCCCCGCAACAGGCCTGCAGGATGCCCCTACAGCTCCACCACCACTCCCCCCTACAACCGTGAGTACACCTGACAGAAATGGCCAATCGACCACAGCAGCTTGGTTGGACTTGTAGTCGATGGGATGGGATGGAGCCTGAGGCGACAGCCGCACGCACACGGGCGAACTTGGACACTTCGACTTGGCATGATTGATGAGACTCAGACACAATGGAGCACACAAAACTGAGACCTAATTAAAGTTTACTGACCCTCTGTTCTGCCACTTGCCGCTTCTACGATCCTCTACGTTCGTTGACCGTATCGCACCCTGCAGTCAGCTCGCTGATCTCGTACTTCATCTACGGCTACACCCGTGGTCCTCAGGCCAAGTCGCCCGATGAGGTCGCCAGCGAGATGGCTGGCTCGGTCTTGCAGTACTACCCTACCCTCACCGTCCCCGAGTCCGAACTCGCCGTCTCGTTCGCCGAGGCCATCTCGGCCACCATCCAGGCTGTTGCTGATGGCAAGCTCCAGAAGTCGGATCTCCACGCGCCCAACGCTGCCGTTCCCGCTTCCATTCCCGAGCACCTCATCCAGTGGGGTGTTGCTGCCGCCGCCGTTGTTGCTGCGGGTGCCATTGGCCTCTAAACGTCTCGCCGTTTCGACTCGACAATCCGCCTCACACCTTTAGCGCTCCTTCATCTCGACGATTCTAGATCTCCCTTGCATGTGATCATCGGCCAATCCGGATTTCCTTGTTTGGGAGACCCGCACGCTGGGAGTTCCTAGATGCCGCGATGGAGTAGAGACCGCTCCAACGTCGACGCTCCACAGGGAAGTTTGACACAAGTCAGGACCCATCATGACCGCATCCGACGCTCTTTCCTCCTTCATTCACACTCTCTGAATGCTTGCGCCCTTGCCGAGCTGCCTTGTTCCTTGACTCGTTATTTCGCAATACTCTATTTTAGAAACATTTTCAATTCTGTTTGGACCGAACAGCTCACTCGACACGGCTCCATCGTGTCTTCTCCGGTGATGTTGATGAATGGCCGTTCGAGCCTCGATTGTTGAGCTGACCGCTCAACTGCTGATAGGTGTGCGATGTTGAATTGCGAAGGGGTGCAAATAGATCAAGAAGGAGCGCTGCTGTCCTCACCCAGCGTAGCGCAGAGACTATTAAAGAGAACTTGCGTACCAACGCGTTTAGAGCGTCAACTTGGCGACGCCATCTTCTGGACCTGCTGCAACACAAAACTCAAGCTCCAACCAGTCAAGCTCAAGCTTCCCAGTCGAGACTGCGGTTTGAGCTTGGCTGTGGCAGCGGTGGAAGCTCTAGCATGATTGACATGTGCGGCTCAACCCAACATTGCGCTGTTTGTCGAGCAGTACTGGGCTTCGATGCCGACTTCGCCTCTGTTTCGCGGCACCAATCTACGCCTGGATGCTGTCCCTTTATTGCATTGCCACAGTCGCTCTCGATCCGATTGCGAGCAAGGAGGGAACCAAAAGGCAGCCGTCTTGACCTGCGGCAAGATTCAAAGCATAACTTTCTTTTCGCAACACAGTTTCCGCGCCAATTTGGACAAATGATGCCCAAGCGCGCATCGGATCTGCCGCTACCCTCATCACTTTCCCCTTCCCTTCCTCCATCCATCGGATCGACCCAACTGCGAACTGTCAACTCCCTTTCATTCATCAACAAACTCACTCATCACGTCGCGGACACTCCGAATGAGGCGCGCAGAGGACCGTGCGTTTTGGTTTCGAGCGCAGCAGCCCGTGTGGGCGATTGCGGGATGTGGCCAAAAAGCACAGCTGGAAGAAGTGCGCCTCTGAAACCTCTCGCTTCACGACTTCATAAGTAGACAGCTGCGTCAATCTCCCCCCCCC